TTACTTTTATAAATATAGATCTAACCCCTGCTGTCCTAATTGTCCCTCCCCATATGCAGCCCTGTCACAGTGCCTGTTTTACTGCCCAACTGCTCATCAATCCAGCTATTACCCTCCCCCATCCCTTTCCATCTCCTCCTGTCTCGACTGGATTGGCTGCCGAAGGGGAAGAAGAACAGCGTCGACTGGTCGCACAGGCGGTCGAAATGCTTGGCTTATAAATTGTGGCTGAATAAAAGTCCTATTACTACTACTTAAACTAGACTATGCGACAACTTAAGAGACAGATATCAAGTTGTCAGTATATGCAATGCTTATTCTAAACCTAAAATTACTAATCTAGGTGTACCTCAGGAGTCAATTTTGGGCCCCTTGCTCTTTTTAGTTTATAATAATTACCTGTCCAATTGTCTTGCCTTCTTCAAGTGCATATGATATGCTGATGACACTAGGATTATTAATTCTAATGAATATCTATCAGCAGTAGTAACCCAGCTTAACAGTAACCTTCACAACTTGTTAGGTTGATGTAAAACTAATAGACTTACCATTAATCCTCTAAACTAGATTTCTTTTGTTCTCACCAGAAAATAAATCACCGCTGTGCATTCTGCACATTTTCATTGATAACCATGCATTAACGGCAAGTGAATAATGTGTTTACTTAGGCTTAAATAATGACCATGATTTAAAATTTTAAAACTATGTAATACATCTTAAAAAAAAGTTATCTCACGAATACGCATCATGATCAGAGCACGTCCATTTTTTTCACGCCCGGTTTTGCTCTCACAATATTTCACCTTTGTGCACTCACACATGAATTACTGCATAACCTCATAGGGTAACACGTACACCACTCACCTAAAACCAGTACAAATCATTCAGAACCAGGCAATTCGATTAATGACGTTTAGTTCACCCACCCACAATACTAAACAGTTGTTACAAGAAAATAAAATTCTCTATGTTACCACCCTTGTGAAATTCAATCTCACCAGTTTTCTTTCCAAACTAATTAATAAACAAATATCATTATCAGGAATTCATTCATCATCTCTACTAAATACTAACCCGATTCGTTTTGCACAGCATAACTTCATTCTGCCCAAAGTGGGAGCTAATTATGTCAAACAGAGAGTTCATTTTATGGCCATATAATTATGGAATACATTGCCATTTCTACTACAAATTCAAAAAACACAAAAATTTCACTATGAATTGAACATTTTTTTGTTATGCAACACTCATGCCTAACCGGTTTCTCCCTCGCCGTGTCATTCTCTTTTCAGTCTTTTGTTGTTTTTTTCTTTATCATGTTACGCTATTCATATCATGTTATGCTCTTGACCTTATACGTAGTTATTTGACAAACCACTACCAGTACACTGACACCAATGATTCAAAATAAGATCTGGGGGAAATTACATACGATGTTCCTCAAGGTTCCATTCTTGGACCACTTCTTTTCTTATTATATATAAATGATATAGTGAATATTGCGTTGATGCCAGATATAATTCTTTACGCCGACAACACGATCGTATTTTTTTCAGGAGAGCATCTACATATGCTTGAATTTCAGGCTAGTAAGTGGCTCAACAATTAGGCTGAGTGGCTAAATGTAAATAAACTTCAACTAAATACCAAAAAAACTAAATATACAATTTTTTGCTCCCGAAATAAGACTATTGGGAATGACGTACATTTTGAAATTTCGTGGCGAGAACATTGAGCGTGTAAGAATACATAAATTTCTTGCTGTTCTTTTCGAAGAAAACCTCAGCTGGTCTCTTCACGTCGATAACCTCACAAGACGCATCTCACGTTCAATAGGTATTATAAGTAAAGTAAAGCAACTTTTGCCCCAGTGGTTAAAATACAGCTATATTATGCACTAATTGATTCTCATTTACAATACTGCCTCCTCGTGGGGAGAACAACAACAAAAAGCAATCTTAGAAAGCTGCATATTCTACAAAAACGTATTTTGCAAGTTATTGAAAATGTGTCCTTATGTAACTCACTCCACTTTTTAAAGCAAATACCATATTAACAATGCAACACATACTGGAAAAGAAGCTAGGCATTGCAATATTCCAGAAAATAATGTCATGTCAGGACAGCTTTTATTGACAATTCCTGGAAAGAGACTCACTTACGAAACTAGAAAAACTATATATGATAAAGGTTTCATACGAACAAACTATGGCATGCAAAAACAATCTGACGCTATAGCAGATTTCTTAAATCACCATCCTACCGTAATAAACTTGGTACAGGAAACGATGCACATGAAATGCCTGAAAAAAAAGTTAACTTGATACCTCATTTCAATACAAGAATAATTCAGTTTTTTACCTTGCTGCAGTCTATACAGAACATATACTTATAAAATCTTTGTTTTATGTGTATATAGAACAATGTATATATCTATCAAAATCCTGTACGTTTTACCTAACGATGTATAGTATATGTAATCTTTTATATGTATTTTTGATTATCTAACTGTCACTGATGCTTGAGTTGTGTGTCTCTAGGAAAGGATATGACACTCAGTCAGGCACTCATGCCTTTTTGTCACACCTCTTAGACAGGACAAATGTATGCATCAATTATCTTTGTCTGAAATAAGGTTGTCTGAAATATAGATATATATAAAAATATTTACAGTTTACATTTGCATATAGTTGATTTGAGCATTGTCAATTAATTGTATCTGTAGTTCATTTTTTGTAACCTTCCATTCTATTATTTTTGTCACTGTTGCCAATCAAATACTTATGTTTACGTTTCATAGGAGGTCCCATTTCAGTGTATACTACGGGATCTCCTCCTGTACGTCCTTTTTTGTACATCTTATTAAGAAATAATAAGATGTACAAAGATGGCTTCACTTCGGGTGGGTTCATTGATTGTAGAGTCTTATTGGCGCAAAGTGGCTGAAGACATGTCAAACTCCCAAGTTTGGGCTCGGAATGTTTGTGGAGCTGAGCATGTCTTAACTGCCACAGTTTAAGATATATTTAGGAAAATACATTTGAGAGTGCAGTTTAGACATTTTCAACAGCCAATGGTGCAATGCAGCAGCAAATAAAAAACACGACAGCCACAGAATAACTCGCACGTTACAGTTTTAAGCCTAAGCCCCGGTTGAACTTAAACTTGAAAAATAAAGCCCCAGTGGAGATTACGGTGACACCCAAGGAGCATTCACAAGTTGTACAGTTGTACAGTAGGCGCTTGTCTGTGTCCTCTCTGAGTGTGTGTATCTTTAGCGCTTGTTTGATCATGAACCGTTCACTGTTAAAGGGAACACTCGAATGCACGGCATCAACACTGCTGGCCCTCTAACAGCAAGTTGTTACGAAAACAATCTGCAGGCATACCCCCAGTGTGTCAAGAGGAGTGGGAACTTTCAACCCCCAGTAGTCTTATGCATATCTAAGCTACTATGCTTCCGTAAGATCATGAAATCTAAACATGCTGTGCACTCAGGGTGTTCCTTCAACAGTGGACGTGTCTGTACGTGCTGTACACGAGAGTACACCCTTTATGTTCAAAAACTAGATTCAGCACCTGCTGTCCCGCTAAAGAATTTGAAGGGAGGGGGAAACTCCTTTGTCATGTGATTTGATCGATTTGTGGGGTTTAACGTCCCAAAACCACCATATGATTATGAGAGACGCCGTGGTGGAGGGCTCCAGAAATTTTGACCACCTGGGGTTCTTTAACGTGCACCCTAATCTGAGCACACGGGCCTACAACATTTCCGCCTCCATCGGAAAATGCAGCCGCCGCAGCCGGGATTCGATCCCGTGACCTGCTCATTTGTCATGTGCCACTTCACATCAACACCTCTATACATAAAGGACTTCATAGCTTTACAGGTGTTTTATTACAAATTTTGTGCAGTTTGCTTTCTACACAACATGGATGAAATGTGAAATCTCAAAGGGCTTTCCAGAGCACAGGGCATGACGACCACCAAACCAACATGCAACCGTATATGTTGTCACAAGCACGTTATCAGCAGAGCTTTCGGTCCTGCTCATAAATGAGCCCAGGCTTCCCATCTCGTGGAGTCGCATGAAGAGTTTTCCAGCCACTTGTTGCATTTGCTGGCCTTATTTGCATTTTTCAGGCAAATGCAATTTACCGCTTGTCAAGTTCTCTAACGGCACATTTGTTATCGACTGTATAGTTGAACATTAAAACCAATCGTACGTTGAATTAGTCAACGAGAACTGTTCATGCGCTGGCATATGTGCAATAGAGTGGAGACTACCCAGCAGACTACTTCAAAAACTAAATTTGTGCTATACTCAGAGATGCACAAATTTTGAGTGCACAAAATTTCAGCAATAATTACATAATTAAAAAAACTTTCCAGAATGAAAAACATTTTTTGAAAAGCTTTCTCTTTTTCTCTGATGGGGTAGGAGCTACTTTTGAGACTATTTGCTCGATGCCTCACAACATGCGACAACTATTGTCACAAGTCATTCATGTTTATGGCGTTCTGTTTGGGAAGTCTATGATAACAGCAAGAACGGGCTTCACCCCATACTGAAGTTCAGAATTTGCTTCAAGTATGCCGAACCTCATTTTTGCCTGTTTTAAGGAGGAGGGGGGGGGTCTTTTTTTTGTCATGGGATGTTGCATAACTACAGAATATCATTGTCACTGTGTGCATCCCAAATACTGTACAGTACTCAAACTGAAATTACATTTTTATAATGACTGCTATGAGCAATAGCTAGTGAATGACACATTGCTGCCAATCTGACCACTAAAAGTCTAAAATTTCATTATTTCAATCCACAAGTACTGTAAATATCATAATCCATGAAGTCAGCATCTACCATTACGCTTAGTGCATACAACGCTTATCAAGAGTCTTCCACAAACATACAGTTTACGAAATCTTATAATAGTACAGCATACTCTGAGACTAAGCCTACATGCCGAGTGGCAACCTAAAGATAAGAGAGGCAAATGTAGAAACCAAAAAAAGCATTTTATTCCGGGCTGGCTACACTTCCCGAATCGGTTTGCACTTCCACATCAGCGAGTCCAGCAGAGCCAGCACGCCGACCAATGTCGAGCAGCTGCCGCAACACGGCATTCTCAGTCGACAGACGCACAACGGTCTCTGTCTGGCGAGTACCAGATAGCTCGTCGATCTCCGCTGCCCGCCGCATCACCTCGGCCATTTCGCAGATCTTGTCGGCCAGGTGGTGGCAGTCCTGGTTACCTTCGCCAAGGCGCTGCTCGGCCTGGCACACAGAGCCCAGCCGTGCCACCTACACGACACCCCACAACGGCATTGGCTTTGTGCAGAGACAACTTAAGACATTCTCTGAACCACTACTATTTTCACCCGCCTCAACCAAACTGCCACTAACAAGAATGACCAACCATAGCACCGATAGCCGTTATCCTTCACATATAAATTTGATTTATTGTAATGATGAATGGATGGTTGAAGAAATTCCAAAAGTAATATGCAAGAAAGGAGTCCAATCTAAATACACAACCACTTTACACTATGCTTCCATCAAAGTTGGCTACTGCAATTGGCAATGAAACTCTCGATACTTTCCTCACCAGAAGAACATCCTAGCCACTGCAGCAGGCTAACGCAATGAACACAGGTATAATGTTGCTCGCATCGATATTTGCACAACATCGAGACAGACATGATGATGATGTATAGTGTTTCTTGGTGCAAGGGCCACGTTATGGCCAAAGAGCGCCAGTACATGCGACAAAAGATTTGGGCTATGAGTAGGATGAGTGGCTGTAAAAGGGCCCAATATTCCTCACTCTAAAGGCGGGTAAACATACAGGGAACAAAATTATGAGAGTGACATGAAATGTGTAGAGTGAAAACTAGTGGTCAATGGTTCTGATGATAAAGCTATAAAGAGATTATAGAGCACGAATGTCTCTCCGGGGTCCTTGTCTCCAAGGGCCGCGAAACATGTGCTTTGTAATGTATGTATGGCAACAACAACCTCTTGTGATAGGTTGTTCTACAGATTACCAGGGTAGATCACGTGGAAGTTGCGAACATCTTTTAAAAATGCAAATAATGAATGATGTTTGGAAAGTGGATCTCTACCGATGAACAACGCTGGGTGAAGAGGCATTTGTTCCCAATAGTATGTTAAAAAATGCTGTTTTCGAATAGGATCTTATTCACTGCACTGTATCTAAATATGTAGGACACTAAGGGGTTCGCCACATTTCTCACAAATTGGTGGATCACCACCGGTCAGAAGGTGTGAGTGTATACTATATGTGTGTCCGATACGAAACCGACAGAGTGCTACTTCTGTACGGCGTGTTTGTGATGTTGGCGGCCACTCACCAAGGTAAGGCTTGATTAAATGTAATTTATTATGTACTTGTCTGTCCCATGTACGCTGCCAGTAATCTCTCAGCTTTTTTCTCAAAAAGGGTCTCAAGTCCATTACGAGGACAGCTACAGATGACTGCAGAGTGTTCGCATGAACTAATGTTGCGAGCTTATCTGCTAGTACGTTTCTCTCAATTTCACGGTGTCCTGGCACCTAACATACTACTACATGCTGTTTCGATGCGTAAATGGCACAGAGGAGAGAGTATAGCAAAACAATGACAGGATTTTTGTACTTTCTGATGGCTTTTAAAGTTTTTACACTGCTTAATGAATCCGTGTATATGACTGCATTACTTATTTCTGATTCTTCAATGTGTTTTGCCGTCGCCAGTATTGCGTAACCTTCAGCTGTAAAAATGCATGAGTGGGGGTGGAGAATACCAACACCCAAAAAAGATGGGCCCACCACTGCGTAGGACACGCCCACGCGAGTCTTTGATGCATCAGTGAAAAATTCAGAGTAGGTATATTTGTGTGCCAATTCGCAGAAGTACACCTGAATGTGTAGGGGTGGGGCATGCTTTGTCACAATCATGAAAGATGTGTCAGAATTTATAACCTGCCAGTGCCATGGTGGGGCGCATGTAGTAGAAGCCATTACGCGGTGTTCGAGCAATGGGACGCCCGTGTCCGCAGCTAGTGCTCGAACACGCAGCGAGAAGGGCTGTTTCAATGTAAGTCGGTTTTGAAAGAGCTGGGAGCTGGATGTGTCGTTTACAGCAGGGTATGTAGGGTAGTCGGTACTTGCGGTTATCTTCAAAAATATGTAAAAGATAGGTACAATCTTTGCATATATAGCGACCACTCATCTGAGTCTGCGTAAAGGCTTTCCACAGGGCTTGTACGAAAAGCTCTCATAGAAAGGCGAATGTCTAGATGGTGGACAGAGTCCAGCACTTTGAATGCCGTTCGTGTTGCGGACTGGTACACTATCGCCCCATAGTCTAGACGCATGCGGATAAGGCTTTTGTAGAGCCTCATCAGACATTTTCTGTCGCTGCCTCAACTTGTGCGGGACAGCACCTTAGGATGTTCATTGTTTTCATGCATTTCTCCTTAATGTACTTAATGTGTGGTATAAACGTGAGCTTCGTGTCTAGAATTATGCCTAAAAATTTTTGTTCACTCTTGACAGCTACGCGCTCACCCTGCAACTCTATATGGGGATTAGGATAGAGGCCTCTCTTCTTAGAAAACAGTTCCTAGAAAACAGAACGCAGGAGCTCTTTAGTGGATTCAGACTGAAAATGTTCTCATCTGCCCATTTACAGACCTTGTTAACACAGAGCTGAACCTGTCGCTCCCATGTCGAGAGATTACAGGATTTAAAACCTATCTGTAGATCATCAGCATATGCTGAATAAAAGATGTTACGTGGGATGCACGATCGCAGGGAGTTCGTTTTGACTAAAAAGAGAGTACAACTGAGGACACCGCCCTAGGTACTCCCATTTCTTGCACGAACGGTCATGACAACACATTGCCCACTCGAACATGAAATGTCCGATTGGACAGATCATTTTCTATTACACTTAGCATATTACCTCGTATACCTAAATTTGAGGGGTCTCTAAATATTCCAAAACGGCACGTGGTATCGTATGCCTTGTCCATGTCAAGGAAGAGAGATAGGAAAAATTGCTTATGAATGAAAGCTTCACGTATTTGCGCCTCTATGCGGATGAGATGGTCTGTGGTGGACCGACCCTCTCGAAATCCGCACTGATATTGGTCGATAAGTTTGTTTGATTCCAAAAAATCTAATAATCGGCAGTTTATCATCTTTTCAATTAATTTGCAGAGGCAGCTAGTAAGAGCAATAGGTCGGTAACTCGATACGGAAGATGGATCCTTGCCCTGTTTAAGAATAGGTATTACTATGGCCTCTTTCCACGCAGAGGGAATCTCGCCAGAAGCCCATATGGAGTTATACAAACAGAGGAGAGTTTGATGTGTTTCTTGAGGTAAGTGTTAAGCATCCGATATATAACACGATAAGAGCCTGGGGCTGATTTGCTGCAGCAGTTTAGCGCTGCCTGCAACTCAGCCAAGCGGAAGGGTCTGTTTTATGGCTCATTTTTTCCACTTTTACGTTCAAGTTTTTGCCTTTCTACTCTCTCTTTGTATCACTTGAAAGTGTCAGAATAATGCGATGAGCTGGACACGTGTTCAAAGTATGCTTTTAGGGAGTCTGCTTGACCCTCAAGGCTGTCACCCTCTGTGTCTACTAGAGGGAGTGTGTGCGTCTGTCGGCCTCTTATCCTATTCACTCTGTTCCAGACCTTAAGTTCATCAGTATAGGAACTAATACCCGACAAAAACTTCTGACAGCTTTCCCTCCTAGCCTGTCGGCCTGTCCTTCACCCTTGAGACTTTACTTGTTTGAAATTGATCAGAGTCCCTGCAGTTGGATAGTCACGCAATAGACACCACGCTTTATTCTGCTTTTTGCGAGCATTCCTGCAGTCGTCGTTCCACCACAGGAGACGACGTCTGCAGGGACCACAACTTTTCTGGGGGATACATTTTGAAGCAGCGTCAATAATAAAAGCGGTTAAATACAAAGCAGCAGAGTCGATTCCTAAAGAGTAAATCTCGGCTCACGATATAGTATAAAGACTGATACTTCTCCAAATCAGCTCTGTCTACCTTCCAAGTTGAAGTCTGAGGTAGAAATTCATTTTCTTTTGGTGTCTTCAGTAATATGGGAAAGTGATCACTCCCATAGTGGTTTTTAATAACGTCCCAATTAAAATTAGGTAAAAGTGTAGAAGAAACAATGCTAAGATCAATGCATGAATACGTTTTGTTCGCCAGGCTAAAAAATGTTGGTTCTTTCTTATTTAAAATGCATGCATCTGTGGAAAGAATAAGGTTCTCAATCAAGCGGCCTCGCACATCACTCCTCGAGTCACCCCACAAAGGGCTGTGGGCATTAAAATCGCCAAGGATGATATATGGTTCAGGTAGTTGATCCATAAAAGACTGAAATTCTTGTTTCTGCAGCTGATAATGAGGAGAAATGTACACTGAACAAATGGTAGCAAGTTTCCCTAAGACAACAGCACGAATGGCCACTGCTTCGAGGGCCGTTTGTATCTGCAAATCTTGACAAGCTATGCATTTGTCTAGTATAATAGCAACGCCACCTGATGATGCGACGATTGCATCATCTCGATCTTTGCGGAAGATGATGTGGTCTCTAAGGAAATTCTTGTGTCTACACAGATTAGTCCTCTAACAGATAACTGTACGAGTTAGCCTTACAAGCAAAACTAACAGAGCAGACACGAATAAGATAGATGTCCTGTCATACACTTATTCATTATTGTCATCTAGTATCACACATTGTTTCGTCTACAAGACTAGAAGTAATTATCCAAATCACTCATCACTGAGAACCTGAGCCAGCTTGGACTTATGCAAGCAGATGAAATATTTGCAACGTGTAGAAAGTTCTAAAAAAAGCTGAGCTCATTGTAGAGATAAGCAGCGCCTCATGACACTCAATTCAGTACTGTACACTAGTCATCAGTCACATGGCAGTAGCTAAGTTGTCTAGCAAACCAAAAGATGGTGCCAGCATAAATGTGATGAGCTACCTCTAGGGAAGCTGTGCCTATCATCACTATGTCCTGTGAAATTTATGCTGTTAGCTGAAGGTGTACAAATGATCTACGCCTCCGTCATGAGCATCCTTAAAACCAGAGCTAACCTAATATGGACTCATTCACACTGGCGAATTTCGGTGGCCACGCGACTAGTCACATATGATAACATTAGTCAAAAAGACTTTATGGTCATTCTTTCAGTGCTAAATTTTTCCGTCCATGACTGCAGCCACAACCCTATGAATCAAACAACTGCTCAAGAGCTGCACAACCACTTTTTTAAGTCTGAGAATGGCCATGCAAGCTGTAACTATGTGGCAATACAACGAAATGGTCACGCCCGCCGGCGTGGACATTCGTTGCATTGAGGTACTTCTTAAGTTTCAGTCATTACAGGTCCTATTATCTCCTACAAACTTGGCAGAGGAATTTCATGCGGCAAAACCACCATACGACCATGAAGCATGCCGCACGCACGGAGGACAGTTTATATCAATTTTGAGCATGTAGGTTTCTTTGATGTGCAACTTAATGTAAGTAAACAGGCATTTTCCATTTGGTCTTCAATAAACCAAGTCCTCGGGGTTGGCAGGAATGGAACACGTGTGCTCAAGCTCAGCATTAACTGAACAAGTGCCTTCAAGCTCAGCAGAAACTGAACAAGTACCTTCAAACTCAGCAGAAACTGAACAAGTGCCCTCTTCAAGCTCAGCAGAAACTGAAGCACCCTCAAGGTCAGCAGAAACTGAACAAGTGCCCTCAAGCTCGGCAAAAACTGAACAAGTGCCCTCAAGCTCGGCAGAAACTGAACAAGTGCCCTCAAGCTTAGTAGAAACTATACATGTGTCCTCAAGCTCAGCAGAAACTATACATGTGCCCTCAAACTCAGCATAAACTTTACAAACGCCCTCAAACTCAGCAGAAACTGATAAAGTGCCTTCAACCTCAGCAGAAACTGAACAAGTGCCTTCAACCTCAGCAGAAACTGAACAAGTGCCTTTAAGCTCAGCAGAAACTGAACAAGTGCCTTCAAGCTCAGCAGAAACTGAAGTACCCTCGAGCTCAGCAGAAACTGAACAAGTGCCCTCAAGCTCAGCAGAAACTGAACAAGTGCCCTCAAGCTCAGCAGAAACTGAACAAGTGCCCTCAAACTCAGTAAAAACTGAACAAGTGCCCTCAAGCTCAGCAGAAACTGATTAAGTGCCCTCAAGCTCAGCAGAAACTGCACAAGTGCCCTCAAGCTCAGCAGAAATTGAACAAGCACCCTCAGGCTCAGCATAAGCTTTACAAATGCCCTCAAACTCAGAAACTGAACAGGTGCCTTCAAGCTGAGCAGAAACTGATCAAGGGCCCTCAACTTCAGCAGAAACTGAACAAGTGCCCTCAAGCAAAGCAGAAATTGGGCAAGTACCATCCATATTAGCAAAACACAAACCCCCATCCCCTAGTTTAGCAATGCAATACTTTAGCCGCTCAGCTACCACAGCAGGGTCGCGGCTCCTTGTCAGTCACCAGTGTGAATGAGCCCCTAGTGGTGGTGCACACATGCTTGCCTGCTCCCGGTACTTGGCCATGATCAGCTCGAGGGCCGACTGGTGCTCCTTGAGGGCAGCGACGAGCTCACGATTCTCCTGTTGCAGCTCACGCATGTGCCGGTTCTCCTGCTGGATGGAGAGGACAAGTGCAGCGCGCGGCCGCGGCGTCGCCGCCACGCAGCTGAGCTGGGCAAGCTCCTCGTGGTACTGGCGCATGGCCTCCACACCCTGGCTCATGGCCTGCGCCTGAGTCAGCAGGCGGTCGGCGTTGCCGTCCTGCTCACGCAGACGACCCACCAGGCGCCGCGCCTCGCCCAGAATCTGCTGAATGCTCACCGTGCTGCTCATTTCTGTTGGCGGGCTGATGGGCCTGCGCACCACCACGTGCAGCCGGCTGTTTTGTTAAACGAACCATTTGAGTGCAGGCCACAAGTTTCCCCCCCGCAACCTAACAAGTAATTCCTACAGTCTTTAAAACGACCACAGGAAGAACCCTGACTACAATCAAAAGGAGACTCAAATGAACTTCTGGATGAACGATGTTTCCAGCATTAATCACACAATGTGGAAGACTGTACAGAACCAATGTGAACTACTCATCAGGCGACAAGGGCTTACCAATTCCAGATGCTATTGAAGGTTAAAGAAGGAAGAGTTTCATGCACTGAATTACCAGAGTCAGTCCTACAGTCCCCTATGATCTCCGTCAAACATCACTGAAGAACAATATAAACTTTGGGTAACCAACAATACGAAAAATGTGAACTTCTGAGTGACAATGTTCTCAGCATTAATGATGCAAATCAGAAATAGAAAGCCAAGATGTGCTGCTTATCTATCAGGTGGCAAGACGAGCGCCAACTCTGTATATTAGCAAAAGTTCATGAAGGAAGAACGAGCTTTATGGGCTACACCACAACCGACAATTTGGGGGCCTGCTATTGTGACTATCAAATCCCTGTCTTATGAGACCCAACACGCTCAACAGTCCACCAACATGCCCTGTAGAGATACGCATTGTACAGCTTTCTCAATGCCTTCCATACACCCACAACAAAACATGGCCTTGCTAGACGCAATGTATCTCGCACAATGGCCGAAGTATTCATGTTTTCCGCCGGAAAGTTTAGCTCCCCACACAATAACTTGCACACTTATAAGAGCGATTATTGCCTAGCAGAGGAACCCTATCTTAACATATTTTAAGGCCCCTCATTCCCGGGTACTTATCAAGCCAGCTCCTTTTCACTGACCTCTCTGTGTTTTTTTTTTATAGACAAATTAGAAATCTGTATGACTGAATGAACAATCAGTAACTCAGACACCAGCACGTCAAGCATCATCAAAACAAAGCTAATTTAGAGACAATGACTGACCAATTGCTGTCATCAAGGCTTAGGCAATAGTACACTAACATATGCTACTCCGCCTGAGGGAGCATTACACATTGCTTAAGAGCAAGGCGCACTTTGTTGTTGTCTGTGTACATTGAGCTTGTCTTCAATGAAAAGCGATCTTCACACGTGGCTGTCTCATCCGAAAGCAAGCTGATTCCCTTACCTCACCCAAAACGGATGAAAGTGCACAAGATGCTACAACAATTGCACACAGACAAGTGAGGCATTCATTCTTGCACCCATAGGATAAAAAAACTTTCCATGCCTTTGGTGGAACAGCAAAATGTACAGCAGTAGTCATGATAGCACTGATAACATAAACGGTGGTGTGGCATGCTTTTCTAAATCTTTTTTTGTGCACAAATTAGTCACGATCCACATGTTGCATACTCCCGTTTTACTTGCAAAAATGGCTTGGCCAACAAGTAGGCCTGTCCCACCTAATGAGATGTTAATGATCACTAACAAGCCAGATTACTCTTATTAGAACAGCTCGGAACACGCCAGCTTAGCGAGTGAAGATGCTGATGACCACAGATGTCAGCATGTTCTCCGAACAACGCGCTGAACATGCCGGGATATTTTTGTCATCAACTACAGTGCATGCAACATTCCAACGGCACAAGCAATGGCTCTGTTGTTTTACAACTACTGAAGTCTTCGTTCGCTCCGTGAAATGCGTTCCCAGGATTAGCAGTGAGCAAAGTAGCATTGATGAACAATTCAAAATTAGAAATTACATCTTTTCCGAATATCATTGCAAGAGCACTCATCACAGAGCAACTAGAATATCGGCATAGCACTGTGGGAGTGCCTTGCTGTTCCTCTGTATACTTATTGCACTACAAAGGAATCGCGTAATTCGAAGAACCTCGCACAGCGCCACGTTGTGAACGTTGTGTTTCCAGCCCCGCAGGAAATGTTTTTTTAGTGTGCTAGAGTAATAAATATTATTGACCAAAACACCCAACTCCTGTACTTTTGTTTGCAACATTAAACATAGATTAAGGTTTGTCCCCAGTGCCTGTGCAGCAGTTCACGAATTTGCGTTTTCTTGTGGATAGATGAACATGGGACTAACCGTGTATTAATGTTCGGTTGAAAGAGCGCTTTATGAATTTCTCAACAGATCGCTATTCCCATGTGTCTAAGCACTGAGGGAAGTGTAAAGTAGGTAGCAATAACTCGCCGTCATCACTGTCCAATGAACTTGATTAATTGATATGTGGGACTTAACGTCCCAAAACCACCATATGATTATGCGAGACGCCGTACTGAAGGGCTCTGAAAATTTCAACCACCTGGGGTTCTTTAACGTTCACCCGAATCTGAGCACACGAGCCTACATCATTTTCGCCTCCATCGAGAATGCAGCTGCCACAGTAGGAATTCGATCCCGCGACCTGCGGATCAGCAGCCGAGTGCCTTAGCCAGTAGACCACCGCGACGGGGCAGATGCCTCATCCACCATGCAATCCTAGGCTGAGGGTTCATACGAGAAGGGGCAACCCCAATATTAAGTTTGGGGGGACAATGTCATTCTGTCATACTCACGTGCCTTCACTGGAATTAGGAGTGAGAAAAACAGTCTGTGCACGTGCATTTTTGGAAAGCTGCCTGGCAGATTTTCGCAAATTGTCAACTGCGTCGTACATTGTATAATCAAAATCATCAACGCTGTTGCCAATGATGATCAATTAAAGTACCCGATTGCTCTTTTACGGGCAGACCTTCACACGCACTCGTATGCTTTGACACCTTGTGAAATTTTACATTTCTGCCACAAAATATTACATGCAACGACACTCCTTGCACTGCTAAACATTCATGAAGATTTTTTTTTTTCCCAAAGCGATTCCAAGCATGGTCAGGGCTCTCAGAAGGCTGGGGTACGATTTTCACACATACAATATTTTAAGAATTTATTTATATCAATTTGAATTTTTCAGTGATCTTTAACATAATTTTTTGCTCACAACCGACGATGCCAACATCGGAATTTCTGTGAAGCGAACTCTGCAATAATTTGTACTCCAGTTGGCAAGATTACCCATATTTTGCAAAGCCCACAAATGCACACTAATGAAGCAATGCTACATTAATGAATTCATCCAACAGCAGCCCAAGAACTTGCCTTGCATGAGCGATTGCAGTCCAACAAATGTATGTACTCTCACATGTGTACATCTATGTGCTAGTCTGTGTAGAGCTCTGCCTGTGGAGATGGCACAGCTCTGCAGAGCGACACCTGACAGCAGTTGCAGGCTTTGACATGGTGTGCCCAAAAGTGTGTGTGGCCTTATAGACATGCAGACCTGCTTAACGCGAGTGACAACGTTTAAAGGTGCACACGTTCTAAAGATGCTCGCTCCCTCCCAGGATGCTTTCAGCATCTCAATTACAAAAGATCACGAATTTCGGCCAATAACACGCACTTAGTTAGGCACATATTCGCAGTATTTTAGCCACTTCGCACAAGACAAACAAGGACAAAGATGGGAGATTAACGAAGTGGTACAGTCTAACAACTGGTTTATTTTTTTAAATTTATCTGCTCAATAGTCCACATGATCTGCATAATGTTGTCAAAAATACACATTTGTGCATATAACAACACGTGGGGGGTGATGATCAAAACTTTATTACTCCCAAAAGAGGGGACAGGCCGAGAGGTCGGTTACGCTGCTTCGAGGAGATCAGCGGGGATCCCTTGGGACACCGCGGCCTTTCAATGCGCGTGAGATTACCCGGTGTTGCTGTGCCGAGTCAGTGATATGCAGAAGGGACTCCCATGTATCTTCTATGTGACAAGCGGCAGCATACTGTGGGCACGTCCATGCCATGTGTATGAGGGTGGCCGATTGTGAGCAGTATCTACAGTGTGGTGTCACGAGGTGGAAGGGGGGCTCAGATTATCACGTTCGTGAGGCATCACCTTCATACTTGTAATATCCGCGAGTGATGTGTATTTTTGACGAGATCGTGCAGATAATGCTGGTTACTAAAGCAAATGTATCTTCCAAAAATAAACTAGTTGTTAGATTGCGCCACTTTGTTATGCCGTCTACGTCCTTGTCTTGCGCAACGTGGCCCCCAAAACATGAATTCATTCGAACTAGGCTGAGTAGCAGTTTTGCTCCTGTTCTCATTTGAAAGGAATCATCTTTTGGAATCTTCGGTTACAGAAACACATCTCTGTATTTTGCTTGTTGTGCAAAGCAGGTATGCATAATGATTAGAATTTGGCAGTTTTGTTTTTGACTAGACCGCAGCTCTACAACCTGCCTGTAGTGACAGGTGACATGTTTGACAATTTGGGGGCTAGGAAAGAAGACAGTAGTGCACACAGGGTAGCAAACTGGAATAAACAGCATTACATATTAAAAAAACATGTATTACGCTACAATTGGCTGCTTGAAACCATCTGTGGTCCCTAACTATGTTACCTAGCTTACCTAGTTTGCTCAACATTTCCTGCGTGCATCACATTTCACCAACGGAAAATGTCCATCTCCTGAAAAAATGTGTGCACATTTTGTAATTTCAACAATTTTCCATTGTGGGCCTGCTTCTGCAGTGCTGTTCATCTATTTATACTGCTAGGCTTCCCCATCAATTTTACTTCTTGCATTTTTTTTTTTTTTGTTGCAGTTCACTTTATGGGCATTATCGCGATCAGCATGTCAATTCAGATGCCTACAATTAATGTCGTATAGGGGTGAACGTTTTGAAAGTTGGCACGGTCGGGGCAGGGACGTGGAGTTCGTTCGAATTTGCCCCTTCAGTACCAACTTACAAGTTTGAGCTATCGTTTACATCGTGGTGCATGCATAAATTTCAGTCCAGCGTAGCTACCAACGCTTCAGCAAGAAAAGGCGCAAGACGAGTTAGTACAGTCACCAGAGAAATGTGCCGAAATTCACAGTTCCAGCAGGGGACAAAAGAACTTTTTGGGGGGCAAGTTGGTGCACACTTGACGCTGTTCTTTTTTTTTTTTTCTGCTCCTCCTGTTTCGCGATTTTTTTTTTTTTTTGCGCTTCAGTCATCTGCACCAAGTATTCAGCAGGGGCCGTTGCGCTAAACTGCTGATGCTAAGTGCCAAATGTTGTCTGTACCGTTTCCGAGTACAAAATTCCGGCCGCATGCCTATCCTTTTCCACGATGTCCAGAATGTGGTCCGCAGTGGCACCCCAGAAATGATACAGTTGACAACTCACGTTGCTGCAGTGTCCCCGGTGAGTTGCCTGCGAACATGCCCGCAGCGGTAGGAGAAGCAACCAGCCCTCTCTTCGAACTCGAAGTCCTGTCGAAGACACCGAAAGACATTTTTAAAAAAACACGGTCAACGGCCACACCTTGCGCGGTACAGCACAGCGATGGAGGTAACCGACGCCGCACGAGCGTTTAAACTGAGCAGGAGCTTAATATTTAGCCGTAATTTTTCTAGTTAGAATGCGCTTTTACATTTGTGTTTGTGCAAGATGCGAGAAGCATTCGTAAATGAGAGAAGATGCACTCACCCGGCCACCTCCCGACTATCCCAACGCTGAACGTAATTTTGTTAAATCGATTACAATTTTGATTTGCTTTTGGCTGCAGCTTCGACTTGCATTGCCTCGAAACAAAACTTCAAAAAGAATGTTTGGTATAAAGTGAATAATAAAAAAGTATAAGTATGCATATATGTATGTTTTAACTGACCTAATTAAGATTTTATAACGAAATTTGTATTTTTGGCACATTGGCCTTGGCAGTTATAAACCACAGCACTACCTTTTCATGCGCACTTTCGCATCTAGGTAATGGCGCTGAGTACAAAACTCATAGAGAAAAGAATAACAGAACTCTTCGAAACACGAAAGCGCACGAAATTGACGAACATCGCTGAATTACCGTGGCGGGGGCTGATCGGGTCCTCAGCCCGCCACGTCGCTTCTTCGCTGCGGCCGACCGATGTCAGGCGGCGGCTTCGAGTCAACGCCGACGGTGTTCGGCGGCAAGCTGTGGTGCGCGCGGACTACGTCCGAAGGCCGCTGCCTGGTGCGCTGCTTCAGAGCCAACGGCCGACAGGGTGATGCTTACGAAGCGGTGCTAGCCGGCGAAAATCACGTAGTGGCAGCAGCGCCTGGAACCGGCCGCAACAGGCGCGATTGCGAACTCGCGCGCGTGTCTTGCTGGTCCAGCGGGCTCGAGACGCTCGTGCTGCGTGCCGGGCACTCGGTGCACGTTTGGGACGGAGAGCGCGGCGCGTTCCAACGCGCAGCCGGAGACGTGACGGCCGACGCCTCGCAATGTGCCGTGCTCGACGGCCCCACGTTGGTTCAGCTGTCGCCTGGCCGCCTGCGGCTGGAGCCGCTACTTCAAAGTGCGTGCGAATACGGAAGACAACATCACCTTTTGCTCGTAATCGGCTGTTGTAAAAGCTTTAGAACTGCTGCTAAGTTCCGTGAAGTCAATGAAGCTATAGCGCTGAAAACAGGTGGCAAGGGAGAGAACAGAACGTATGCTTGCTTGGTCCCTGTTTTTTTTTTTTTTTTTTTTTTCAGCGCTATAGCTTCATTGAATGGACAGCCGACTACCTCAAAATTTCATACTCATGCTGCTTAGAGTTCATTGAAAGTCTATTCGTGTCTTGTTGTGAGACAGCTTTTTTTTTATTTCAATGATGAAATCTGGCACTTAGAACAGTACTTGCGACACAGGCTTCAAGAAGTAATGAAAATACCTATATGTAGTGCACGATGCATGTATATAGCCATAGGCCCATACAGCATGCAATGCAGTTCATGAGAGGGAGCGAGATAGCCTAATAGTGCACAAAATAGAACCACCATTCATACGCATGTCAAGTGGACAAGTTAAGTGTGCTTATGGGGTACGCTACAACCAAAGTGTGGTTTACTGAATATAAACGACGCAAGCAGAGTGTTATTCGCAGAAGAGAATACTCCGATCGGATTGCATTCTGTAAGCACACCTTATTGTGCCTTGACTGCATGTGCCTCAGTTGGTAGACTTTCATTGCTTGTATGAAGGTAGCTGCTTTCTTGTTGAGAAAAAAATAACATTGTTTTTGTGTATCATTCAGCGTGAAACTATCATACTTGGGAATGCTGTTTTTTTCTTTCATTTGCTGCAAGTGTGCTCTGTTTTCTCGTTCAGCACAGCATATTTAAAGTGTCACTGAGGGTTTCGAAGCGTACTCCCATAAGAGCACCTGCCCACTTGGCGAGGGCATTATTTTCAAAGAAGTAGACTTCAGTATACGTATTTGACCACATTTGTGCTTTCACACCTAAGGACGCTACAGAGGAACATTTAACACTCAGGATCTTTTGGCTTAGCATTACCATGGTATGATCAGTCAACTTGCACCATTAAAGACTCTTAAGAATACAGAACGCATGGATCACACTATTTGAAAGGTGCTGAAACGATTGTATGTTGTTGCTCATTGCCTGAATGATGTCATAAAGAAAATAAAGTTTTCCTTGTTTTTCTGTATTATTGGCTTCTACGCCATTCAAACAATTCGTTTGATATATATCTGCATTAGGTTTTTTTCTACTACAACGCTGTCTTTGTAAAAGTAATGGCTCGTACTTGCTGTACAGGGAAATGTGGATCCTTTCTTCGATCGTGTTGTAATGCAAGTGTCGACTCATTTGCTTGTGGAAGTTAAAAGCGTCAAGAGAAGCGGTGTAAATATGTGCCGACATACTTTCTACGTTTGTGACTAACTGCACAGGAATATACACACGTGTCAACTCGGGAAAACAACTCACGCACATTCATTGCCACAGTAGGATAGCACTCGTTTTTTAACTGTATTGTTAATTTATGATTCTAATTCTGCTTGCATGGCTAATCACAAAGGCTTAAGAAATATTCATCAAAACCTTCTTTCGGTAGAACTTATGTACGAGAAAATGTAACCACAGTGCATCAGTACATACCAAACGAAGCTGATGAACCTGTCGCTGTTGGCCACACAGTTTAGAGCAAGCAGGTAAACTATGTTCAATTCGTCCTAGAATGATACTGGCTGCTATAATCCAATTAGACTTCCAGATGAAGTAACCAGTGCATGTATAATGTGTGTAGTGTCGGAATTATGTAAGTTTAGGAGACGTCCTTTTAGACTACTCATTTGAGTTAGTTGGTACTGACTGAATTGATCGTACTAGCGAAAACATGTAATGGTTTACACTGAATGGCATACCACAACCGCTAGACTTCAATTCTTCAATTTCAAGCCCGGCAGCTATTCCACGTAGGGTGTGTTCACTAGTATTATGGATTCATTATTTCGTACAGTAGAGAGTCAGATAGAAAATGAGAAGTGCATGTTGCTTCCAATTATCCCCTTCCTTCTTTTTTTTGCTTTTTTCCCCATATACATATTCATCTTTAGATAAGGATGATCACCTAGGCTAAATGGAGATCCTACTGCAAAGTACCAGAAGCCTGTGGTTCTGCTTTTGAATTTGCAGCAGACAATGGTCCCGTTGCGATCACCTTGGACGAACAAGAACCATTCCAGGGCATTCTTTCTGGTACCAACTGCCAGGTGGCCATCTCCGGAGATTCCTCCGAGCTGTCTTGGATTCTTCTCTGCGTCCTCGCACTAAAGAAGGCGCATACTTCATTGCAACTTCCGAAAATCGAACAGCCCGACTTCCAGCGAGTCTGTTCCTGGGCTCCTTGTATGAAAGCTCCAGTCTGACGGCTTGCCTAGTCACCCTTGCTTGGTCACATGGGGAAGCACCGGTCACTCCCTGGGATCGGCTGAAGACGGTGTTTCGCGACAATGTGACTGCAGCGTGTACCGCATCCGGCTCATTGCTGATAATTGAATCCGGTTGCCCTCGGTATCGCTGCAAGCTGCCTTCTTCAAGCGTCAAGAGGCTGCAAGGAAGCTTCTTTTGCGGTGGCCTGGACTACCTGCTCCTCTGGTTCGACTCTGGTGGTGGTGCGGTGATTGCTCAGGACACGAGAGGAAGGTTCCAGGTAAGTGACTTTGTACTAAGTGGTGGATACTGGGGTAGACTGGCCGTGTCACTGTCCTCACAAAGGACATGTATATGCATCTTAACAATGCAATATATTTACTAAATATTGAAATCAAGTGTATCGCCTTGTTCTGTTAGCATAACTAGGTCACGAAACAGCTAACATGTTGCTCACAAATTTATCTGACAAGCTTATGTTGGTGCCTACCTCTATTTCTCAGAATGCCTTTTTCTAGTAATTGATGAAAACCAGCAGATAATAAAGCTAACAAAGCTTTAGGGGGCAATAATTGTACTGTTTAAGTGTATTGTAGTGCTTGCAATGTAGATAGGGAGAAAGTAAAGCGTACGAAAAGACAACTTGCCGTTGGCTGGAACCGATTCTGTGGCCTTCGAATTACCTGCCCCATGCTCTTACCAACTGAGGAACAGCAGCGGCTGACCCCTCGATTGTGCGCTCAACGAAAACACTTGACTCTGCCAGAATGAGACCCTCGCTGTGAATGAAGGAAGGGAATTTTCGAAGACTTGTTTCCTCTGTTTGGTAAAAAATCTTAAGGAAAACTATCAGATATGAAGCCAAGAGTTGAATGCAATCAGGCAGTGTGTGAGGGCTTATTGGTCTGCTGTCCGGTCATGAAAGGTTCACGTACAACGGGATACCATCTAGTTAAGAGAGAGTTGCACACTCGCCGTAATGGGAAAGAGTGATGCTGACTAATGCTTTCAGGGTTGGCATGCACATGAATACCTGATAAGTGGACTAGGGGACGAGAGCCATTGTAGTTCACTTTTGGTAAGGGCATTTGGCGCGTAATCTAAAGGTCATAGGTTTGATCTCTGCCTGCGGCAGTTGGTCTTTTCGTCCTCTTGACTTTTTTCACGTGTCACAATTACTACCATACACTTAGAAACAGTACAATTAGCATTTCTATAATTTTATAGGCTTCATTATCAGCTGGTTCTTGTTAAGGTTTGTCAGACAACGAAACGAGTCCTAGGAAATGTAGTTATGCCCTTGTAGTAATTAAGTGACACGACAAAGTGATACAGCTGCACATGTACAACTCCTCCATTATTTCTACTACTGCTACACCAAATAACCATGTGGATGGGCCAAGTTGTAAGTGCTCTCATTGTTATCGTTTTTCAGTATTCAGCCAAAGTTTCACTAACTGTCATAGGAACTCTAGCCCATGTTGCAGCTTAATTTCTTTTGTTCATGACTCATCTGCGTTTGTGTGCTGGCAACACAAGATAGCTGTGGAACGCTTTAGTGTTTTGTGCTTGTATCACTTTGTGGTCGACGATTAAAGTGCATGGATGACTACTTAAACTTTCAATTGAGATTGTCAATAGATTTACCTGATATTCTGGCAAAGGAACTCACTTTCAGTGATTATAATATGGGTCTTGAATTTGATAGGCTAAAAGGAACAAGGATGGCTGAAATCACTGCCGTGCAACAAGAAAACCGTCATGCAGATTTCAGTCAAACCCACTCTTCCCAAGTTCGATGAAGCCCTGTACTCACAACACTTGTCGCACAATGCTGGTGCTAGAGTTTCCTTCAGTAGCATGCTCAATTATAAACTATTTTTTTAGCGCAAATGAAGACGAGAGACGGACAGCGTGGAAAGCTACCGTGAGAATGAACCGACTTGTTCAACAAGTCACTCTATAACCTATGTGATAGTCATCATGTGATTGTGCCGCTTTTTCTCAGAGCCATGTGAAGATGGCCCCATGCACTCGTGTTTCAGTTGGGTGACAGCATCGAACCAGGCCCCGAGATCTGCTGCGGGGACTTGTTGGGCTTAGGCAGTGAGCAGGTGGTAGCCTGGGAGCCGGGGAATAGCCACATCCGCTGCCTTCAGCCAAGCCGCTTCGCAGTGCAACATGAAGACGACGAGGAAGTGGCAGCAGCCGGTAACCAGGCCTCGCAGGTCTTGGTCGATCTGCTGCAGCACTACTCTGGCGTGAGTGGCTTTTGCGGTCCCGTGACGTCTGGGTCATTCAAACCTGTTTTACTGTTTTGCCAACTCTAATGAAATTCTGGGACCTAGCTGGACGCTACACAGCTTTTTGTGTAGATTTACAGGAATCTAGGCATGTTTTTTCAAATGATTATACTTCTCCCCATCATGAACAAGTTCTTCTTCAGCCCAGTTTAGGGCCTGCTTATGTATCTCTGATTCATGTGCCTGCTCGTGCATCTCTAGGCATTGCTGGGAGCGTTAATGAGGCACTTGACAATGAAGACCAATTGGTCGTTGAACCAGTTGTTCATAATGAAACTGTGGCTCTTCCGCAACTTGCTTCAGTTCACTTGCTCAGACCTAGCACGAGGAGATATGCGAATCTCACACAGGGACAATGGTCTGATGCGTAGGTCGAGGCATCAGCCTACGCAGAATTAGCCCTTGGGGAGGTTAGTGATGTCTTAGCAACCAAATTTACTCACAGTTCTAGAGAGGCAATAGAGAAAGTGCACAAGCTGCCTAGATACATTGAAGCCCTTGAAAAGATTCAGCTTACTCATACTAGTTTGCACATTGAACACTACATTGAGGGCCCGGAATATTCCCACTGCAAATGGGCAGATTCTGAGTTAATCGCTCTGGAGAAGAGGAAACTGGAGTTTGGGGGTCATAAAAGAATCAATGAGGCACTCCATGCAGTTTTTGGCAGTCATACTGTTTCAAGTATTTCTCATGTTCGTCCTACTACTCTCTACCAGAACGTTTTAGAACTTCTCAATTCACACACCATTAACCCTGCCACATTATCTTCATTCTGTGGTTCAGTGTCTCCTACTCCTCTTGAACTCTCTGCTTCAGAGATGTGTATGTCCTTGCTGAATTGGGTGTTTCCAATGAGGCTATAGTTTCTGCACTTGTTTCAGGTCCTACGTCTACTGACGACTTGAGAACCATATATAATGTGTTTCGGGTGAAACAGAAAGCTAAAACTACAAAGAAAAGCAAACAAAATCTAGTCAGCCAGCTAGTCAAAACAGAAGTCAGCGTAAATGTTTGCAGTATGTCAAACACCAGCGGCTATATCACTTAGGCCCTAAAGTTCTCGGGATCACTTGTTGATCGGAGACACTACTCCATGCTCCCTTTCAGACTTACACAACGAGTTCGATAAAGTATTCAACTCTTATTGTGCTCCTCTCTCTGAACCTTGTTTCCTTCTGTGATTTCAGATGTGAACGAGAGTTTGTTTTCTGAAGGCGAAGTAGCTGTGGCTATTCGCCTGCTCTCTTCCAAGTCAGCTCCTGGTCCAGATCACATTTTTGTCAGCGAATCACTAAATATACCCCCGAAGTATCCTACAGCATATTTTCAATAACTGGCTGATATTCAGCCTGGTTTTCTTGGAGATGAAGCAGAGCCGTACTGTTTTCATTCCTAAAAAGGCAAATCCTCAGTGTTTAGGCAACTTTCACCCGATTTCCGTTTCTCCAGTTTTGTTCCGTTCGGTCACGAAACTTTTGCTATCTAGGCTAAGCGCCGCCACCAACCATTTTCACTAATTTCAATCCAGCTTTGCTAAGGACTGCAGCTCATCCTCTAATCTTTTTGTCCTGCAGGCTATCATGCGCATCATAAAACTTGAATACGAACCATTCTTCTGTGTGAGCCTTGACTTACGCAAGGCCTTCAGTTTCAGTTTCAGTTTCTTATTCATTTCAAAAAAGTAGTACAGTAATATTAATATACAGACGAGGGTCCCAAAGTTAAAAACTGTAACGGGACCCTCGATGCATTATAACAATCAATAAATCAGATCAAGTTAACAAGCAACGAGTGAATGGAAATCAATTATACAATATAGAGTGATGAGTAATTATTATAGGCTAAGTGACACATCAGGCAACAAAAAGCAAGGCAAATAAGGAAAGAAAAAAGAAAGAGCGAAAAAAAAAAACATCTCGTTCAGTGGCGGACATTGTCAATCGAAATGCAATGATCTAAATGGCATAACCAAAAACGCAAAGCCCCCAAAAAGCCCATATACAGGCAGCTAATAATTTAACAGAAAACTTTTAAGCGACTTTTTGAATGATGACAATGTGGGCATCGTTTTAACAGATTCAGCCTAGCACTCTGCTGTCTTTAAGGGGAGACACGGGTCTTTTAGAGCAAAAAATTGCCAAAAAATCAATTTTTTTAAATATTTTTTTTCGAAATCTCGACGTCCAAAACAATCTATTGCTGGAATATTAACGCGTTCCGATTAGTATTTATTTTGCTATTGCGTTCTAAAGAGATCTTCATGATCACTCTCGCTCGAAAACGCCCTCCCAAAACGGGCAATTTCAATGTCGTCGTCTGCGGTAACCGTTAGCCCCAGCACGGCCATTTGGGAATCATTCGAAAGCTAAATGCTTCAGCAATCCGGTTTTAGCGAGAAAACAACTCTAAGTCTGGCGACTATGGAGCTACACGCCACCGAAAAGGAGGGAATACTCGCACGGCATTGGCGCGTTTATACCACGTGGGGCAAATCCTGCTCTCCGATTGGACGACCGAAATTTCGTCTGCCCGACTGTGTGCAACAATGCGCGACTCCTTGTCACAAATTGTTCGGACGGGACGATGGCTGGCGGGCGACGCAAATTCGCGACAGCTCATGCCTACGGCAAAAAACGCAAGCGTCGGTCTCGGATACCTGAAGCAGCGTCGAGTGAATCGACGGCGACGAGCCCCGCGACATGCGCCAGCGAGTGTACGATATCCACCGAAGCTGCAGCCGCGCAAGCGATGCCTGTGGCCGACGACACGAGGACAACGCGCGTCGATACGCATTTTGTGACAGAATGCGGAAAAAGTGGCAATTGAGCATCGCGCGGAAGAGCAACGACAGAAGCTGTCTTCGTTATCAGCTACCCGCCGAAAGCGGTCGCTTATCGGAGATTCCCCGGAAGCGGCGGGGTCCGGCACCGAGTTCACGCTGCTAAGCCTACCGCTGCTGAACCAACTGCTTCGGTGCGCGAAATGCGAATTCTGCTCTGGCCCATTGAACGTTTCACGGGGCGACCGTGAGTACGGATTGGCAGTTAGAATAGTGGTGAACTGTGCCATCTGCGGAGATGTCAGCGCCGGATGGAGCTCGCCGAGAGCAGGGGGGAATGCGACCTGCAACCCTTTCGAAGTAAATGTGCTTGCGGCTCGTGCAGTTATGAGCACGGGAAATGGGCAGACCGTGCTAAACGAAATTTTTTCGGCCCTGAATGTGTCTCGTCGTGGAATGCACAACAAAACGTACCAAGACTACGTCAAAACCAAGATGAACCCTGCCGCGATGAACGCATCCGCGGGTATTATGAGCGAGTGCGCAACAGCTGTGAAGGCCATCTATTCTGAACTGAATTTCGGGAACCCCGGCAATATCGCAGTTTCCTACGACGGGACTTGGCTAACTCGTGGCCACTTGTCACACATTTGTGTGGGAACTGTAATAGAACTGTTTTCAGGCTATGTGTTGGACTTCAAAGTTCTCTCGAACTTCTGTTTGGGTTGCGAGATTGGCCCCAAGGACGACGACCCTCGATACAGTGAGTGGCGAGCTCGGCACAAGTGCCAAAAAACTCTTCGAGCAAGCCTGGCCAGATGGAGGTGGAGGCTGCCAAAATTCTGTTTCGCGGGTCCCTCGAAAAGCATGGGTTCCGCTACACAACGATGATGTGCGATGGCGATAGCCGCGCTTTCAACAGCCTTCAGGAGGAGCAAGTGTATGGCTTCGTGGCTATCGAAAAGGAGGATTGCATAAATCATATACATAAAAGGATGGGTGCTGCACTGAGACACCTCCTGCAGAAGAGCAAGGGGGAAGGTCGGCCAAGCCTCCAAGCCTCGGTGGCAAAGGAAAGCTCACCGCTGAGCTTGTAACGAAGCTTACAAATTATTATGGTTGGGCACTCAAGGCACACCAGGGAAACATCGATGAGATGGAGAATGCTGTCCTTGCCACTTACTATCATGTGACTTCTACTGATGCAAAGCCACAACATTCACGGTGCCCAAAGGGAGAAGACTCATGGTGTGCCCACAACAAGGCAGTGGCAAGGCAGCAGGCTCCTCCTAAGCATCGGCACGACCTCCCGGAATATGTTGAGGTGTATCACTGGTAGCTATGGCCTTTGCAGATGATATGTTGTTGATGTCCGACACTCTTGAGGGACTTCAACTTTTAGTCGATCGAATAGTAGTATATCTTGGTAACGTTAATTTGCGAATCAACCTTTTGAAGTCCCAATATTTTGTATGGCGGCCTTGCTATCAGAGCAAAGGTTTCAATTAAACTATCCCCCCCCCCCCCTTGACAATTTCAGGCCATCTGTTTTGTTCTAAAGATAGAGATGAGACAGTCAGGTGTTTAGGTCTTAACCTGTATGTTAACAAGAACCCTTGTTAACTCCAACAAGGGTTTTATACTCCTTGAACTACTTGCCAAGGCTTCTCTGAAACCTTTTCAAAAGCTTCACTGCCTTAGACAATTGGTCGTGCCCATATTCCTATATGGCTCTTCAAACATTTTGAATGTTTCTTCGGAATCAGCAAGACTTCACAGCCTACTTCGTAAGTGGGTTAAACAGGCTTTGCGTTTGTGCGGGGGGTTTCCAAATTTGCATGTCTCGCTTCCAGCCAAATCTGGGGGTCTAGGAATCATTCAACTTCAGAAAGTTGCACAGGCTCTTCACTTCAAAAGTCTGGCTAGACTTATTCGCTTGGGTAGTCCCTTCGTGGACTGCCTATTTAATACAGTGTTGCATAAGAATGTCTCACGCATCTCTGCATTATTTGAAGTGCCTTCAGGCATAACGGCAGCCTCTGACGTTAATGCCGCTCTTCGAAGAGGTTCGCAAAAATGGTAATTGCGTTTGAAAGCAAATCACAACAACAGAGACCTCCTAGCTCACCAAGATCAGGCTTTAGCTGATTAGTGGCTATGCCACGACTCGAAACTCTTAAAAGACCAGGACAGAATAAGGGTGCTAAGACTGCGAACTAACCTATATGCTACGGAAGCATTAACCAACTAACAAAGTTTGGATCCCGCTTCGTGAGTATGGCGTCGGTGTAATGAAAAGCCCGAGGCAGCCTTCCATATCTGTCAAGAGTGACAGTCTGTACACCTTTCTCGCACGGAACGCCACAACTGTGTAGCCAGGCAGGTTGCCAGGTTGATAATGAAAAGGAATCCGACCTTCACGGTTCGTGAAGAGCCGCGTTTTACAACTAGAAATGGCGTCAGGCTCAAGCCTGACTTGGTTGTTGAGTCTGGCGACCAGGTGTTGGTGATCGACCTGGCGGTTGTCTGGGACGTGAATGAGAGGGTGCTTAAGCACAAAAGAATAGAGAAAGCGGTGAAGTATCAGGTTCTGCGTGACCGTTTTGATCTTAAGAAGGCATTCTCATCACAGGGTATGGTTTTTGGAGCACGGAGCATGTTATGCCGTGATACTGTGGAGTTCAGAGTTGCCCTAGGGTTCAGTCGGCAGGATTTAGCGTGTCTCAGCACATCTGTTTTAAGGGGGAGCTTCATTTGTTTAATAAGTTTAGAAATTGACTGTAGGCCTTGAGCTCATTGTTGTTTTAGATTCTCGCGTTCTATTATGATGCTTCGGGTGTTAGTCGTTGACTTTGATTATTCACTAACCCTTTTTTTTTTTTCATTGTTGTAGTTGTCCGCGTACCTCATGTTGTTCCACTTTTTTTATCCGGTGGCCATGACAATAAGACAAGTATAATACACTTACACAATAGCTTCCCGTTATAGATCGCACTCATGACATCCTTGGGAAGACCAGTGGGGACAGCAAATGCCAACGTTGGCTGGGAGTCAATCTCAATCCCTTCTGGTCCTTTGCAAACGTCCACACACTAAGTCTTGTCGTGGCCACCTGGCACCACAAAGAATGTGGAAATACATGTTTTAGCATAAACGCAGAGCCACAGATAATAAAAGTTTGATGCTTGAAATCAAAGCAGGTGTATCGAAAAACTCGATAAATGTGCATTTTTTACTCTCTAATTGGCAGAAAAATGATAGCAGAAAAAAAATGGCAAAATCAGCATATGCATAGCACTGCTGTACAAGCAACCATTGGCCTTTCACAATTCAAATGGGTAACACAATTATCATCAAAAGCTTTTAAGTGAGTCTGTTACAATGCTTAGATATTGGAGGCGGCATTTTATTAAAAAAAACTGGTGTCAGTAAGCATACACAAATGCAGCCATCGAAGTTGCGCCAGTCAATGCACCACCCCCCGATAATTGATGGCCTCTTGATCCTAGACTTGTTGACAATCAGCTGTTTCTGGTATGGAAATCTCATCCTTTATCGAGATGATGTGACATTTCACGGAGCCACTTTTCGTTGTTGCCTAGATACAATCACTGACTGTCGTTATTGCGCGGAGTTCCACTGTTCAGCATGTGGATGAAGGTCCAATTCCCAGCATGGATGAAGGAAACAGTTGGGAAAAAGCATTATGCGGTACAATAGAAATAAAAAAAGTAATACGTCAAATACACGAAAAGCTTCATACGAGTCAATTTTCCTGATAGAACAGTGATCTTAAACACGCGACACATGCACCTTTTGTTCTGAGTGGCCCATGGCCTCTACATCACTGCCTTTATAGTATATTTTTTCTAAGGAATGCTGCGCAGTCACCGTGTGTTGGCCCGTAACCATAGAAGAAAAACTATATTTCAAATCAGCATCCATAATTCACTCGATTGGGTGTTTGGTATCGATGTTTCTCTAGTCTTGAAGGCTTATTGATTGCCATTCAAAATTACCCACTAATGAGATTGGAGAGGACCGTTTTCTTTCAAACGGCATCATTATTAGACATTTCACTCAACCCCTCCAGCTCCCACTTTCTTTACTTTCTTGACCCTAGCGCGATCAAATTTTCTAACAGAGGCCCGCCAGCTGTAGTGAGCTTGGGACTCCTGCAATAGAGCAAGGTCTCCTTATTATGATCTTTTTCACGCTAACATCCACCAAGCAATGAAAGTACAATAGGTGCTCACAAGCGTTAACTTGGCCATTTCATTCATTGCAAAGTCACTGTGCACATCGTGCCCCATGACGTAACTGCTGAGGGCTCGCGTTTCACTTTAAACGTGCAGGCCAGTCAAGCAGCGCTCGAGAAGCTAAGAAGAGCACGGGAACAGGCGGAGGCACTGCTGCACGAGAACACTCAGCCGTCATCGGCCACCAACGGTGATCCTGTCAGAGACTCAAGGCTAGTCCCCGTGCTTCCGATGGAGCAGCACCCATTGGAGCAAGCGGAGCAAGTAGCACAAGTGCCGGGCAGATCCAAGCTTCTCGACTCCTGGGCCCATGTCTGGGGCCGTCGGCTGCTCCTGGGATTCCGTTTTAGCCGGCCACCTGGCACGTGAGTTGCAGCTCACGCTTTTAGAACAATGGCTTTGCGCCGGGAACCTATCACACTGCTTTAATGGAGTATTTTGGCCATTGATTTATATGCACTCAAAAATGGCTATTGTCAGTTACAAGCTTAGAAAGCGTAGGTGCCGACCACAAAAGCTGCGGCGTGCCTGCCCCTCACTTGCTGGATTGTTTCCGCTGGAACCATAAGTACTTCTGCTCGGCTAATGTAAGTACTACGCATATTAGAAGTTACGGGTTTGATTTTAGTACTCATAAGGGCACTATCAGAATGTTTGTTTCCAACATCGCCTTGTGCCCTCTCAATCTGCACCGCAATGTGACCCAGCACCCTTCCTCTGCTTTGAAGGAGGTTTATCATCATTGGGCAGCAGGCAAAAAGCTAGCACAGCGAAAACAGTCCAACAGGCTGAGGATGAACAGTTTGATCAGCACTTGAACTCTAAACTAAGAGCGTCCCTCTGGTGAATCCCTTTCTCCTCCTCCGCAGCACTAATTAAATATTATGTTTGGCTGAGCGAAAATGTCCGAATACCTGACGAAATTAACCCGGTCATTCAGGTTTCGGTTCCAAGACCACTTGCACAAACCTGTGTATGCATGAAAAACTCATTTATCTGAAATATTCGAGAAGTGCCTGTTGTCGTTAGATGGAGCGCTATTGGATGGAGCTTTTATGTGAATTCACTGTGGGAAAGACAGCGATGACCATGGGAGGAGCTGAGGCTTTTGTTAGGTTGTAATTGTGTGGCCATATGCGCAGGTGTTTCAAAAATATTTTGCTGAGCACTGTGCTCACGGCAGGATGCAGCATACTACTTCTGAAAGTGTCTTATGTCTTCTGGCTTATTTATTTATTTATTTATTTAAGACATACTGCAGTCCGAAGACCAAGCAGGTGGGCAGGGATTAATTACATAGAAAGCATCAATCCGCATGGTAAATTGGTACACAATTCTGAAAACAGTCCAACAAGTGTGAAAAAAAAAAATAGCAGTACACAAAGAAACATAGCGGCACAGTGAATGTTTAAAATATTGCAGAAAGTACACGCTTTTCAAGATCCGACACATCACGCGCCGAAAACACATCAACAGGCAATCTATTCCACTGCTCGATTGTGCGGGGAAAGAAGGAGTGCTTAAAAAGATTAGTGCGTGCAAAAATTGGAGTTAGATTGTGCTCATGGGTGCTTCGAGTTGAACGAGATAAGCGGGGCTGAATATAAAGTCCTGGATTAATATTGAATTGTTGGGAATTAAGCAAAAACAGAAATCTTAGATGCGCAACCTGCCTCCTGTGTTCCAGGGTCATTATATTGTTGTTTTCCATGAGAAGCGATGGAGAAGCTCGGCTATGATAGCTATTAAAGATGAACCGGACTGCCTTTCTTTGCACCATTTCTAATTTGTGAATGTCTTTTTTAAGGAATGGGTCCCATGCTGCGCTTGCGTACTCGAGTTGCGGCCTAACAACGGAATTATAAGCTAGCAATTTAACACGTGGAGGAGCGGCTATTAGTTTGTGCCTGAGGAACCCGAGTTTCCTGGAGGCCGGTGCGCAAATTTTGTTAATGTGACTGGGCCAAGTTAGTCGGCTTGTTATAGTAACTCCTAGATACTTATATTCGTCTACTTGTTTCAGCGTGTGGTTATTGAGCCTGTAGGAGGACGTGAATGCATTTTTTTTTGTCTTGATAAGATTGCGGCAGGCAAATACAAACCGCTTCGTCCATTCTGTTTTTGCTTTACGCTGAAAAAACAACTGCACCCTTTGGGACAGTCTCACTACAATAGTAGTTGTCATTGTCATCTCACAAATCGATTTCTCTCTTTTTCTCTTGCACTAAAGGGTTTAAGACAGCTGGTAGCATGCGTCCAATTGTTGCAGCGCCGTGTCAAAGCTAAGCAGTGGCAGCAGCAGTAATCTCTATGGCAGGGAAGACAATACATGGCTTTAACGATACACTATTTGTTATCCTGGTGGTCATTATGCCATGCTTTATAAATGCAGTTACAATTGGGATAAACTTATGATATAAAGAAGTAAATCTAACGTGCGCCTTGCCCATTTGCACATAACATATATGTGCTTGTAAGTGTGATTAAAGTCTATATCCTGCTGAATGTAAGTTCAGCGTAACAAAGTTCACCTGTAACATACGAGTACAATTTCACTTAGCTCTACCAATAACGTTTTACTGGAGGGGTGTGTGTTTCAAGGCAACACAGAACTCTGCTGTCGGGTTTTCTGGAACCATTCTGCTGCTTCACAAATCAACCGGGACGGACGTTTGCTGAACCAATTAGTTACAGACCGGACGTGCAAACCTCAGCCTGCTATTTTAGTGTGATCAGTCCTAAAGTCTAATTAGTCTTAATAAAGCCAAGTTGAGATTCTGGTGTGCCTCTTCATACCGAGCTCGGAAAGATGTGCCATGCTTAAACAAATTAAAACTGAGCCTGACTGTTGCTGATTAGGTTACTTAAGCCTAGATTGACTTGGAATGCAAGCGCATTGAGACCATGCTGAGATATTCAAATTAGGCCAATTGACCTAAATAAGCTATAACTAAGTCTAGGTTGACTATAATTAACCATAATTGGTTCCTAGCCTTGCACATAATTAGGTCAATTATGCTCATTAGCCAAATTAAAGCTAATCAATCTACTTGATCCTGTGAATGCCGAGCGATACCCTGTCGAACATGATTGATGCCAAGCTAATACTCATCATTTATAATGTGACTACATGAGCACTTCATGTGTCAGTGTGTGAATGCATGTGCGCCTAGTCAAACCATGACCAGCCGAATGCGGACCAGCTGCACTCTGCTCCAGCCTTGCGCGAGTCGGTACAAGCTGTGCAACTTTTCTACAGGGAGCACCATCCACCTGTCGTGCTCGTAGTGAGTCCCGGGCTCACGTTTGGCATCAAGACATCGCTCGAGGGGGACTCCTTAGTGGTCGGTGCCAGCTGCAGCCTTCCCGGCGCCACCGCTGGCCCCATTACAGTGTGCGTCCTTGGAGGTTCCACTCTGCAGCACCAGTGCGTCATCGATGTGCACTGGCTGCCCTGGTCTAAGCAGGGACGAGTGCCCCCGCGACTCGCCCTGTGGTCGCTCACTGCGGCGCAGCCGAGTCGCCATTACTCTGCTTCGACATCGGTGACCTGGAGGCTGTCTTCCCTGGACGCCCTGACGCGGCTGCACAACACGCTGTACGTCTGCTGCGATGGCGCCTCGCCCCTTTTTCAGGCCAACGTGGAACTGCTACCTGAGGGAGGGCTCTGCCTCCGTGCACAGTGCGTTCCTGATTTGATCATCGTTTCGAAATGCCGGTCACAGAATAGGACAGGAACACTGAACAGCACACAAACACAAGTTCTGTCACATATGACAGAGTGTGTGTGTTTGCACAGACAAGATATTAAGCGTTCCTGGGCTGTCAAGGACAACTAATATTGAAAACCCAGTAGTAGTGCAGTCTCCCTAAACAGTATATACCGAATTGGTACACTCTGGCACACTCGAACCTCGTCAAGGCGGTGGAACGAAGCAAGAGCTTAAAACTATAGCATCTTTCATAATCAGCGTGTTTCGTTAAAATGCTGAAGCAAATGCATCTTCACAATCCGCTTCACTAGAATATTTTAATGAAATAAATTGTGCCAATTAATAGTATAACTTACTGAAAGCTCCAGATTTTTTTCCGGGTCTATTGAAGCAGTGTGAAAGAGCAATGTTGAGAACACATTACTGAATCTATTTGCTTGGAAAAGTAAGCTGGTAACTATGACCTGATCTGTGAAGCTTTAAATTTGAAGTTTTCTCTCACAACGCACTGAGACTAAACATAAAAATCAGCCTTTGAAGCCTCATTTCAGATCAGTCAAAATGACATAGAAATATTGTGTTGGCTTTGTAGATTGGCCTTGAATTTTGAAAGATGCTCTCGCTTTAGTGTGTATCTGCAGAGGCCAAGTTTATGCAAGTACAACTGCCAAGTCAAGTTTATTTTGCAAACATGTTGTGTGAATAGTATAGCATTGGAATTTGCTTCGATTTAAATTTAAATTATTGAAAATTTTAAAGTATTTGCAATGAACGAATAGGTGTACCATGTTAATCCACATGTAACCGCTTGTAAAGGTGGTTTAGCTGCAGTATAGAGGTGCTAAGCCGTGAAAGCGTCTATTCAAGAAAAATTTACTCTGCCACGAAGCACTTTTTCACACTTAAAAAAACCCTGCAACACTTTCTGAGCGTAGTCAGAAAACGCTGCCGATCGGTAGTCGAGGCTACCGAGAACATGCAAGTTAAGTATTATAACGCAGCATGCGGCCTGAAAGTCACAAGAAATTTTCCAAAGTCCGCTAAAGATGTCTCTCTTTTCTCGGCAAATGACACCACAAGCTCAAAAATCACTCGTCGCAGCCATTGTATCCGCCATTGGCTGATTTGAGCATGGCGCGCTCGGTATTTACTGGAGCCGTTGTAGGAGGCCGCCACTTTTCCACACGTACGTGCGCGATCGGACTGAAATATTAAAAAAAAAACGGAGAGTGAAAGAATGCTCAAGGTCACAAGGCACACGTGACTTATTTCCTTTTCCCACGTCAACCCTTTCTGTTCAGCTTAGAGCACTTTCACCGAGACGAGAAGAGAGAATGCAATTGCAGCGTACGACAAATTTTGTGGGGGTGAATTCGTGAGACAACAAGCTTCTTCACTGAATCTATTCCATGGCTACTTGGAAAAGTGTTGCAGGGCCCCTTTATATGAACATGTTACCCTTTAATCAATTAATCATTTTATTAGTCTTAAAAGCTTTTTATGATAGCCTACATGCTCTTGTACAATATTTTTTCTATTGTCACCTATTTTACAGGTTATCACTCGTATTCTGCCAAAAGTCAAGTCCTGCTACTACTCAAAGTTGTTTTGACTTCTTTCGAATGAAAAAGGAAAATGGCATTTGCATAGAGGCCCATTTCAATTTTAAAAGAGTATTATGCAGGTTATATAAGTCATGACAAATATGTCCATTTGTTTTATAGTGATATATACTATTCGAATTTGACCAAAATAATTATTTGATCAAAATTACTATTCGCTTCGAACATAAAATTCACTATTTGCACAAGCCTGGGACATAGCGATGTGCACTCAGCAGCAAAAATTTAAGGGACATGGATTTCACTGCTAATGTGGATTTCTACCCTGTTAGTGTACCACGTTTTTAGTCTCATGGGCTACTATTCAGGTTGCAAGAACTACCGCAGTCTGTAACATTTATTTGGGTACTAGGTTTCCATACAAAGTGAGGCTCTAGCTATTTCAAACATTTCACGTCTCATAAACTTTTTTTGTTTTAAATTCATTTTTTTTCTCTTTTTTTTATTCTATCGTGCATATATCATGTCAAGACCCAAGTGTATTTTCTAATTTTTCATCTCTCCAGGGATGAGGAACAGCTCTCGTTGTTCGAGCAGTGGTTGTGGCAGCAGTTGCCGGGTGCCAAGGAAGGCATGACGCGAGTGTGCTCGTCGGCTGTGCAAACGCGGCTTGCCACTCTTCTTCGTTCCGAGGTGCAGGGAGTGCGAGCACTGCTGCATGAGCCGTACATGGAGGCCCGTCGTTCGCTGCAAAGCACCGAGTGGCAAACAGACTTCCTGGCACAGCTTGTCACAGACGTGACGTGACACCTCCCGCTTCACACTCGTGGAACCGAGCTTCGGAACATTCAACCCGTTGTGCAAACATCCTCTGAATGCAAGAGTAATCAGCTGTGCAAGTCATTCACAATTGAGGATCAAGCGTAAACTGTACTCACGACAGTGCACTTCAAGTGCCCTCTGTGCTTCCGCATTCAAAAACATTGTTCCTTGTACTCACTGATAATAACTTCACCTCTTCCAAGGCATGAACTGAACAAGTGAACATGATTGGCCAATGGATCTACACAGAGCGTGCCGGAGTTGTACGTCTGCCTTTGTGACAAAATGCCTTTATTACAAAGTGCTCGAATGTCTTGCAATGCTTAGTTATGAAGGACATGCAGCATAGGACTGGTGCTACTAGCGAGACTTAAGCAACTCTTGCTAATGCATTTGACTGCATTTCTCATTGCAGAAAGCGTTAGGCAATTACCATTTGCAGTTCCCATAACTAAGTCCCTCGAGCAATACCCCAAGCGGGGCATTTACTACACTAGGCAGTCATAAATTGTTGTGCATCTAAATTAATGTACCGACCAGCTTTTCTGTAATATCCCGAAGAGGGTCTTATTACTACATTAGGCAGTTACCAACAGTAGTGCTCTTAAATTTTAATTAATGTGCCAACCGTTGCTTATGTAACCCCAGTCAGGGTTTTATTACTACACAAGGCAGTTACATTGCAGCAATTCTAAATTAACATACTGACCGCTACTTACCTACTACTTCAAGCAGTTTCGGGGTTTCTACATTTGGCTTTCACCAACTGTAGTGCCTTTAATTTAATATACTGATTGCCACTTAAGTAACCCTAACATGTTCTCTATTTCTACATTAGGCAGTTACATTTTAGTAATTTGAAATTAACATGCCGACTGCCTTTCACGTTATACCCCAAGCTTTTTCTGTGTTTCTCCATTTGGCTGTTAACAACCGTAGTGCTTCTAAGTTAACATACTGGCCGCCCCTTACGTAATACCCCGAAATGGTTCTGTATTGCTGCATCAGGCATTTACATTGTACTCATTCTAAATTAACATGCTAACTGCCCCTTAACCCAAAAGGGCTTTCTATTACAACATTAGGCATTTACATTGTAGTCATTATCAGTTAACATGCTGAGTGCCCCATGTGTAATACCCCAGATAGGGTGTTTAATGTAACATAATGAAGCCTGCTTGTCCAACTGTGCTACCCCTATTTCTTATTTGCAGCATGTCATTCAGAATTAAGGCGCTGAATACAGTATAAGCCGAAACTGAGTTTTGTGCTTATGCACATTTAGAATAATGCAAGAGGCAATAGTGCTGCTGCAGTGAACTAGATAAATGGCAGTACAGATATCATCAGTGCGCTTCTCAGCGTGGAAGACAAAGCTTCAAGCATTACTCCAAACACTGTTGACGAGCTTCTCCGACAAGGGAGGTTAGAAGAGGCCGAAGAGTCCCTAGCCAGTTTGGAAGCTCCCCGTGCTAGCCACTCATCAGAGGCATGACCTGTGACCAATATATTACGTAACAGGCTACGTAGCTAGAAAGCGCATTCTGAAACATTACTGTCACAAATGTCAACACGTCCTCCTTGTCAGGCAAGCCAAAGCGCATCTGCTGCTTTCGCACTACACTGAACAGAGTGACTGGGGCGGACTTTTGTACCGCTTACAAAATTTGTACGCATTCACGGAAGCTCTTGGGAATATATCTACTGAACACTTCAGCACCTTGGAGCTACACACGAACGGCATCTGTGTTATTGTGGCTCTTGTGAAAAGCAATTTCCTCTGCTTCAATGGTGTTGGATGCAACTCTTTCAAGGAAGATGTACCGTATGCATGAAAATTGTTCTTTTCCGCTGTCCTCAAGTGTCTGCACTTCTTGATCAAAGGAATTAACAATGCAGGAAGCACAAGGCGGCGGAGAGCAAAACATAATGAGCTCCGCCGAACGACCTAGAGGCCTTTGCACATAGTTCTTGAAGAGTGCCTTTGTGTTGAATAAAATATTTAATGCATTATTCCAGTTGTTTATTTCTCACTCTCTCTTTTTTTTGCATGCATGACGTCAGCAGCGTAGTGCCGCATCCATTCTGAGTAGCCATGTGCTGTTCCAAATACTTTCTAACTGGCAGGTTTGTCCCTAAGATCCTTGGAGCTGTGAAGACAAAGCATTTTTTTTCTTTTCGTTGATGCAGCATACAATCTAGGCACTGTTCATTTGAATGCACGGTGAACAAGTGCCCACTCCTGCGCACTTTACAAGAAAGGCACTGCAATGCCGCCTAGTGGTTTCCATGGGAATGGCTTCGTCGCACCACCCCTATCTAGTTCACTATAGTGTGTAGGGGGTCCGTCCTATGTACGGCTGGCGCAAAAGCCTAGCTAACGCTCCAGCTGCACACAGTCGTACCGTGCACGATTAACGTCCCCTATTCGTGGCTTGAGTCATCCCAGCTACACGGATTTGGGCGAATAAGGCAACAGGCTAAGTCAACAAACAACACCTTATCGCTATACATTAGCAATATCGCGTAAATGTCGCGTGGAGAGACTGCAGATAACAAAAGTGTAGGTGCTTACACTTCAGTCGTTGTCCTCGTCGTTGGCTCGCAGGGGTTCCGGATTCGTCCTTCTGCTTTTAGAGGCCGGTGTCAAAGAGAGCGTCTGCCTGTCGGCACGCTGGTTTTCTTCATACCGGTTTCTCTTCCCTGACGAGAATGCGTTGCCTCGCTGAGGGAGGAGAAACCATTTCATGCGCAGGGAAAGGGGAATCACGAGCACCGGCCGCAGGGGTGTTCCATTCCTTCGCAAGAGGCCTTATTGACTCGTGTCTCAAATGGGCAGTCATGTCCCCGCAACTAGGCTGTCGCGCTGCCGTAAGGAGGAAAGGGTGGCTGGGCGCACGTGCTCCCCCACAAGTGCTGCCGTGATAGAGAAGCACACACTTTCAGGAGAGTACAACACAGTGCTGCATTGTAGCATGCTATTTCCAAGTGAACCACAGTCGTTATAAGCAATCGTTCTCACATACTCCTCTAATTCCGCTGGTGTAGCACGAAGTGCAATTAGTAGCAATGGAAACAACGGAAGCACATTTTGGTTCATTTTTGGTTGGTTGACCTCACCTGCAGCTTTCTTCACAGTGTGTGGAGTTGTAATGCTAGTTGTCCAGAACAAGTGCAGCACTACGTAGATCAACAATGACAGTCCCGCTTAGAAAAAATGGATTTGGGCATTTTTCATCAAGTCGTCAGTCACATTTTTTGGGCTTCATTCATATTTAATAATAGCACTTTTGTTGATGACTATGCATTTGTGCCTTGAAATGAAACATACATTGGGGGAATCAAGAAGTAACATTATCCATTCACTGGAAAACTTAAACGAGTGAATACTATAAAAAAAGTAATACGAGTTATATTTGGAATGATGATGATGATAAACATTATTTCATCATCATCAGCCTGACTACGTCCACTGCAGCATGGAGGAAGGAACAACTAGTTTTCCTTCCTCCACGCACTGCAGGACAAAGGCCTCTATGTTCCATCAGTCAACTCGGTCTCCTAGGTTTGCCCCGAAGGGGCTTTGCTAATGGTCGTGGCCCTTGGTCCAGGGCTCCAGTGGCTCTTGCCATCCACTCTGCTCTCTGGACAAACCTGATTTGGTCGTAAAGGGCCGAGCTGAAAAGCAGTCCCTCCCATTGCTCACTCACGTTGTTCATGTTGTGGTGTTCGAGTTGGTGTACAGTGCAGTCCCAGGTAATGTGGTACGGAGTTGGTGTGGCCCCGTGCTATGGGCATTCATCCCTGTAAAATGTGGGTTGCATGCTATGAAGAGTGCTTCGGTTTTTGTAGGTTCCAGTTTGGAGTCTATGCCAGGGAGCAGCCTCCTTCGTCATAAGCTTCTGGTGAGGTGATTGATACCATAGGTGTCGCCCTCTGTGGTAATTCAGTGTTCTGCATACTGGAGGTCAACTGGCCTCAGGTCTGCTGCAATCAGCGTAATGGTTGCTCGATTGTGTATTAAGCCTTGAGCTGCCCGGTCGACATGCAGGTTACCCACGATGCCAGACTGCCCTGGTATCCATTGGACAGTCTGTATGTAGGAGTCTTGCTACTCTTTCTTAGGTATTTGTGCCAAAACATGTGCAGCAGGTGCACCAATTCTGCCCTGCAGGAAGTTCCTGCAGGCCTGCTGGGAGTTCGTGAGTATTAATTGTCAGCGGTTTGTTTACATGCTGGCCTTCGTGGACGGCAAGTGCAATGGCCAGCTGTCAGGCTTCTGTGATCTTGCAAGGGCGGACTGATGCACCAGAGATAATATGGCCTTGGCGGTCGCATACTACTGCCACTGCTCCTTTAGTTGTCGTCTCAAGGCGGCATCTGTAAAACGGGCCGTAGTTTATAATCTATAGATTTTCTGAAAGTAGAGGGCCCTTGCTCTCCTTCTGCTGCTGTGTATGTCGGGGTCCATGTTGCATGGAATTAGGGCAACGTGATACCCCTCCCGCACGTGACGAGCCATCTCGCAGGTTCCCTGGGCTGATGGCCTGATGGCCGGTGCGGATACGCTTAAGTCTTTGTTGTTGTGAGGCATCAGCGCCCTCGGTAAGTTCGCTGAGGGTGTTTGAAGCCCCTGTGCCAGCAATTTTTCAGTGGATGTACTTGTCGGCAGGTGGAGCGCAGTCTTGAATGCCATTCGCAAGAAGGTGTCGGCCCGTCTTGTCTCGGGTTATGTGGGATTATAAAAGGGGGTAGGCTGTATGTTGTTCTACTCACCACCAGGCTTCGAACGAGTCGGAGGGTGTCTCTTTTCTTTATGCCTCTGTTCTTAGATGTTACCCGAGATGATCGCGATATATGACACTGGTTTGGGGGAGCGTAAGGGTGTGGGTGGCTTGTTGGTTACTTAGCAGCTACACTCCCAGGATCCTGATCAATGGTTTCTCTGGTATGATGTTTTCATCGAGGTATGCCTCAAGTTTTTGTGATGGGTCTGTGGGGACTGCGTGGTTTCTTTGGCTTCGCTGTACACGTAAGATTTTTATTTTCGGGGAGCACTGTAGGCCCCATTGGCTGACATATTCTTGGATGATGTTAGCTGCAGTTTGCAGGTGCTCTTTCTTTCAGCGAGTGATCCTTTTGTGGTCCAGAGTGTCATGTCGTCTGCATAGAAGGCGTGGTGTAGCTCTTCTACCACTTGTAGTTTTCTTTCAAGGCCAATCATGGTGTCATTGAAGAGCGTGGTGATATTACTGCTCCTTGCGGAGTGCCCTTGTTGGGAGGTTCATATGCAATGGTCTGGAGCTCTCGGATATTCAGCTCCGTCGTGCGGTGGCTTAAGAAGCTCTGAACATACGTGTATGTTCTTTCACCGCAGTTGGTGTTGGCGAGCTCTTCCAGTATTCCTGGGTGGCGGATGTTGTCGAAAGCCTCTTTATTGTCGAGGGCTAAGAGGATGTTTTCACTGTTGCATGGAACATTGCCGAGAACTTCTTCCTTAATTTGAAATAGTATGTCCTGTGAAGACAGGCCAGGACGGAAACCGTACATGGTGTCAGGCAAGTGCTTATTATCTTCCAAGTGTTTCTGTAGTCTTGTGCTTACGATTCTTTTGTACACCTTGCGGAGGCAGGATAAAATCAAAATGGGTCTGAGGTTTTCAATTGCCAGCTTTTTGCCTGGTTTGGGGATCGTCATTATTTTTGCGTGTTTCTACATCGCTGGCACAGTGTCTTGATCCTAGTCTTGGTTGATAAAGGCCAAGAGTGGAGAGATGGACTTGTCACCGAGGTTTTTTGTCATGGCGTTTGTGATTCGGTCCAGGGGGTAGCTGCAATGGCCGCTGTGAATTTATTTTAAATTATAGGTTCATCCATTGTGGGGTTCGGTTGTCCCAAGTTTAATGTTTTACATGGCGGTGTGGGAGCAGGATCTCCATAGCACTTGGTCTTGATGGCATAGACGAGGTCTTGTTGGCTGTCTGAGTAGGTGTGTATTAATCACTCCAGGGCCTTGTGTCCCTCTCCTTTAGTTTTGGTGGGGTCGAAGATAGCTTTGAGGATATGCCATGTCTTGGCTGTACCAACGATGCCATCAAGGGAGTCGCAAAATTTATACCAGCTCACCAAGGCGAGTTGCATGGCACATCCTTCTGCCTCCACTGTTATTTTCCCAATGTTAGTCCTCAGTTTCCTATTGTTCTGCATTTTCCAGTGACGGGTAAGCCCTCATTTAGCATCCCACAGATGTAGTAAATGGGAATCCATCCCCTGAATCTCTGTTGTTCGTATTATTTATTTTGTGCGGTGTTCTTTTTGTCGACAAAATTTGTTGCACCAGCTTCCAAGTTTGCAATTGCATGTTCATTCTGTTCTTGGGCTTCCCTTATTTTTTGCCAGTCAGTTAGTTTGGCTTTGCCGATCTGCCTACGTAAGCGTCCAGTCTGTAGTGTTATGTTTAGTATGCAATGATTGCTTCCCATGTTTTCAAGTGTGTTGAGCTATTCGGCTCGTGTGGTTTGTGCAATAAAACTGAGGTCAGGCGTTGTGTCACGTGTCATGCTGTTTTACTTTTCTCGTTGGTGTGTTTGGATCTGTAATGAGCATGAGTTGGCACGCTTCTATCAGTGTCTCTAGCTGGAGGCCCTTCCAGTCACGCCTCTGCTATCCCTATATGTTCTGGGCGTCGAAGTCACCCATAATGACTAGTGTGTTGTCTTTAGCGAGCCAAAGGGTGTATGGCAGTGGTAGCCCGCCTTTGACGTGGGGGGCTGCAGATGTTTAGGATGAAGACCCTTTGTTTCTGGTTGCCTTTGTAGACGAGTTTGAATAGTATATACAGTATATGTTGTCCTTTAGTTTATGTTGTATAGTAGTTGCAATGTTTTTATTCACAAACGTGGCTATCATCAACTTGTCATTCTGACTTGAGAGATACGCCTCATAGCGCCTCATAGTGTTGGTCACGTACCGATTTCTCGTAGGGTGACGACTCCTGGTGACCGGGAAGATTGAGCTATCAGTTGTGTCAGCAGGCCCTTTTTTTTGTTTTTATATTAAAACATTATTATCATAAGAGATGCCATACTAGAGGGTGCTAGTAATTCACTTTTTTTTTAATGCGAGAACGAACCAAAGAGTGACACAATATGGCAATTGGAAACTGTCGTTTTTCGCAGTAAACTGAGGATATAGGGAAAAAAATTAAGGACACGGGCCCCTGGCAGGCTAAAAATGTAAATGTGTGCTTTTATTTATAGCTTCGTCAAGGAGCAAAAATATGTACACAGGCCTCTAACAAGTTAAACATATGCATGTTTATTTAGTTGTGCATATAGTCACTGCACAAAACTAATTTCTTGCTTTCCTCTTTGTGACATTTGATTATTAGGCTTGTGCAAAAACTGAATTTTAGGCTCGAAGCAAATATAAATTTTACCGAATAATTTCTAATAGAATGCAAATTAGTATTTAAATTATAAAAAAATGGGCATATTTGTTATGACCTGCACAGTATATTTCAAAAGTTTGAGCAAGTACTATGCAAGTGTCTTTTTTGTTCAAAGTGGATATAACTTTGAATAGTAGGAGAACTTGTCCAAGTAGAATGCAAGTGATAACCTGTCAAGTATGTTATGTTTTAAAATTTACTATTTTTACTGTATATAGGCCGGTATTACAAGCTTTTCAACTTGTTGGATCGATGCGAGGGTAATATGGACATTTATCCATGAAGGAGAGTTTCACAGTAGTGCAGTTTTTCCCTGGTTGGGGGAAAAATGGCTTAGCACTCCTACACTGCAGTGGAACCACTTAAACAAGGGGTTGCATTTGAATTAATTCATGTCGAATACTTTGAAACTTCCAATATTTGAAATTCGACTTGAAGTGAATTCAAATACTGTAATATTTGTTCGAATATTTGCATAATACTGCCGATTATACTTCAGTTTCTTATGCACCTCGCGAAGGCTGTGCTACTCAGTACTTCTCTTTAGGGATGATCACATTTGCTTCTTAGCACTGCAGTATCTTGCCTTGCAACAAGAGGCATTAGTGCTGAGAAGTGGGGAAAATCTTTTCAACAGGAAGACCCAAAACAAAGGATGCCAAATAACTGTTTATTGGCTTCAACGCTTGCGATGCAGCTGCAGCTGTGTTTCGGCGCTTCCAGCAGGCACGCCTCGAGCCACCCACGGTCTTGGTGTAACGGTGACCCTTGCCCAAGCCACGCGACTTGCGACCGGCAGAGGTGAGGCCACGCAGCTCGCGGTGCTTGTGCACGGCCTGGCAGATCCAGTTGGCCTTGGGGTCGCGCCTGATGGCCTTGTGGAAGGGATCCACCAGGATCACCTCGTAGTACTTGAAGGTGGAGTCCTGAGCCACCCAGTACGAGTTGAGCACGCGCAGTGCCTTGCACCGACGGCCGACTCGCTCCTGCAACGACCGGCAAGGCGTAGTACAGATGGGTTCAAGAAAGAACTATCACACAAAAGGACAGAAAAACTAAACAACGAAACACTGTCCAGAGATCGCCCAAGCACACGTATGTTCGTAAGAGTACAGAAACAAAAGAAAAACATTTTCTCAGTACAATGTGGAAGCAAGCTGCCTTTCCCACAGGAATGCCTCTCTTCCATTTACAAATGCAAGTTAGATTGTGACAGTCATGCATGGCCTACAGTGACCACAGTCTACTCACTGAAGCACTAATCCACCACCCTACTCATACCAAGCACTAATCCACCATACTGAAGCACTAATCCACCACCCTGCTCTGTGTACAGCGACGCCAACATGAAGCAAGATATGCACCACCTTACAGGCAGCGGCGCGCGACTGCATGTGTCTTACGTGCTCGGTGTGCCGTGAAGACGCATTCCAGTGCGCATTCGCGGCTTCCAAACGAACGTGCCCCTCGGAGGGACCGTTACAACTGCTCACGTCAAGCCATGCGTTGCGAATGTTGTCGTTTGGCCCATCTTTTCACTCTCTCCGAACTTTTCATGCTTTTCCTTCCCTAGTGCTCCCTCCCAGCCACCCACACAAGACCCTCGGAGTGCAGTTCATCACATTTTAAAGGAAGCACGATCAACAAAAAGCAGCAGAGATCCTCAACGCACCTCGGCGATAGACTGGTGGTTGCGCACGGGCTTCAGGCTGTTGACACCGTGGTTCTTGGGCTTGCCATAGGTGCAGCCCTTGGGCACCTGCTTCTTGCGGCCACCACGACGCACCCGGATGCGGTAGATCACGTAACCTGCGCCAAACAGGCCGTTTGTCAGGATGTGGCAAAACAGAACATGACTGCAATGACTCTCTCTCATGAACAGCCGGCACAACCATTACGACCACGATTTCCTTCAATGACACTCATTGCACCACAGATAGGGCGGCACCATGGAAACTAACCAGCTTCACATGCTGTGCACTGCAGCGAAACTTACGATATTGTTACACTAGTAACAAATGCATCACTTCAGTGAATTATTTTGATTTGGACAGAAGGTTACTAAACGATGCTCCTACACGCTAATGCCTCAGTGATTCCAGTTTGACAAGGTCATTCAAATGATATGAAAACACGAAAACTGACTAACAAAAAAATTTAGAAAAAAAAAACGTCCATAAGAACTGGATCTGCTGTTCCAGACAAGAGGCTAAGCATGCCTCTTGAAACACCCGTGTCTAAAGCAGTTCACGCTAAATTTGGCGCATCGTTCTTGCATTCAAGTGCACACAGACAAGCTCAACTGTTAATTGAAAACGGTACACTTCGTGCGAGATAAGCAAGCATCATGTTAAAAGTTAGTTTTGCCCGAAAAGACCAGAGCTGATAAGGAAAGCAGCAACTGCAGGAAGGGGGGGGGGGGGGGAGTACACTTGATACTGCAGTTAACCAAGACAAAAATTTGTTTCTGCTAGGCATCGATATCATGCATGGTCAACTCCATACACTCACCCAATATGGTACTTTTGCAAGAGTGACCCTTGCATGCTTATCCCTTAATAAACCTCCACATGGGTTCACAATGGTGGACTAGAGATTGATGTTGAGAATCTGACTTCTCAGACACTGCATGTTTTTAACTAGCACTCTACATTAGCCATAGACTTCAGCTAGGTGGGGTTCAATATACCTAGGGAGCAATAAGTGCCCTTTCGTTGTTTACATTAACAAGTTCTTCAGTTCTAACCATGCTATTAGTAATAGGGAGCTTGCATGAACGGCAGCGACGCTATGCATTCTGGGTAGACAGCCATTTTTTTGGGAAGAGGCGGCTGGCGAGTGCAGCAGCGCAGTCGTGTTTGCGAGCGTTGGCGTAGCTTGCAAGCGTAATCGAGTGCGAGCGCGACGCAAATTTAACTCCAAGAAGTGTCGTGCACGATATAGCTTCACCGGAAGACTTCACTGCAACGCTGTGCCAGAAAGACCTCGAGCGGTACGAAGAAGAGGCGAGAATTGGCTCCGAGTGGACCCATTCACGCTTCGTGCTGGCGACTGTGCAAGTGATGTGGAGATGTGGCCGCGCGTCGACAGCTCCGATATTCACTAATTTCTCGTTTTGAGGATGAGTTTGATTACTCGGGGAGGCCCTCGAGGATCACAACATTGTGAAGAGTGGCCGAGTGTGGGAGCCGTGCGTGAAGAAAGTCGCCGCTGACACCGTGGTAGTCGTCACTCAAATAAGACGCGTTAAAAAATTGAGGAGCGCTCTTCTCGTGCACGTGCGTCGTACTCCACGTAGAATAACAACGCTGTGGGATGCGAGCAGACTTCGCTGTTCCCGGCCATGCATGTGCAGTGCGCGGCAAGGATCTCGCGATCACTCCTGCACATGAACAAGACATCGACGGGTTGCTTGTTAACACACTGGGAGTTTAACCTGAACAGAAGCAAACATTAGCATCTCGGCAAAATCAAGTAATTTAACACCCCTTTACTTGAGTGACGATCACGGTGTCAGCGGCGAATTTCTTCACCCACCGCCCCACAACCAGCCACTTGTCAGAAGGTTGAGCCCTAGATTACCTTTCGACTTCAACAGCTCCCTGGGTAATGAAACTCGTCCTTGGAACAAGAAATTCATGAATATCGGAGCTGTCGATGTGCGGCCACAAGTCCACGTCACTTACACAGTCGCCCGCACGAAGCGTGAATGGGTCCACTCTAAGATAATTCTCGTCTCTTCTTCGTACCGCTCGAGGTCTGCGGTGTAGTCTTTCAGTGAAGCAGACATCGTGCACGACACTTCTTGGAGTTAAATTTGCGTCGTGCTCGCACTCGATTACGCTTGCAAGCTACGCCAACCCTCACAAACACGACTGCGCTGCTGCACTCCCCGGACGCTATTGACAAAAAAATGGCTGCCCACCCAGAGTGCATAGCGTCGCCGCCGTTCATGCAAGCTCCCTATATCTGGGGTTTGACACCACAAAACCAGGATACGATTATAAGACGCCGTGGTGAAGGGCTCTGGATATATGGACCATCTGGTGTCTTAACGTGCACTGACATCGCACAGCACACACACTTCTAGCAGCTTGCCTCCACCAAAATGCGGGAGCCACAGCCGGGATAAACCCACGACCTTCAGGGTCAGCAGCCGAGCACAGTAACTTACACCACAATGGCAGACAGCCCTAATGATCACGACACCACCACACTGCATAGACAATTACAGCGAGAACATTCCCTTACAGGTATGTTGCATACCTGCTAAGTTCAAGGATTCTGAATCCGGGAGATTTTTGCAAAGGGGGGGGGTCCCAATCACAAACGCCAACATCAGTGATGCGGTCTTATAGTGGCTAGGAGTCGCCGAACACACGAGGGTAGAGTTTTTCACTAAGGTGAGAGTCTGAAGGGATCAACACAACTAGCAGAATCTATTTCAGCTAAAACAACTCGCGGATGTCTTCCTGGGACACACGTGAACGGATGGGACGGCGCAGCTGGCTGCCACAAAAGTGCGGGTCAAAGCTTTGCTCACTACTAGATTCTTTTGACAGGAACGCCAAAACACGGCTGGCCCCTTTTTATTGCGATAGCAATTATATAGACACTCCAGGCTATTTTTTCACCGTCGCGACTGCCGCTGTCCTTCACCGTATATGTATATGTATCTATATATATGAACACTCAAAAAAAAAAAAAAAAAAAAACGCCCGCGCTCGCCTGTACTTTGCCCCATGAATGGATGCCTGTGTGCGCACGCTTACCCTTTGATGGGGTTGCCGGGCCTACAAAGGCCACTTTGGTCTCTGCACAGGCCCCTTTGCGAAAAACAGCACGCTTTTCTTACACAGCGAGGTATAACAACTGGGACGTTTGTCAATTTCTACTCATCGGTACCTGTGATTACGTATCGTGCATCGTTTTTGTTTAAACAGCGCGTTACGTGTTAAGCGGTAAATCTTGCTAGTTCCCTCTTGTCCTGCGAGTATCGTGTTCATGCGTCATTTGTGTGTGAGCAGCGCGCTGCACGTTTGAATCTGCTTGCCGTTTTCAGCGTTACATTCCAAGTTGTTGCTGTCGCATTTATTGCTTCGCCCTTGCGGCGAAAGTGTACCTTTTTTAAAATTTTTTACGTACTTACTGCCTTGAACCTACCGCTGCAAGTCCTCGGAGTTCGTAGACCGCTATCGCGTCGCCGCGACCGCGGTTCCGTGCGCAGCGGTTGCTGCGAATGGTAGTTTATTTTACAATCCCCATGTGCTTGGCTGTGCACGTGCCTTCAAAACTAAATCGTTTTATGCCATCTACGATAGCATCTTCCGCAGTTTTAACCACGGAGTTAGCATAAATCATCGTTGCTTTGACTGGTTGAGCGCACACTTTTGGGGTTCTGTCAGTCACGTCGTCGCCACACATGCGCAGTTTCGTCCCCAGCAGTTGTGGCAACGACAATCACGTGCACTATAGAAAACAGTGCGTGCACCGGTCGCACGCATATTGTATTTACTCGATTCTACTGCGCCCTCGATTTCCACGACGATTAAAAAAAAGTAAGACATCGATTGTAACGCGCACCCATTTTTTTCGTTGGCCCGCACAATCACACCGCTCGGGAAAACGACTCCTTTCAGGAGCGTTTTCCATTTAAATATGAGGTACGGGGGAAGCTTGTGCTTATCTGACGTGCAATAGAGCATTGCCGTCATAGTTTTTTCCGTGGCCCGATGTCAGCACGCGAACTTGCTTCGCCCCCTTCTCAACAGCTGTGGTGCCAGGCATGGCGAAGTAAGGAGGCGTCTGATCGGCATTTCCGATTTGCCCAAGCAGGTAGCCGTTGTGCCGCAAGTTTAGGACGAAGCTCTGAAAACTGTGAAGCTTTTCTTCGTACTCCTCCAGCAACTTCTGGCATATGCCCGTTTGCCTTCAGAGGGAAAAGCCTTTCCTCTTCATAAAGTTAGTTGTCCAGCACTTGCTCGCTTCGAATAAGGCTGACTGCATAGCCCGCACTTGGAGCAGTTCTGTCGTCACGGGCGGCTGGGCCGCTCGCTGCTGAAGCACATACTCGGCGAGCAGCTCTTCTATTTGCGGAAACCGACCCTACTATAGTCCACTGAAGCCTTTACGTGAAGCTTTGCTGTCGACAATCTCTGATTTTGTTTCCGCCAGTCCCGCAAGCACGTTTCTGGAACTCCGAACGACCGCAATGTGGCCCGATTTCCGTCTGTTTCTGCACACGCGATGACTTTTCGTTTAAAAGCGGCATCGTGGTGCGCTCGTCGAGTTTTTGGAGTCAGCCCTTCCATGCTGTCGATGCTAATGCACTACAAGATGACGAACTCCTCAGCACACGTACGAAGTGCCGCACAAGGGAAACACATTGGCAGAAATGGCCAACGCATCATGCGGATGCACGTAGGGGGCGGCCATTTTGGAAATACCTATGGCAATAGAATGACCATATTCATTTTTTTTTTGCTACTCGATTCTAATGCGCATGCAACTTATGAATTCGCTTAACCAGAAAAATGTGCGCGTTAGATTCGAGTAATTACAGTATTTTCGAAGCTTCGAGTACGCGGCTCTCGGCCTTTGTTTGTATCAAAGTTTGTATCACCCGCCGCAATTAGGAAAGTGTTCGGAACATTCGAATTGAGGCCCAATGAACATAGGGGAATTTGGCTTGGGGATTTTCCAAAAATTCGTATCTGCTGAGGGAACGCCTCTTAAGGGGAGACGCGGGTCGAAAAGTCGCGTTTTTTTTCCAAATTTCACCTTTTCTGTTTTTTGTTGCTTTATCATCTTTATACATTATATTTTGACATCTGAAAATATCACAGCGAAATAAGCATCAGAAGTCAGTGAAAAACGCGTCTGAGTGAGCGGCAGTGACGCGCGGCATCACGAAATTTACACAAAACGGGCTGCTGTTCGCGTGCTCGCGGGGCCGCGAAGAGAGCTGTCCGCCATATTGCGGCCGCTGGCTCGTGTAGAGTTGTCCTTACTCTCCACGATCCCGGTTCTTGAAGTCTCGTACGTTCACGAAAAATCTAAAAAAAAAGCAACAAAAACAGTCTTTTCCCGCCGTTTCAAACCGCGCGCCACTAACGCAGGGCCGCCATTGGCTGACAGCACCCGTGTTTTCTTGCCGTAGTTCGCTTCACTGTTTTCCGGAGTTATTTTTCGCTGTTTTCGTGCGATGGCAAGCCCGAAAAAGGCCGTTGCCGACCATCGGAAATACAGAAGTAAGAACAAGTTCAGAGGGAAGCGGCGGAGGACGTACAAGAAAGCCACCGCCAACGAAAATGTCCGCGACGGGCCAGCGGCCGGTAGGCCTAACATCGACCACGGCAACGTCGACCATGGCAACTGCGACGACGAGATCAACGCTGCAGTGAATTTTGTGAGTGCATCGCAGAAAAAGATCGCGTTATTCGAAAACGACGTCAGGCCGAATGCCGATCGTGCCGAAAGCGTAGTGCTGTGCGAGTTGGGTGCATTGACGGCCGTCGTCGCAGGCGCGGCATGCCCCGTTTGTCACGAGAGTAAACTCGCAGTTCGGGCACCGAATAAAAAGCGGAAAGGCCTTTCGGCGTTTCTGGAGCTACACTGCGAGAATGCGGAGTGCTCGGAGAGCATCCTTTCGTCCGCGTACTCGTCGAAGCGGGTCGCGTCAGATGGCGGCCGCGGTGCAAGCAGAAGCTACGACAGCGGGAGTTCGCGTGACGCCTTTGCCGTGAACCTGAAAGTGGTGCTTGCAGCGCGTGCCGTCGGTATCGGGCATGAGCAACTTTCACGATTTTGTGCAGTAGTTGGATTGCCAAACCCTATGCACCATAAGACCTTCCATGCTATCGGCAAAAAGATTCACAGTGCGGCAGTGAAGGCTGTCTGTGAAAACATGCAAAGGGCACGCAGCGTCACCAAAGAGGTGGCTGGTAACAGTGACGTGCCAGTCATGTTTGACGGCACATGGCAAAAAAGAGGCCACAAAAGCCACAATGGTGTGGGAACTGTAGTGTCCTTGGACACTGGTTTGTGCCTGGACTATGAAGTGCTTTCCAACTTCTGCCTGGCGTGCAGTTTGCATAACGACATGGGAGGCGATGAAGAAACATGGCAGGCGTTTCATCATCCCGTTTGTGAGAAGAATTGCGACTGTTCTTCGCATGCCATGGAGGCCGAAGCTGCAGTGCGCATTTGGCAGAGGACTGTGGACTATGAGACACCCCTGCGGTTCACCATCTTCCTAAGCGATGGAGACAGCAAGGCCTACAACGGGGTCTGTGATGCCAACGTGTACCCTGACACTCCAATTGAAAAAGAGGAGTGCACCAACCACGTGGCGAAACGTCTGGGCACCGGCCTGCGGAAGCTGCCAACGCCACTTCCACGAGGGGAGAAGCTGAAGGAGACCACCATCCAGAAGCTTCAAACTTACTTTCAGGTGGCCATTGTGAACAATCGGGGAAATGTCCACAAGATGTACACTGCCATATGGGCCTCATGTTTGCACTCGTGCTCAACAGACGGTGCTGGAAGTCACAAGTTCTGTCCTGCAGGCCCAGACTCGTGGTGCAAGCACCGACGTGCTGAGGCGCAGGGCCAGCCTGCACCGTGCCACACCCCCCTCCTGACCAAGGCCCAGGGTTTGGCAGTCCTCCCAATCTACAAGCGTCTCACAGATGCGAAGCTGCTTGCCCGGTGCCTCCACGGCAAGACACAGAACGCGGCCGAGTCCCTGAACAGCAAAATATGGCTGCTGTGTCCAAAGACCCGGTTTGCTTCCCGGACTGCTGTGGAAACAGCCACAGCCATTGCAGTCCTGTGGTTCAACCGGGGCCACGCGAGCTTTGAAAAGGTGCTGGAAGAGCTTGGGGTGCTTCCTTCGGAGGCCCTGGTTACCCTCAGCGACCGCCGAGACAGCATGCGCATGCACAAGATGAATGTGCGTCAGACCGCTGAGGCGAGGGCACACCGTCGCAGTGCAGCCAAGAGGGCCCGGGTGGAAGAGTCCTGCCGCACCAGCCGGGAAGGGAAAACCTACGGTGCTGGAGAGTTTTAGACAACTGATATTCCCTCTGGACATGTGTGTATGTGTTCAGCACAAGTTTCGTGCTACTGCGTTTTTCATTTTTGTAAATACAGACTTTCAAACTTTCAAACGCGTTTTTCTCATTTCGCAATTTTGGCCAATTTGCATTTTTTGCGGGAAGTGTTTCGGGCACTTAGAATGGTCATACGACGACGAAATTTGGCACACACATTGAGGAGAGTGCGTAGGGTGCCGATATCTACTTGAATCAGCACAACCTATCAGCTGTAAATATCTATTAATAAATTTAATGGTGGTCGAGTGGAAAAAAAAAGGGTAGTTTGCTACACAGATGTTTTTTTCATAGTTTCAAAGTTGGAGCACAATTTCTAGCTAGATATCGGCACTCTATGGCTAATAGGGAGCAAAAGGAGCCATTGAACAACTCTCTGCATGAACATTTAGTATGCGCGAAAGTTCCCGGAAAACTTATCAAGTTTCACCATTACTTGAAACACAACTCCCAAACTATTGCACTTATGTAAAAACTGATTACAGATTTGGAATCAGGAGGAAAAACTGCATCAGTGGTCCAATTTCTGAAGCTCTAAGTTGAATAACAAAAAAAAAAGTGCTTTCGAGGAGCGTCTCCCCTTAAACTCATAATAAAATAGGGTAGGTTCGAAAAGCCTGGAGCAGATTGAGCTGCTTTATTAATGCGGCCAGATCACGCACAGAAATTTCAATTTCCGGGAGATTTTCATAACAACCGTAAAACCGGAAAAAGCGGTCGAAACCCGGGTGTCTCCCGCCCAATCCGGGTCGTCAAATCCGGGAGACTTGAGGGAGGCGAGGGACGCTGAAATGGCTTTAGACTGAAGATGCAATCACTATTCCTTAATGACCTGTGCTGTAATTTTATATGATATATAAGACCTTGTGGGGGTGCTGACACCCCCCCTGTAAAGTTGTCTGCGCCGCGTGGCGAACGTGTCTCGCCCCAGGGCTTTATTTCGGTGGTGACCACCGCCGGGTGATAGATGGCGTTGTGTTCGCTTTGAGTACCACTGTTGGTAGAGTGGTAGCGCCGGCGGTGGCCCCTGGAGGAAGGCAGGCCTTGGTGGTGGGCGAGCGTTGAGCGAGCCTCTTCTGCGCGTGGCGGCTGCCGCGAACGGTTGTCTGTAGCGCGGGTCCCCGGTGCTCGGCACCGCGGGCTTCGCGCCTTGGGTATGTGTTAGTGTGTGTTTTATCATGTTATTGTGTGTTTAGTGTGTCACCGCGTTATGTTTGTATGGTAGCGTGTTAATGAAAATTGATGCATCATTCGGCGGACAATGTCGTCGTCTAAATTAGTTAATAAATGTATGTTTGTTGTGTGCTTTGTGCTGACCGCGTCAACTGTGTCCGTTCACTCCAAGAGCGTGGCGTGGCGATGCGCGCGTTCGCTTCGCCGAGACTCCACAATCTTTAAAGGAGTGTCATTTGTCTGTCCATGTTCCTGCAGCCAGTGCTTGAAAGGTCCGTTGTGCGTTTCAGGCGGGCCATCCGGCCAATCCAGGAGACTTGGCAATCCGGGAGACTCCCGGCCAATCCGGGAGACTTGGCAGGTATGATGTTGTAATTGCAAATAAGTTTGTCGTAAATTGCACTCGCAGTACCCTGGCATTATGAACTATTCGGGCAAAGGCGGACATATGATTGACACTGCTTCCCGCTTCAACGAGTCTTCGACGTATTCCGGTCGCTGTTAAAAGGCCGGAGCTCAGCAAGCAGCGCGCGCATACCCAATTTATGGTTTTTCGGCAACATTATTCTGACATCATAAAGCTTTCGCAGCGAATGAGGATGGAATGCGCTTCAACAACACCACAGGAGATCTGCTTTTAACCATGTGAACTTCAGAGACTGTGCGTCGACTCTGCGATTGTGTCAGCCCTCGAATTAGATTCAACGTGACCTTCCGATTCATGCCCCTGCGAACACACATCCCCTGCATCATTTGCAAGCACCTGGGACATGCTCATACGCAAGGACAGCCTAGTAAAGTTTCCACTGTTTGTGATTGCAGAAGTCCACTTCTTTCAACCAGCCGACGAGTGTGCTGTGCTGGTTTGGTGTGCCTTTGGTAGCGAGAGCGCAATGACATCACAGCTCACTGCATTCACGAGTAATTCAATGCCGTCCACGGAAACAGGCCTGCCCACTGGATACTTCGAAAATAGCCAAGCACTAGTCAGAACCGCAGAACAGGAGCAAAAAGCTCTCACCCTGCTTGGCCCGGTATCCCAGGCGACGTGCCTTGTCGGGCCTGGTGGGACGGGGTGCCCGGTGACAGGTGTTGAGCTGGCGGTAGTGCCAGCAGCGCAGTCGCAGCAAGAATCGCATCACGTCCGACTGCTTCTTGCGCCACAGCTCTTGCATGTACTTGTACGCCCCCATGGCTGCTCGTCAGGCCCGCCTGAAACGCACAACGGACCTTTCAAGCACTCGCTGCAGGAACGTGGACAGACAAAATGACACCCCTTTAAAGGTCTTATATTTCATACAAAATTACACCACAGGTCATTAAGGAATAGTGATTGCATCTTCAGTCTAAAGCCATTTCAGCGTCCCTCGCCTCCCTCATTGGCTTTTAGGCCAGGACTCCCACACAGTGCTTTGACATGCATGGCCGAACAGTTTGTGATGCAAGACGTACAGACGGGCTAGTTGACGCGTCTGCATCAGTGAAAATACAAGCACAAGCTCAGACATTGTCGTGAGAGGAAACAACACTGACGCTTATGTCGTTCCCTTCTACGTCCTTCGACTTTCAATGGTGCATTGTTCCAGGCAAAATGCTTATAATCAAGTTACCCCTAGCTACGCCTTTTGTAGGGTTTGTATTTTTCACCTTTTACGTGGCGTAAAATGGAAGGCCTAGAGTCGACTCGATGTAGGCCGCGGTCGGCTTCGTGAAACCACGACAGGAGATCCTGAACTCGTTTTGACCATTTAGAGCCTTCCGTGCTTAACCAAATACCCATCGCGATGGGCCTTGACACGGCATATCACAGGTCCGTTTATTTTTTGCAAGAGCGACGACGTTACACATCACGCGATCAGCATAGAAGTGGGCAAACGAATAGGTTAGCGCAGACCTATAACAACACATGGCAAAAAATACAGCTCCCTTTGTAACACCAAATGAAGGTTTTGGTTGACACTGCGTCGCGGCAATTAAGCACTTGAACACGCCGATAGTTAAGATACATTACTGTCCAATTAACACATATACGATAATTGTGACAAGTACCACCGAGAGGGACATGGCCTTCCCAAGCTGAACACCCGAAAGCATCAAGACGTCCTAAAATCTCGAATCAGCGAAATATTGTCATCAAAGCTCTTACTAAATACAAAGTACACGTTCGGCTGATAACACGCAGCTATATTTTAAAGTGCAAGGCGGATTTCGAGAGATTTAACTACACGGTATTGACTGGAAGAGCACATACCTCCCCGGCGCTAAGCACGAAAAAGAACCGAAAGAAAATGAAAGAAAAATCTCGGCAAGTCACGATTTGTTCGAGAACCCGCGAGAACATGTATCAGTGTGGTCGCTTGTTTTTTACGATGACGCCAAACTTTGGCATTAATTTTATTTGAAATAAGCACTTTAAAGCTTACAGGCATACAATTTTTGATAATTCCGTTTCAATTTACAAGTTTTTATTTAAAACAAGGTTACTTTTTTTACGTTTATTTTTTAGGAAAGATGGTGGTAAGATGTAGCGTCGTTAAAGCTTTTCTAGAGAGGCTGGTAACTTCTAGTGGGATTTTGCAGCATTTTGATAAGGCGGCTAAATTCCGTGGTTGCTTGCGGCCCTACACATTTGTACTGACAATTCGCTTCGTAAATGACTGTCAAACTCTTGTTTTCGCCGTCTCCAACGCGCTTTAAACCAACGCTTTAAACGTTCTAGCATCAGTCCTTCCTAGCAACGCCTCCTAGATTTCCTGTGCCTGCCGGATTATCGGCGGCACGTTCCTTCCTCCGTGATCAGCGGTCACTTGGGAAGCGGCGGTCGTCAGAACTACGTTGGTAGCGTTACTCAAGTAGGGTGTCTTCAAATAGATTTTTACGTTTTTGGAGCTTATATGCAACAAAAATAACGTAAAGAGTTTTAAAAGGACGTAAACGGAATTATAATTAACCCTACGTAAGTGATATCGTCATTGAAAAAGCAACTTTTGTAATACAAGGCATCCTCTAAAACTTAGTAACAAACGTCAAAACTGCTAATCTCAAAGGCCAAGCACAAAGACCCTTACACCTACGTAGGCAGCGCCGCCTTAGATTACCGGCGTTTCGCGCTCATTCGGCAGGCGCGAGAAATCTAGGAGGTGTTGTTCCTAGCTACTCGCTTGCCGTCACTTACTTCAGGCCCCTCTTTGCGTCTCCACTGAACCGCGCACTACGTCGGCGTCGCCGACATGAACGCACCGCCGGCATTCGAGTCGTTCCTGCTGTTCGATGGTGAGAAGAAGGTGACCATCGAGAAAGACACCAAGGTGCCCAACGCGGCCATCTTCACGGTCAACAAGGAAGACCACACGCTGGCCAACATGATCCGCGCGCAGTTGCTCAAGGACCCCTGCGTCCTCTTCGCCGGCTACAAGGTGCCCCATCCTCTGGAGCACAAGTTCATCCTGCGCCTGCAGACCACGCCGGACAACACTCCGCAGGAGGCCTTCACCAACGCCATCACCGACCTGATCAGTGAGCTGTCGCTGCTCGAAGAGCGATTCAAGGAGGCCGTCAGAGAGAAGCACGATGGCCTGGAGTAATTCATTACTTTGCTTTGGTCACTGTGAACTCATCCGGGCAACTTGGTCTTGCTGCTTACTCCTTACGGAGTAAGACGTGTATCAACAGACTGTACATAACTCATAGAATTGAATGTTTTCTTCCTCCTCGCCAACAGACTTGCCGTTTCGTGCACGAGTTGCGCACTCGGCGCCAGTTCGCGTTTTGTAGTTTTGCCGACCCAATCGGGGAGTGCTCGTTTAACGCTGTGCCAGAGCAGCCTCGCTGTGGCGAGAACTCCCGTGAACGTGCTCCGAATACCGCCAGCTACTTCACTGCTTGCAGGATTAGTCTTTAGCTCGCGTTTGTTGTTCAATGCCTCTTTACTTCATCTCATTAAAGCATGATGAATTCCTTGAGCATGAATTTTGACATTGGGATACCCTCTGTGAGCCATGTTTCATGTTCATTTAACCTTCTGTCTGGCTGATGTGTTAGCTTAACTACGCAATGTCGGCTGCGGACCCTACAACCAAAAATGCATTGCATGGCCTTGTAAAAAACAAGCTTTAAAGACTATTTCTGAGCTCCTAGTTGTCTTGGTACAGCCAGCCATTTTGAAACTATTATTCAATAATTGTTGGCAGTCCTTGTAGCAGAATTCTACTATTTTTTTAATAACTGACTGGCTATTTTGGCTCTTTCAGTTTTGTGATCACGTAAATAAACCCAAGCTTTTGTTTTGAAGCTGGTTATGCTTGCATTATGCCTTTACAACACAGCAGTACGGAATAAGGTCATACTCGCCTTACTGAAAGGCAATAAGAGCACAATATCGACAAGACGAATGAAAGAACACATAAAATGAGCATTGAACAGCTGACTGTTTTATTTATTCAATGTCATATAATGAAAGAAGGGTAGGCAAATCAGTCGCATGGAACTTCAAGCTATTCGTCATGATAAAATGGGTAAAAGCTATTAACAAGTTTACAAATTTCAGAATGCACTTAGGCACATGCAAAGATAATTATACTCCTCTTTGCATAGTGTTACAAATGTTTCACTAATGCAAGTGTCGCACATTAGTTTCATAGCGAAAGCTTTGGCTATCAGACGACTGTACACGCTTGGGTGCCTTCCTATTACTTTGCAGTCTGGGAACTCTGGTGTGCACACGTACGTGCCTGTTGCAGTGGAGGGCTTTGTTGCTGCCTTCTTTTATTACATAATTGCTATGGTGTTTGCCTAGTCGCTGATTAAAATAACGACCCATTTGACCAATGTGCATATTTCATCAGAGCGGAACTTTATTGACGATGTGGGCTGTGCATCCTATAAACGGTTTCATTGTGCACAACGGCTTCTTGGGATCTTCCCAGTTGACGCATCTACGAAGTTCGCCTAGCTTACTGGGGGTGCTAAAAAGCTCTTCTACGTGCGATTTCTTGGCGATTTTCTTGATATCGTGCACGATACCACAAATGTTAGACAAGCACTCGTCCTGTGTGTTTCTTCATTCATCTCGTCTATTATGCGCCGTTTTTACGTCTTACGTGTGACCAACTAGCCCAGCGAAACACTTTTGCGATACTCGCCATGTTGCAAGTCCTTGTTGAATCTTGCACCGCAGATGAGTGTGTTGGGTACGAACACTTCCTTATCTGCTTGCTCCTTAGAATTCCCAACTCTTGTGATAGCTTTGTTACCACTGGCGGAACAAGTGTAATTACAAAAGCACTCAGGTTGTCAGAAATCCGGAGACTTGTTAGGTGGATATCCTCGCCTCTCTGTGCATAATTCATTAAAAAGAAAACCTGCTATTTTGGATACCGTTCAATGTTCATCATTACAGCCAAAATGAAACGGTGATGCAGTATTTCAACCAGTGCCCAGCAACTTAAAATTATTTAAAATGCATTTTTGAGCTATCGCATCCTGATCTGTTGGCAAACTAATAAAACTTAACATGATCGAACTGGCAGCATTATACGTTTTGTTCCCACACAATTGCTTTTTATAACCTGGTCATCACAATCTCCTCCACCGTGAGAGTTACTTCTACATTCCTAGCATATACATTACAAGACACACTTAGACTAAAGAAAATATCTACAATCAAGGCAAACAGCAGCATCACTGACTGTGGTCAGTCTTACAGACTTCATTGAATAGCATATATCAAGTTCTTGCTTTATTCATAAGAAGTAGGAGTGTGCGAATATTCAAAATTTTGAATATTTTTCAGGTAGTGCTTGCTATTCTATTCGCCCTGGAATTTTTTCTAATTAAATTTTCCAAAGACAAATGCGGTCAACGTACAATTGAAACTGACCATCTTCAGATCTTCAATATGCTTCACGTCATCACATTCTCGTATTTTGGCAAAGCTGCCTTACAGGCTTCGCTACAGGTCAACTTCCCAAAGACAGTCAACGTCACTTAGAAGCGTGGCGGTTTGGGCTAGTTGGTACAACATGAAAACAATTGTTATAGTGGAATAACTGTTATAGCACGTTCTGTTCTCGCGCTATAACAATCGTCAGGTCAACGTTGAATTAAAAACAGCGCCTTGAGATTATTCAAATGCTTCACATCACTACACTGCCCTATTGGGGCAAGGCTGTCTTTTATGCTCCACTACGATCGTAAATGTACTGACTCAAAAAAAAAAAATGCTTCCAACATAAAGATGATAGATGTGGCAGAAGTGAGGGTGCAACTGATGCTGTTTTGGGCCTGAAATTTGGGCAGGAAGTTCCAAAGATTGGACATTGAAGATTTTTAGCACCTAAATTTTCAAACGTTCTTGTATGATGACGTCTACGAGGCAGATTTGGAATTCCCAACTCGGAGGGAGCACAACCTTGTCTGCCGCATCAGTTGGGCTTCCACAAACGTTGAAAGGGGATGAGGAAATTGTGTCTTTGCCTTTCACGTGAAAAAGTGCTGTCGGCAACACTTCGGTTGCACCAAATCATGTACTAATACAACTTCAGCCTCTGCAGTGCCTCATTCTCGATAAGACATATGAAATAGCATCCTGCCGTACATTCATCAAACTAGCGAAAAGAAACACTTTCATGTTGCTAGGCTAGTCAACCTCCTTGTCTTTCCTTGCATCTCTCTCTTCATGTTGCTGTATTTCAGAAGAATATGCTTAGGAGTAAGCTCCAACCTTTCTTTTATCCCACGATTCCACTTCGAACTATTAGAAAAGTGTTCGCTTCGATTCGCACTCACATCTGCATATTTGAATTTGCTTCACACTCACAATTTCGCTATTCACACATCTCTATAGTAGTTTACAGCCCTAAGAATACTAGAAAAATGTAAGCTCCCCGCACAGCGGTCGCCCTCCCTCCAGGCATAATTTGCATACACGTCTTGCTGAATCACAGTCGGCTATTTACGTGACGTCAGGCACATAACTTGCCCGTACAGGCTCCTGTTCATTTCGCTAAATTTTGGCTGGAAAATTTTACTTAGCAAAATTTCATTAAAACATTTTGACCACATTGCTCTGCAAAATATAACGTTTTAAGAAGGAACAACAAATTTATAATTTATAGTATGTGTAGTATTTGCATTATCAGCGAGTGTGCTTATGGTTATAATCGAAATCGCCAATCATTGCTTTGTTGCATAGATGAGCGACAGGCGGGCTGCAGTAGTGGGGGCGGAGCATGTATTTATTCTTAGCTTAAGAACTGCTCTGACAAGGTGATAAAGGGTTGTTAACTACTTCAAAAGTGAATAATATGACAGTAACTGTATCATAGCTCACATTGATGAATTAAGTTTCAGTGGCATCTGGTCTTTCACAGCGGCGGTGGGGGGAAATGAAAATTTGTTCACAAAGAGTGGAGAAGATCTGCAACATTGTAGACCAGAAAGCATGTTAATAGCACAAGGTTGTTGTTTCTACTAGTTGGCTGAGCACACTTATAGTACATAACAACACTGGTCAAGTCCCTTTTTGTTTCATGCCGTTGTACCTTCCCCGTTTGAATGTAGCTCCCATAGCTGGGACTCACACAAGTGACCCTGTATAGCTTGGTGTCAGAAATGTAATGCGCTCGAATAGTTGTAATGTTTAAAGGTACACTAAAGGCAAATTTGTGTCAAGTGAAAGAACCATGTTTGGGAATGTCTTAAAACGTCTATATTATCAACAGTAGTCCTCTAAGAAATTAGGGTAAATTTACGACATCACATGTGCCACGAGTGGAATATTTTTTAAATGATCCCAATGACATGAGAGTGTCCAGCTACAATAATTCACTGGTAATCAAATTAGCTGCAGTAAAGAAAGAACCTTCCGTGAATCACAGCATGTAAGAAAATGCTGCTTGTCCATTTTTCTTTGATTCATAAGAAAAAGAACCGCCTGGCATTACCATGGGGAATGGCAGAAGTGGTCCCAAAGTTCCATTTTGCCTGGCTTGGCTGCATAGGTGGTGCCACCTAGCGGGCCCTAGTGCAACCAAGCAAGCAGAAAATTGTTGAATAGCCGTTGTTCCTGCTGTGGCTCCCGCTACTTTTGCTCTGATGTTGCTAGTGTCGGCAGCGGCGTAGTAAAATTGGGCAACGTTGTGCATGGAAACAGTGACATCAGAAAAATCGCTTTTAGGCAGGTGATTCGAAAGCGATGCAGGCCACTAAAACGAGATTTAGTTTCAAAATAAGCACTCCCTTGGCACAAAAATTGCACTATGACCATTTCTGGACCACTATTTCAACAATTGCCAATTTAATACTTGCTTCCAACACTTCAAAGCCATGCTTTGTCATTGATATCCAGTCACCATGGCCTGTACACAAGTCTATTGGAAAAAACTTGCATAATTTCATTCTTCTTTTCTTCACAGAGAAGACACAAACTGCAACGAACTTCTTGGGATCAATGCTACATATAGCTATGATTTTTTTATCTGCTTTAAGTAATCACTGCCATATTGGACATGCTTTACAGCCCACGTTAACGAGACCAACTGGCCAGAATGCGTGGGTAAATCATGGTGAAATTTATGACATGACATGACCAACTAGTTTAGTTTTGAAAGTCCTAAAACATCTTCTGTTTTCATCTCGACTTGGCCATTGACCGCAACTTCCTCGTCACATTACCCGACCAAACTTTCATAGAACTGTTAACCATAGATTTTTTAAAGTCAAGAACAAGCACAGTATTGATTCGTTATGACTACTTCATCAAGATATTAACATTATGCACACACATACACCTCTTATACCACTTTTATTTGAGGGTGGGGTCCTTCGAGGTAACAAAATGAGCACATGAGACAGGAGAAGACACAAAAAGCGGGCAGCGACGGTTTCACTGTAAAGGTTGGGCTAGGAGTGGGGCGGCACGTACGGGTGCACCAGGTGACGAGAGAAGGCGCGCACCTGCTCGGCGCCGCGCACCTCCTGGTCGAGCAGGGGCAGCCGCGTCACGTGGAAGTCCTCGTACAGGTCGGCGATCTGGTCCAGGTACTTGGCCTGCAGGCGGCAACGGGCGGCGCACATGCGGCACGGGTTGCGTTCCGGAAACAGTAGCTGGTTGACGACGATGTTGTGTGTGTCGATGCCACACTTGGTGAGCTCCTGGACGAGCCGCTCGGTCTCGTAGAGCGAGAGGAACTCGGCGATACAGACGCACACGAAGGTCGTCTGGTCCGGGTCGCGGAACTGAGCGTTGACCTGGCGGATGACGGGCAGCATCTCCTCTACCTTGGAGGACATGGCGTCCGCCGTCAGCTCTTGCAGACCCAGCAGGCCGGCCACTTGCGAGATGAATGGGCTCAGGTGGGACTTGAGACGCAGAAGCTTGCCCATCCCCTTCTCCATGACCTGCATGCATGAGCATATAAGGGTTGGCTTTTTTTTTTATCGAAGAAGGCAGCACAAAATAATGCAACGGACATAAGCAAGCAGGAAACACAGACAAGCTTATTGGTGCATACTACTGATCACACAGAGAGGGAAATCGCCAAACTGTTTCCTATATGCATTAGTGAACAGCACATCAGCAGACCCTCAATGCGCTTTCTGAAAAAGAAATTAACCTTTCGTAAGTAGTCATGCCTCCCCTTGCGAAATACATGATGCGTCGGCGACACTTTTTGACCTGGAGGCTGAAATGTCAACCATTTTTGATTGCCAACTATCTCCTCTTCTTTTTCCTTCTCCGAGCCTTACGTAAGTCATTTAATGCTTGAAGTGAAATAAATTGTGCATCACAAAATGAAGTCGTACCAACTAGCCCCGGTACAGCCTTATTAAGTAAGCATGGTGCAAACTGTCTATGGAGAATTTTAGTGACAGAAAAAGCAGATATGGTATTTCCTGTTTCAAACAGTTTGTGAAACTATGAAGAAAATTAGAAGGACAAGCTTGTAAATGCCTATGAAGAAGCAAAGAAAACCTTCAGCATGTGCCCACATGTCCAAAATAAATAGTCTTACACAGAGGTACTCAAATAGGAGCCCCCAGAAACCTATTAGAATAGAGCCACATACTTCACTCTGCCTGCTGTGTAATGACTTCTCCCCCCCCCCCCCTTTTTTTATCTGTCTGCAGGTAGTTCCTCACCTATTCTACCGGTCTAGAAGGATTCCCAAAAATTCATGGCTAAAGAAACATTACATTTACTACATATGTTGACAGACAAAAACCAGCAAAATAATAATACGAATAATAATAGCAAGAGGTGAGCAACTACACTCTATGTAAGTTATTCCTAATAGTAAAGCTTCGTTTTACGACCACATACTCATGATCGTAAATAATTTGCAAGTCTTCTTTATGTAGACAGCATAAAGATTGTCTTAGACAGAGCTCGCTGTGAGCTTCACGGTTAAAACTGAAACATAAAACACACTGTTTTTTCGAGCTTACCATCGTTCCTCAATGAATAAAGTACTGTTGGGCCATCGTGGGAGTGGGCATGAATGCCAAACATTGAACAATAATAGCAAGTAAAATAATGTCCATACATATAAGAATAAATCTCAAGAAGAGAATGAGTAAACACAATGAATTCCATTTTCTACTACACAAGAAAGCTGTATTTAAAACAGTCCGCATAGGCAAAATAATGCAAGATCTTCAGGTAATTGAAGTTTCCCGTGTTAGATCTTACAGCAGAAGTTAGGTCAGGTAACAATCCAAAGATACCAGACTAGAGGAGTTATTCGTGAAGGGAAGAACTTCAGAAATTAGGCACATTGGCAATCTTGGAATGGTTGTTAGCCTAGAGTTGAAAGTGTTGCGAGTGAAAAATGTTTACCAAACGTACAGTATTCGAAGTGAATGGCTTTTTTTATTTGAATGGACTCAATTTGATTATTGGCATTTTAGATGTTTGCTGGCACTGCTTTTTCACTGTTGATTTAAAGTGCTAGTTACCTTAGAGTCCTTTAAACATAAACACTAAGCTCCTGGCTTAAAAATCATTTCTGCTTATTTTCGCTTAACAGTAAAATCCTTCATCTTTTGCTTAAAAGCAGTCTATTCAATTTCAGCTCTGCAGTGAACAGATCACTTGACCCAACACTACTGCATCTGAACGAATTAGTGAGAATGTTTCTGCTACATTTATCTACATTATGTGCTTGTGTGGTTAATTTCTCTACCGTCAGATGGCACCACTTGTCCAGACCATTCAAGTTCGTTGGCAAACTAAACATCTTATACTGCTATCACTAAAAATAATTATATTGTACGAATTTAAGAACCTCCACTAGCCCACATTATAATTGACCATCTATAAATACGTGAATTAAGACAATTTCATGCCAAGGTTCTCAAAAACAAATTTCAAGGCAAGTGGAAGTATTATGATGTATTTCACAGCAATTAATTGTAATGACAATTTAAAAAATTCTTTATACATTGCAGAGTCAGTCCAGACATATTTTGCGAACCGAATTCAATGACCCAATCAAATAACATGCCATAGTTACCTGCTAGTAGCAGGCATTACAAAAAGAAAGAAAAAAAACTCTCCGACCAGTTGAAGCCCATCAGTTCCAACCAAAAATGATACAAAGGAGGTTTAGGTGAGAAGAATGCCTAAGTAATTTACCATAAGCTCATTGCCTGCGGTCTCCCTGCAGAGAAATGATAAAAGCATGTTCCGCCTCTAAATGAGGACGTTGTGTCACAATAAATGATCTGTGGACAGCATCGTTTCATGCTTTAGTTATATGATTGATAAAATTTAATGCGAGCAGCAATCAAATCACTTTTTGCCATTGCGCAGCTTATCACACATTAATAGCCACAAAATATGTTACACGAAGAGTTACCATATGCCACAACCAGAGATACAGCATCAATAGTGAGGCGTGGTCATGTTGACACTGAGCATCTCCTATTGCCTGCTCTCACATTTTTTTTTTTTTTTTTTTTTGCCGCCATGCTACCCAGGCTGGTATGATTGAATGACTTATCAATTGTGCCTCCTACAGTGATGGAAGCGACTTTTTGCTTTCTAGAACAGTAAATAATGCTTCTTTGGAGCAGTTATAAATGTTCTTGGAGCAGATGGTAAAATATTCCTATTTTCTTGAGTTTCTCTTGAGTTTAGTTCTCTAATATTCTTTAGAGTTTGAAGCATTATTTAAGCATTTATGAATAGTATTAATATGTAATGCACATTCCGTAATCATCACAAATTGCAAGAGTAGCTCGATGGTCATTCACTACATAAGATTACCTATACATTTAACATACCAGTACTTCTGGCAGAAATCAGGTCATAGCTGATAAAGAGATATATGTAATCAGTAACACATGACAGTCATCACAGCAGCAGTTAGTCATCAGTATGGTATCAAACAAATCAATTATTTCACCAAAATAGTCTCCTTGTCAAGTAAAAAGATATTTGTCGACAGTGCCAGTACTTGTGGCGTTTTCAATATTCTAGCATGCAGCCAGGCTTCCCTGCGGTGGTCTAGAGGCTAAGATACTCGGCTGCTGAACCACAGGTCGTGGGATCGAATACCGGCTGCGTCGGCTGCATTTTCAATTGAAGCGAAAATGTTGTAGGCCCATGTGCTCAGATTTGGGTGCACATTAAAGAACCCCAGGTGGTCGAAATTTCCGGAGTCCTCCACTGCGGCATCTCTCATAATCATATGGTCGTTTTGGGCGTTGAACACAACATATCAATAAATGCAGCCAGTATACCGAGAGCGTACTAAAGTGATATTACGCAGCTTGTTTTTGGTTAGCATACAGAGTTCATACCACCGCAAGTGCATACAGCTGACTACCTGGACAATATGCACTTTCACTACTTTTCTGGTATGCATTCTTACAGCTTCTACTTCAAAGCAGTGTGACAAAGTAAAAACAGATACAGGAAGGAAATCCTGACAGACAACGTGCATCTTAGCTGTTTATGAGAAAAAACCAGGGGTTAACTTTTTGTGCAGAGTTAGCGATTCCGTCTTGGTGCATGCATGTGTTGTTTGTCCACAATGTTTTTACCCAGTCTTTCTGTTGTTTTTGTAACGAAACAGCTGACAGATGAGTTTGGTTTTATCGCTATGTCTGTTTCCATTTGCAGCCTTGCTTTGGCATACGAAGCATGCAATACCAACGCGTCCAAACGCAAGCTTTAAGGTAAATCCTGTGGCTGCCAACAGTCCAGCTCGCGACACAGCGGCCGGTGCACCAGCTGACAAGTCGACATTTAATGACACTCACTATTGATGGACTTTTTACGCCCTAAAACCACGATAGGATTATGAGGGACGCCCTAGTGTTGGGCTCCGGAAATTTAGGCCATATGGTGTTCTTTACAGCGGGTATAACTGTAAGTTTCGCCAATTGGTTTCGCATGCCTCGAAATGCAGCCACGGTGGCGGGATTGATCTCGCGACCCGTCGGGTGCGCCATAACCAGAGGGCCGGTGGTCACTAATGTCGATTACCTGAGGGAACGAGAGCAGTCTGAGCGTGTGTCCGGTGGGCGCGGTGTCGAAGATGACCACAGAGAAGTTCATGCTGCGCACCAGCTTCATGACCTCAGCGTAGCTCATGGCCTCGTCGATACCCGGAAAGGCGCCCAGAATCTCCTGCATCATGCTTTTGCTGGCGCGGAAAGGGTCGCCCTCCTCGAAGTACTCGTCGGGCAGCTCGGAGAAGCCCAGGTTTGGGTCGATTTCCATGGCATACAGGTTGGAGAAGCCATTTACTGGAGTGGGGACCTTGGAGAACTTCTGGTCGAACGCGTCCGATATGTTGTGCGCCGGGTCGGTGGAGATGATGAGCACGCTGTCGCGCGTCGCCGCCAGTTGCACGGCCAGGCTGCAGCTGCAGGTGGTCTTGCCGACACCTCCCTTGCCGCCGACGAAGACCCACTTGAGGGACTTCTGCTCGATGATGTTCATAAGCGACGGCTCGAGAAGGTCGCCGACGGCCGACGCCTTGTCATCGCCCGCTGTGTCGGACGCCATCAGATCGCGTGCTCGCCTATGCTACGCTACGACGGCTACGTCTCCCTTCTGACGGAGCAGAAGCGCTGTTTGGCGCAAGTGGAAGCGACGTCAAAGGGCTGTGGCACAGATGCAGTGGACGTAATCCATTCACAGCAGGCGGTGCATTATGTGCATCATCCATTCGCGACCGATGGCTGCGACTGGCTACACAATGGATTGGATTCAATGATGTCATTTTGCGCCACCGTCGTCTGCTCACTACGTGCATGCCTCTTCGATTCCGCCGGCAACCTGAACCAAACTAGGTGCCTTGATCCTTCATCCGTGGCTTTTATTATTTCCCTATGGTATACCAGTACGTCGTGCCAACAGTAAACTAAAGCTAATGTTACGATAAAGGTGTGGTGAACGCAGCGCTAAACTAACGTACGAGCACACGATTTCATACAAAACTAAACTGAGAAAACTAATGAAGTTTTACTTTCCGATATAAAATAATCTTCGCAACAAATTCGAAAAATACATTGCTTAATTTATATAAACTTAATCAAACTATCAAGCAGTTTTTAAAAATTAAAACCTGCACATAAACACTATTCCACGTGCGACAAAATGGCTGCGTCCACATCACTCCTTGCATCATCGTCTGTTGTGCTGTAGCGGCATTCAACAAGTGTGTAGCGGCATTCAGCAAGTCTAGTTTTGATTGACGCTGTTCGATTTCCCGCTGAACGGCCAAGATGCCAAAACGTGGGAGCAGTGGCTCAAGAGGCTCAAGTGTTTCAGGTACCTGAATATCTATTACAAACAATACGACAGCGGTTTGTTTCGCAGTTTGACGTGCCGACAGCGGCCATCCCACATCCTGCCCTGTTTGCAGTTTGCATGCGGGTTCTGCCAACAACGGCATTACTCGCTACTGGAAGTGGGAACCAAGGTGTTTCGCAAGAGTGTCGACCAAGCGGCATTATGGTGAAAGAGCGTTGGCATGCGCGTTCTTGCATCGTGAGACAGATTCGAACGCTTCGGATAGTACCTACAGTTATACACAACTGAAAGTGAAATAAACGCGTCCACGGCAATATCAAGTCGGTCTGTACTCTGAGATATCGTTATAATGCGGTAATCGACCAGGTTCTCCCGCTTTTGTCGTGATTGAAAATGGTGCCGCGACTGTGCGAATCGCGATAAGCAGCCCAGGCTGTGTGCTACGTGGATGGCTGGCGTGATAGCTGTAATGAGACGTTCGCACTTTTGTCTATAGCACTCGGGAGTTTGTCTGGTGAAAAAGAAACGTTACGCCTCAGCAGTCGCATCTTCTGGGTTCCTCTGCTGTGAAGTTACAATTTTATTGTGTATATTTTTTTCTCGAAACAGCAGTACATTGACTAATAAGCATCCTCTTCGCTTAAATGTGTGCGACAACACAAACTTTGCCAGTGTCCGAGCTCATCGGATAAGCGCGGTCATTCGCGTGTCTTTTTCATCAGTGGCGTCTGAAGCAACGTTTACATACATCTGCGCTGAAAGCTTTGCAACTTGAATTGCCAATGAAATATATAACCTGTATGCAAAGTCTACTGCTGCATTCAATGAAAAGCTATGGACACCGATAGAGATTTTTTTTTTTTTCATCAGAAAAAAAAAAAACATTGCCTTCATTACATCAGTACACCCCTAGGTAGGTGCGCTGAATTAAGTTGTCTGCGGTGGTCCACAACTGAATGAAAGCAACAGGGAAAAAAATCAGGAGCAGTGCAAACTCTATTCTTGTTTTAGATGTGATTGTAAATATTCGAATCATTGGACCATCAGAAACGTCAAGAAACGGTAAACTTTTGAATGGTCAAAGAATGATGACAATGCAACACAAAGTCAATATTGTTAATTTTGAATACTTGTAGAAGTAACACCAATGTGTCAGGCTTTGTCATTGTTGAAGCCTCATTCCACAAAAAAAAATACATATATATAATTTATTATTGTAAGGCCACACCGTTGACAAAACATCGTTAAAAAATAATGCCATTTACTCAATTTTTCTTCTCTTGTTCTTGTTAATTGAATGATTCGGCACCATTGTTTTACATGTTGCTTTACAGGATATTAACTGCTTGTAATCAATTACATATTATTGCAACTTTTGAAGCTGTAACATTCTGAGTAATTCAGTTACATTTTCTTGCAGTTGACTAGTAGTAATCAATTTTTTTTTTCAGTATCAAGTTGCAAACAGTCTTATACGGTGGTTTTCACCCTGAAAAATATGCAACCGCCTTGTGGGACTCCCTCCCCATCTGACAGGATGGGGAGGTAGTTCCTACAAAACTTATTTCACTTTTTCTTCGGCCTTAGCGGCAATGTCTACTCAAGCACGAGCAACAAGGAACTATGGCACTTCATAGCAGGCATGGGCGCTAGTATCGAAGCAGTGGGCAACTATGAGCTGGTTTGCAACATGTTATTCCTACCACACTTTCCTCCAGTGCACTCAGAGAGAGAGTGTGAAGTCTAGCAGCTGACCTCCTTACGATTCACTGATGACAACTGTGAAAAACAGCTCCCATTGAAAGTTAATAACGTCTAACATTATGTCACAGAAGCCACACTAAGCCTCCCAGCTTTAATGCAAGCCTCCAGCCTTCTCTACCGTGCAAGCCACAGTAGTTCGTTGCAGTTTGAGTGAACTCGTGTTATTGTGTAAGGGCTGTAAAATATTTGATAAAAATTAAAGCAAAAGTAATTTATTACATTTCTGTAATTGCTAAGCTACATTTCTAGGGCTGAAATTGACTCCTGTAATCATTTACATTTCAAAAGGAGTCATTTTAATATTAATCGGTTACTTATTTTCTCTAATGTGTAATGCCTGGTCTTTACCAGTTAGCTCTTTTTTTCTGCCTGATCATACGAGGCATACGTTGAAAGTTTGAATCTCATTTTCCGTGTTTAATTGGTGTCCAATTATTTGTAGTACAGGGCGTGGTGTAGTTTGGGTGTCTGCCCACGGAGTGGCTTGAAGTGGTGGGATGACCATGCGGTGATTCCTGCAGCATCACTTTGCCATGACAGGTGCGGGAGACAGTGCGGAACCGAAGAAGGTCTGCCTGGTTCACTTGGACCTCGGCGTTGGCGGAGCCGAGCGGCTGATGGTGGACGTTGGGCTGGCACTGCGCTCCAAGGGAAACCCCGTCCAGATCATCACGACCCACCACGACAAGAACCACTGCTTTCCTGAGACGCTCGATGACCACTTCAAGGTGGCGTCACCTCTCGACACTTTTGGTGGCACTCGTTTAGGGCACTTTCACTCACACTGTGCCAGAACATTTTTTCCCAAAGTGCTTCTAACATAATTTCAAAGTGACGCGCAGCGTGCATAGAGCACATTGCAGGCTGTAAACTCAAAAGCTTTGTCATGACCACACTGTTGAATGCTTTACTATGCTTGTGAACTTAAAAATAAAATTAATATTAGAACATATATGCTTATGTATACTGGGTGTCCAAGCTAACTCGTATCGAGATCTTAAAGGCATACCATGCACTCTAGAAAAGTTGTACTTGCTGTAGTGTGTAGTCATTGCCCACACTTTATTACTAGGTATTAATAAGTAACTATGTTTGGTTATTGCCCGAGTGAGGGAAATGTTAATATTAATTTGTGGTGCTGCACAGAATAACTTTTTACTAAAACATTAATCTTGTTATCTAACCTTCCTTCTTTTTTTTTTCTTTTCTGAGTAGAGAGAACTGCCTGTAAAATGCACTAAATACTGCAAGTACAACTTTGAAAGAGCGCATTCTTTTTTGTTGTTGTTGATTTCGGTCTGATTTAGCAATGACTTTGTGTTTCTAGCGGCCTGCTTATACAAGATTCATCACACAAACAGGATGTACTACTGTACCTACAGCTGCTGTTGACACTAGCACCAAAGCTGCCCGTAGTAAGTTCCTTAGCAGACCCTATGGTATGTGCAAGTGACTCACGGGCATGAATTGTACAGTTGTATTGGGCAGTAAAGTGGCTGGCAGACATCTTGCGGGTGGTACCCACCGTGGTGGTGTTGTTGCTATGGGGTGCAACTGCTAACTCGAATGTCACGGGATCGAGTGCCATCTGTGGCAGTTGCATTTACAATGGGGCGAAAATTCCAGATGTCCGTGTGCTTGATTTTGATATGTGAAAATCCCAACAGTTATGACTAGGCTTGTGCAAATAGTGAATTATTATGCTCAAAGCGAATCCAAAGCTTATAGGGATTTGGTTTGAATAATTTCTCATTGAATTAAGATACTACATAGTAAAATATTGTAATAAAAAATGGGTGCACTTGTCATGACCTAACCAACAGGCACAATATTTTTAAATAATTTAAATAAGGCCTGTGCTAATGACATTCTCTTTGGTTCAAAGCAAGTGGAAAGAACTTTGAATAGTAGCAGAATTGGAATTTAGGTAGAATGCAAGTAATAACGTGTAAAATACATTATGCTTTAGAATTCACTAATTTACTATACTTAGAGCATATAAGCTGGTGTGACAAGCTTTTGAGCGTAAGAAATGACAAATGAATGGAGGGTAATATGTTCATTTCACCTTGGCTTTGCAGCAATGTTTATTTCCCTTGAGAAAGTGTTTTCGTGGGTTAGCATTTTTTTACTGCAGTGAAACGACCTTCACAAAAGGTTACATGCGAACTAATACTTTTAATTAAATGCTTTTATGGCATAGCACTCCTTTTCTGCACTGAAACCACCTTTACAGGGGGTTACATGCACATTAATAACATTTGCTCATTCATTTTGAATTCTTCGAAATTTTCAAACAATTTAAATTCGAATTGAAGGGAACATGATTTCAGTAATTTTCATTCAAATATTCACACAAGCCTAGTTATTATTATCATTATTTTTCAGGTGGTGGTGGTGGGTGACTGGCTGCCACGGTCGATACTGGGCCGCTTCTACGCCCTGTGCTCGTACGTCCGCATGATGGTGGCCGCCATGTACATTGCTTGGTGCAGCGACATCCAGCCCGACATTATCATATGCGACCAGGTGAGTACCCCACAGTCTCAGTTATTCGATTTCGTCGAGCTGCGTTAGCTGAACAATGGGACTGCTCCACCTCACGATTTGTGGTGTAGTAACGTCTGTAAAACCCACCCTGGCCTTGGAGCTCTCTGCCTTGTGAAGTAGCTTTCCGCTTTGCAAAAGATGCATTCCAAAATGTTCAAACAGCACTGAACTCATTCGCATAACATGACAAACCCCTACTGTTGAAGGAAGGAAGGAAAATAGAGGGAAAAGAAAGGCAAGGAGGTTAACCAGCCTATAGGCAGCCGGTTTGCTACCCTGTGCATGGGAAAGGGATGGGGGAGATGAAAGAGAGCAGAGAGGGAAGATAGAAACAGCACATTCGGCAGCACATGCGCGCACACTCAGTCATAGTCCAGTTTTGTCTTTCGCGGTGTGTGACATTGCTGTTACAGTCGCTTGTTCAAGTCGGTGTCGCGTAGGAATTTCAACAGAGCTTTCCTCGTCTTCTGTTGCAGTGTCTTCTCTCGGGCACTTGACAGAATAGTGTCCACAGACATTTGGCTGTTGTCGATGCGCGCAAAAGCAGACGCCAGTGACTGTCTCTGGATTTCATACAATGGACAGTCACACAGGATGTGGTGTAGCGTCTCTTCGCAATGACAGGCATCGCAGAGAGCGTTGTCGGCCATTCCTATGACAAAGGAGTAAGATTTTGTAAATGCCACTCCTAGCCATAAGCGATGAAGTAGGGTGGCTTCTCTTCGGTCGAGTCCAGTGGGCATGCGGAGAGCCATCAAAGAGGACAGGTGGTGTTGACGATTCGTATCGATGCTTGGTGGGCACCATAGTGAAAACGTGATTTCACGCGCAAGTCGTCGAAGATTACTGGCAGCATCAGTCCTCGAAAGTGGTATGGCTTCTTCTCGTGTTCCTTCAAGGGCTGCCCGCGCGGCAGTATCGGCATGTTCGTTCCCTATGATGCCGCAATGACTTGGCAGCCATTGAAGCGTCACATGATGCCCTTTCTCGAGTAAAGTGTGGAGAAGGCATCGAATTTCGAAAACAAGCTGTTCGTATGGGCCGCGACGCAGTGCTAAGAGCACAGATTGTAGGGCAGCCCTTGAGTCGCTGAAAATGGACCGGTGGTTCCCGATTGACCACACAAAGTGCAGCGCGCAAAGCAGCTAGTTCCGCTGCTGTAGATGCCGTGGAGTGGTCAGTCCTAAAGCTGATGGTAACACCTCTTGCTGGGATAACTACTGCCCCTGACGAACACTGGTGGTTCGTGGAACCATCGGTGTATACATGTATGCTGTCTGAATATTTCTCGTGCAAAAGAAGAAGAGACAGTTGTTTCAGCACGGGCGACGAAAACTCAGATTTCCTCCGGATCCCTGGTACACTAAGATGCACTGTGGGTCGAATAAGACACCAAGGTGGTATGGATGGTTTAGATGCATGAGTGAAGCCCGAGGGAAGTTCATCGTTGTATTTCACGATAATTTTGGCGAACGATGCTTGGCGCCTCTCTGAAGGCAACAGTGTAAGGTGATGGTCGGGGGCACGTGCGAAGTGTCGGATGTGCGTTCTCAGGACTTCTACAACAATGTGAGTTTGTATCGGATAGTCACCAGCAATTGCAATTGTTGCTTCTGTTGACGTACATCTGGGCAGACCGAGGCACACTCTCAGCGCTTAGGCTTGTACTGCCTGTAAAACACGAACATTGGTCTTGCAGGTATTGCTAAGCACGGGCAAGCTATATCTGAGGAAACCGAGAAACAGGGCCCTGTAGAGCTCCATCATTGCATCTACTGACATCCCCCACGTCTTTCCTGCCAGGAACTTGAACAGTTGAGAAATAGCGGTCAGGCGCTTCTTCATATAGGTCACATGCGGACTCCAACAGAGGTCCCTATCAATAATGATGCCCAGAAACCAATGGGTTTTGGCGTAAGAAATCGGTCGCCCGCAGATTGAGATGACATAAGGGGTCATTGCTTTGCGAGTGAAAGCCACCAGCACGCATTTTTGTTAGATGCAGAAGCTATAGCTCTACTACATTTGTTGAGGTTCAGTAAACACGGTTGTAATTGTCTCATTGCCAGCGCGCACACCAAGAAGTTAGTGTTGTGCACCTCGAGGCCACGTGTAGACACTCTTTCTAATGGCTCGATGCTCACAAATTTATGATTAATTGTTGCACCGAGGATAACAAGAGAAAGGCGGGCGGTGTGCACCACCCGTCCTTTCTCGTCATTGGCATTGCAACTAGAAGTCATGTACCACGGCCAAATAGCCCGATGCATTGCTACCTCACGAATCAGTACTGTACACATAGCGTAAGACTTGTCCAACTTCAGTGTAAGGTCTAAGAAGAGGCACTATGCGACAATCTTGAATTCTAGTCATAAAAGGCAGTGCAAAGGATAGGCGTACTGGAAACCAGTGGCGTAGCCAAAATGGGGAGTTGGAGAGGGGTTCAACCCCCCCCCCCCCACCAACTTTTGGTCCACCCCCCCCCCCCCCACCTGCCATATACCCAACTTATTTTTTTTTTCGTCGCTTCACGCTGACATGTTTTAAAAACTGAGTGCTGCTACTATCAGAATAATATTCCTGGGCGCTTTTACAATTAATTATGTCTTCATACAAAAAAAACGTGTCACGGTGTTTCTCAAGGCTTTGGCAATCCGTGGGATTTTGGGAAGGAATCTTGGCCGCGAGTGTTTTAAGTGGCTCGGTGATGGGAATAATGCTCAAGGGGTGGTCATACTTGTACCCGCCGGAACAGATCTCGCCGGAGTCGATCACTACAGTAAGTTTCAATAAGCAGAGCTTCATTTTAATGGAAAAAGCCAGACACAGTTGCAATGTCTGATAGGCCAGGTTAGAGCATATGACAGAATTCCTCTTCGTACGTGTGCTAAGATATACTCAGGCCAGAGAATAACATTTCTATTGAACCTTCGCGCGTTCTACTAACATCCAAACACACACACAGGCACACATGCGCGCGACAGAATATTTGGTTCATACACCTAACTTGGCTTGTATGTGAGTGTACATTATATTTGTACATATCTTTATTATGCCCAAACAGCTAAAGGCACGCCGAAGTGTTGTCTAGTGAAAAAAGTACAACACATACAAACGTGCAAGCCAGTCACAGCCTTAGAAAAGCCCACCAAAATACTCATCACGTAACTTAGGCTGATAAATAAAGAGATGGTGGTCATAAACCTAAAGCAGCATAATGAGAAATGCAGTGTGGGCAGCTGTAATGAGCACGAGCTTTACTGTTCAGCACTGTGGCAAACAGCGAAAAAATAAGGAACATAAAGCTGAAAAACTATACGACAAATTATATATATTGATTTGCTTCATCTGTTCGTTTCTTTACATTGCTATGGCTAAAGGGCGCACCGAACAATTTCTTCAACTAGTGACATGACGCAGGACAAGAAATGCACAGAAGAAGAAACATGAGTGGGCATGTGATCGCATAAAATTATGAGCAATATACATAGTAACCATGATATTTTACAAAAATATGAAAGAAACTCTGTGCAAGCAGTGTCTCAAGCAGCAAACAGACACATTACACAGAGGAATACTGTTGATTATCTTTTTCAATAGACACGAAGATTATCCTTCGCATTACAGGTCATATTATACGCCCCATATGTAAGCCAACATTTGTGAGAATCGCCTCATGCAACTCTGGATTGTTGCATTGCCAGTTCACACCTTTCGTATCCGCAAACCACATCTTCAAATGAAAGGTGCCACTGAAAAGCAAGGAGTAGGCAACGGGAGAGAACGGAATCACTCTGACATGCTGTCAAAGTGATTTTCAGCAATATGTCTCATACAGTTGAACTTGCTTTCTTACAGCTGGACGAAAAGCACAGCGCACACAGATTTTACCAAAGCCGTCTTTTTTTACTACCTGCCAAGGTGGTCCAGTGGTTTTGGTGCTTTATTTATGACCCACAGAAGCGGGATCGAATCCCTGTCGTATTTTCGATGTAGGCTGAAATGCTCGAGGCCCGTGCACTTTGATTTAGGTGCATGTTAAAGAACCAAAGTGGTAAAATCTCCGGAGCACCCCATCATGGGGTCTCTCGTATTCATATCGTGGTTTTGGGATGTTAACCCCATCATTTCATCATTAACATCGATGTTTTTACTGTTGTTCAAGAATCCAAGAATAACTTCAGTTAACTTTCTTCCTTGATTTTTAGCAGACGCTTATGGGTGATATACACACAAATTCTGCTAAAGCCGTCTACGTTCCCGGTAAAGAACAGAGAGAATGTCGTGTGGGCGGACTTGTATTTCCCGGTGGATATTCAGAGAGCGATGCCAAACTATCATGTGTTGTTGTAGCTCTCAGATACAACTTTAGGCGTCTCAACGATGAAAAAAAGCGTTCTGCTTCAGCTGTGCTCACCGCCAGAGTTGCCGGAATCTTTAGAAGATGGTGCACATTTGGTAACAATACCTCTGGGCAATTGGCAACTGCTTGCATCGCAGACATGCTCAGCATTTCTCTCTTTTCACACTTCCATTTGGCAGCCCATACTGCTAACTTTTCTTGCAATGCTGATGTTGAGATAATGTTCCAGTGTACACGCCAGTAAACTTCTCGGCAGTGGGAAGAGTAGCAGATTCGCAAATGTTTTGTGGCAGAAGCGAAGAAAGCATCTTCAAGGTGTGCCGATGCCTCTTAAAGCGTTTATTGAAGTGGTCTATTAAATAGTCCAGAAAAGGCCAGAAATACTAAAAGCCTAAAGCGCTCTTCAACGCTAGCCACTGGCACGTTACTTCGATGAAGCTGCCTACCTGTGACAAGTGACATCCTCATTTTCGCCATGTGGTCAAGTGTCCACTGGAAGCAGCGTCGCCTTTCAAGAAACAATCTTCAAGCATTATACCGTATGGCGTTTATTTCAAGGGGGTGACTTCGCATTGCTAGGAAGCAACCAGCTTAGCAATGTACGGGCAGTGACCCTGAATGCGAGAAACGAGAACTTTAGTGACGGTGCATGTCGGCTTGTAAAGTTCCGCCTTAAACACTAGCGCTCGTTTCTCGCCTGGCGAAAAAATTCGCGGGTATACATTTCCTCCGCTTCCCTTCTGGTGCCGGTAAGGTTGCATTCGCCCTGTATCTTACTTTGCGTGCAAGACGTCTCCGTTTGTGATTGCACCAGTATGGAAGGCTGGTAGTTTTTGTCGCGTTGTGATGAAATACCACAAACATGAATGAACGCGAAGGAGTTGATGGCAGCAATGAAATTCCAGCGACTCTCATCAGAATGCCCGAAACAGACAACGAACAGGCATGGATGGTGCACAGTAGAGCGTAAGTAAACTCGTGTTGCATGTGCTGGCAGTGCTCATCAGAGTTCACACGTTCTGATAAATGGATTATGGGGCTTTATGCTCTGAAAAACTCCGAAGTTCATTCCTTCATCACTGGAGATTTTGTGTGGTTCGAGGCTGTTCCTGTTCACGCCGGTGTAAATGCTGGAAACATGATTGCACATAAGCTGCGCTGGTGAAATATTTTGTACAGTTCTGAATCTGATGACGTAAAGGGAAATGTTGGCTGCACGCTTGCAAGCAATGGAAGACACCTTGCCGCAAGGCTATCGTTTTAGAGAGCTGAGTGATGAAAGCTACGAAAAAAAATATATGCCAAGTTTTTTGCATGTGTTTAGGTGTTTTAGCACATATACGCAGCGAACAAGATAGTTTTATGTGAGTAGGTATAGTCCGGCCGCATGTGCACCAATTGATACCAAGTGAAAATGTCTCATTAATCACCTTGTCCTCGCATATTGCACGATCAAACCTCTATGATTGGAGTACTTCATTGCTATCAAAAGTCACAGTGCAACTGAAAATCTGCCCGAAAAATGACGTGTGCAAAATCGTCTTGCCAACGTACAGCAGATCTTAAAAAAAATACTTATGGCATATCACATGCATGCTTGAATGCGCGCAGTAAATTGAAAAAAAAAAAATGTTGGCTAAAAGCTACCACTGCATCAGGACTGCTTGACATATAGAGATTAATATAAAAATAATCCCCATAGACATGCAGTCAGACATCGACAGTAAGAAGTTTGTTCAGCAGGCTAAGCAGACCAAAGTGTAATTATGAATGCACTAAAACATCCTGCGTATACCTCTTATTCCTTGCTGTAAGCTGAACATTCCTTGGCCTGTGAAACGCACTTTGCCCCGACAAGGATTATGTCATCTAACAGAGGCTAATGATGTCTTCTCCGATCGGGCTGGTCATTGCAATAATGACTTTTCGAAGACTAGTCCATTTAGTGGTGCGACGAGAGGCTGTTGCTCCAAACGATCACTGTACCTGTCGTTTACTGTATTTTACAGTACTTCTTAGAGTACGGCCTTACCGCCGTGGTCTAATAGCTAAGGTACTTGGCTGCTAACCCGCAGGTCTCAGGATAAAATCCCGGCTGCTGCGGCTCCATTTTCGATGGTGGCGAAAATGCTGTAGGCCCGTGTGCTCAGATTTGGGTGCACGTTCAAAAACCCCAGGTGGTCTAAATTTCCTGAGCTCTCCGCTATGGCGTCTCATAATCATATGGTGGTTTCGGGACGTTAAACCCCACATATCAATCAATCATTCGTACGGTACTTTTACTAACTTTTTACACAATCTTACGCATGGGGAGAGGGGGAATCTCATGACTTGGTATACATGTACATCACCTGTTTAAACTGCTACCAATAGTGACGTCACAGAGAAAAGCTGATGCCTGTGCCCCCCCCCCCCCCCCCGAAAAAATTTCTGGCTACGCCCATGCTGGAAACTCACCCTTGCCATCTTGCCATGGGATAGACGAGCGGGGGTTTCTGCCTGCAAAGCATGCCGATACTAGTATAACTGCCGACTATTAAAAGGGCATCACTAAGAAATACTAGGTACCAACCAGTAATGCCTTCAGATATTTTCAGGCGTGGGACCTATTTGTGAAAGGAGTCAGGCGAGTGTTGTAAAAAAGTGGCGTTGTCGCATGATACTGCTCTAAAGTTCAGTACAGTTAAAGGTACAGTTCACGCCTCTGATCAATAAATATTGCAATGGTGTGTGAATGATACTGCTTTTGCACACGTGTGAGTAGATGTGATTAAAAACCTGAATCCACATGATGATAGTGATGCTGCGGATGAGTAGATAGGACGATAGGTCGGCATAAAAAGTGGAACTCGCGCAGGCTCACTCAGGAACTATATTTCGCGCTTTAGACTCACTCAGACCCCCCAAAATTATCTTGAGCTGGAACCACACGGACACTCGCACGAAAATTTTCTTCAACCAGACTCACTCGGACTCAAACTCGACAAAATATTGCTCATTCCGCACTCACTCAAACTCACGACTCGATCAGTTTCTGAGCGAGTCCGAGTGTGTTGACTCATGAGGGAGTTCGCCGACCTATGTTCTTGTGTCAAAGCTTATTATTATCGATAACGGTGAAATTTGCCGCAGCGTGACACAGTTATCATGAGCCATTGCTCTACTAGTTGTTAGTGATAAAAAATGACGTTGCATTTCATGTCTTTGAAAGGCCGTCTTAGGCCTAGCATTGCATGCTGGGTGTTTTCGTTCAATTTTACTTGGAAAAGCCGTGCCCATAGTGAAGGCAACCTTGGTGTATCCTTGTACTTTTTTCTTGTCAGAGATCAGCAGAAGACGTAGAAGAAGAGCTGATCATGGGCTGCTGTGTACACATCTAGAGCCAATAAGTACTAACATCGTGGACTGTTTTGTGTTCGATTGTCGCCATTAAATGCATTTTGTTGGTTGTCTCACGACTTCGTCTTTCTGGCAGCGCTGTACCTATTGAAGGCCGGCGTTCGGTGACACTCTTGGGCCCATGTTTAAATGCCTTGCCTTCTTTTGCAACAAGGTGACATTTTGTGTCTCATTTTCCGCGCAGGTATCTGCGTGCGTGCCAATCCTCCGTATGTGCCGTGACGCCCGCATCGTATTCTACTGCCACTTCCCCGACCTGATGCTCTCAAAGCCAGGTGGCCTGCTGAAGCGCGTCTACCGTTGGCCGATCGACGCACTCGAGCAGTGGAGCATGAAGTTTGCAGACGCTGTGCTTGTCAACAGCCACTTCACTGGTTAGTGTTGGAACTGTGATGAGGCGGCTAACTTCAGGCAGTTTGGCCACACAGTGATCGATGCGAATAGAACTGCCTCTCTCTCTCTAGTTTTACAGTAACAGAAGTTGTGTCCGACAAGTAGCCAAGAACTGAAACATAACGGAAGAGCTTTACAAAAACGGTGATCACTGTACATTAGCATGCACTATTATAGTTGCACTTAAAACCCGCGTAGATTTTGTGTGGTCCTATTATTTTGAGAAAAAAATATCTGCAAAAGTTTAGATGTGTACCTCATGACGACACACTTTTCGAGCACAGTTGTGAGACAAGTGTGTAATGATATCAATAAAACACAAGGCACATTCCATTTCCCATGCTTAAGTATGCCAAATAAAGAGTTAGACTCACACCTCGATATAGATAAACCGGATATAGCGAAACCGGATAACAAAATATTGGTTATAACAAAGTAAATGAAAAAGAGTATTGGAATAGATATAGTGTTAGGGGAGTATACCTCTATAACAAATTTTTGGATACTCCGAACTGGTGGGGTGGTGCACACACACAAGAATGTGTGGATGAACAGTGACTTGTTTGTGGACTAGCTGGGTCAAGACGGTATGGGAAAAGAGGCCCAGTGTGATGCTCGCAAAGAGGTTCATGGTCGCTCTTGACTCGTTTGGTGGCCTCACTACTGAGGAAGTGAAGGACCGCCTTTCATGCAATTAACGACGCTGACTGACTGAGTTATTATACCCGGTGGAATGACATCAATGTTGCAGCCTCTAGATGTGTCCCTTAACAAGCCCTTCAGAGCGCATGTCAAGCGCAATTACGCAGATTCAATGGCCAAAGGCCTCTACGACTTGACACCGCCAGGTAACGTCAGAAGGCCTGATATTGCCCTATTCTGCAAGTGGGTTGTTGAGGCATGAAAGACCATTCCATACATACCAGTGAGGATTGCGGCTCAAGTGATAGCTCTAGCGAAAGCAGTGACAATGAGTGAATTGTGACTGGCCTTGCAGACAGCGTATTCGGCTTGCAAATAAAGCTTTTTCTGTCTACATATGTGGTATGCTGCTTGAGCAGTAGCTTTTGTACAGCTTTTTTTTATTATATATCAAATGTGCAACCACCATGCAAGGATTTTTTATTTTTTTTTGCTTTCTTGGCGAGTTGAAAAGGGGGGTGCAGATTATATGCAGGGGGGAGTTATGCATGCAAAAATACGATATTTTTTTATGACTAAATGGTGTTCCCATTCTGTTGCCGTGAACTTTACATGCCACAGTGGCTTAGTTAAAGGGCCCCTGCAACATTTTTCGTCTCCAATCCACAAGGCTGGAAAGTGTGTTGTGTTAAATACTGAGGTGAACACAAAAATAAGGATGAAAATTGTTGCACAATAACCGAAGTTATCAGTTTGTAAACTCTAAAATCTCAGCAGGCAATCATAAAGTGTTCCCTTTCGCCTTTCACTAAGCCGCTGGCATTATTGACAGGTTCGAATCACTGTGAGCCTCTTAGGGGGACATGCAGTAAAAGCTTGTTTACTCGACGACCCGCATTAATTTGGCAAGTTGAATAATTTCAACATGTCCTCTGGTGCCAGTAAGCATGTTTCATTTAATAGCACTAAGCTCCCATTAAATTAGTCCTCTGACCACCATTTGGTTAATTAGAACAATCCTTTGAGTGCACCATGCAAAACTTGCAGCTAATCTGCGATACAAAGGAGCAAAGACAGCGTTTGCAAACGAATAAAATCACCGTGGGCCTTCAGAAAGGTGTGGTCACCATTCACAAGCTTACTGCAACCTGCTTAATTTGTGTTGCAAGGCCCCTTTAATGGTTATGGCAAAGTGCTGCTGAGCTGGAGGTGTTGGGTTCGATTCCATGCACAGCAGCTGCATTTAACACAGGTTCCAAAATGCAAATGCACGTGTTGATTAGGTTCAGGTGCATGCGGAGAAACCGTTGGTGCCCAACCAACATTAATCTCAAATAGAGAGTTCCTCGTTGGTGTTTTTCTATATTTTTTTTTGCCAGAAGTGGTGCCTGCTTACACTCGCAATCCACAAACACACTGCATATTGTACTTACAGATGCACAGAAACTTACAGATACTACTTACAAAAACTTAGACATACGCAAATATGCAAACACATTAGTAAGCTGATGGGAGAATAGCTGCCGGTGCGAAAAGTGTGGGTTCAACTCCCGACTGCGTGCATGACACAGCTTCATCTACTTTGTTACCTTTTTGTATTTGCTAGTTTTCGTTAAATGTGAGAATTGAATTATGTTCAGTGTGGGTGACTGCTTGAGGCCTAGGTCACCCAGCGAAGGAACCGCTGAAGACGAGTGCAGTGACCAAGGAAGTGGGTGCATCTTCGTAGTACTCGCGCATGTTCGTAGGCATTCTTCATGTCAATTACTATATGAGAGAAGGTGGCACATATACGACACAGTCATGGCAACATCAACAGGCAGGAGTGAATCGTAAGCTGTACGCAACGGATGTGATAACACGCTAGAACTCTCTTCCTCGTGAATCGCAGGAACGGTGTTCCGAGAGGTGTTCCCCCGGCTGTCCCACGTGCAGCTGCGTGTCCTCTACCCAGCTGCAAGCCTGTCGGCGATCGAGCGTCCCCTGGAAGGAACCCTCGAGGAACTTGGCATCGACAAGCCCCAGGGCGCGCTGTTCCTCTCACTGAATCGCTTTGAGCGAAAGAAGAACCTTGCGTTGGCACTGCACGCCGTGGGTGAGTGGAGATGTTTCAAAAGTCTGTGTACTTTTTTAAAATGTACAATATGTATTCTGCGTCAAGTGACTGACTTCAGAGTGAGTTTCAATGCGCCAGTGCCGTCGCAAAGCCTGCCAGTGGTTGTGCAGTGAGAGCTAGACCTTACCAGTTGGTCAGCAACTGATGCTAGTTTAAAAACACCTGGCGCTGTTTGATTTTAAACTGACACTGGTTGATCCCATACCAGTTGGAATTAACAGTGACCAGTTGAATGCCCAGATGCACATTTTCACCTGGATATAAACTATGAAGGAGATTGCGAAATGCCGTAAGATATCGCAGGGTCCCCGAAATCACAGGTCCCTTGTGCACTTGCTGCCTAAGGCAAGTGAAAGGCAAGAACCATCCTCAGTTTTTTCACACTCAATGTGTTGATGCTGCCCTGCCTTGCTCCAAAAGCTTTCTGCACCTAATGTGGTTGTGTATTGCCTCCGTGTTTGGCCCATCCTTGGATCTAGCAATGGTGTCATGTGAAGATACTGACGTCATAAATATTGGTGATATACGATGGCATAGGGTGACATCATCACATGATTTTAGAGGCGAAGCTCCTTAGGGCGTGGGCTGTGCGTCCCCTGTAGCCTGTATGTAGCCATCTTTAGTTTAGTTCTTGTAGTGTTCACTAGATGGCGGTACCGTCCCCTGTATGTAGCCACCTCTAGTTTAGTTCTTGCAGTGTTCACTAGATGGCGGTACCGTCTCCTGTATGTAGCCACCTCTCGTTTAGTTCTTGTAGTGTTTACTAGATGGTGGTACTTGTAGCTGATGATGAAAAGATGCAAGATGTTATAAACTAGAAAGCGGTACTTGTAGTTGATGAAAGACGCGAGATCTTATAAAATAGGAATGATGTCACATATGGCGCGTGTCATTGGTTGAAGGCAATCATTCGATTTAGTGCGGCGACGTACGCTAGGGGGAGCGATGTAATAAAATCGAGTGGGCAAAATGTACAGAGGTTTCATGGTTTACCAGGTTTACCTCCGGAGCTTCGCCCACTCATCATCATTCACTTCGTGGATATGGCGGAATTTTTTTTCAATCACTCGTGTTCATGCGAATACTGATGGCCAATTTTTGAGATTGTTGAGGCATTCAAGGCTTTCGCCTCAGTGGTTCGATATTGTAGATATAAGCCCCTACTGCATGACAATCAGTTCTCTTTGGCGTTAAGTGTGTTGTTGGGTATTTGATATGAACTTACGTAGAATTTTGACTGTAACTATACTCTGTGACTTTAATACAGTAATTTTATTAAAATTTAGATCTCTATTACATCCAAGGCTCAATCACATGCTCCACTTTCTTGCAGAGCTTGCATGCCGCGAGACACCAGTACACCTGATCATGGCCGGCGGCTACGACCCCGAATGCCGCGAGAATGTCGAGCACTGGGACGAGCTTGTGTCTCTCGCCGAGCACCTGGGCGTGCTGCAGCGGGTCAGTTTTGTGCGGTCGCCCAGCGAGGCAGCCAAGCTGCTACTGTTGCACGCGTGCCGCGCCGTGGTCTACACACCGGCCAACGAGCACTTCGGCATCGTGCCCGTCGAGGCGATGTGCATGCGGCGGGCCGTGGTGGCATGCAACAGCGGAGGGCCCACCGAGACCGTGTTGCACGGCGAGACGGGACTGCTGTGTGACCCAACGCCCGAGGCGTTTGCCGCGAGCCTCGTACGCCTGGCGAAAGACCGCAGCCTAACGCAGGAAATGGGCGAGCGTGGACGTCAGCGTGCAGTGGAACTTTTCTCTTGGCAACGCTTCGTGCGCGAGGTGCAGGAAGTCGCCTTTGGAGACGAGGAACACAAGGATCGGTAACGGCCAACCCACCACACTGTGAACTTCGTACATCGTTGTTCATATCCTGGTGTTTTGGGTGTTCTTTGGTGCTTATGATCAGTGGCTCTGATGCAGCAGATAAAACAGCATCGGAAGACAGCTTAATGAAGCTGGCAAGATACGACCGCTTTATGGAAGTTGACACCACTTTTGACAAATCGTGTTTCCTTTCATGCACCATTTTAAAGCCCCCTTCGGCATTCTATTGACAAACTTAACTCTGACTGTAAACTACGAATAGCTTAATAAAAGAAGTGATGTACAATGCAGCCGAGGAAGGTATATGAGAAATTACTTGTAGCCTTCTAAATTTATTATTGCAGTGATTATACTCTAAATGTAAAGAAATTAAAGTGGATGAAAAAAGAACTTGCTGCTGGTAAGGACCTAATCTGCAACCTCCGGATAATGTGCCCAGTCAATTCACAGCAAGTCATCCTCATCTACACCTCCCTTGACTTCATTGTCTGCTGTATTTCACTAAAGTAGTGCATAACAAGAAAATGAGCCTTTGATAAGTTACTCTTTCGAACTATAGGAGGGAGGCTTATTGAGATCAGACCACAGTTGCACCACAGCATAGCCTATCCATCACCTGATGGTAATGCACTGTTATATCAGCACAGAAAATCGATTAGGTGATCCTGCTAAATCTGCTTTTCTACCCATAAAATGTTTCTTCACTTTCAGGCCCTTTATGAAGCCTGTGGATGCAATTACACTCAAACCTCATAATGAAGTTACATCTTAATTAAAATAAGTTCATTACATCTGAAGGTTCATTGTATAAGTATATTCCCAACACTGTCTCTACAGCAAGAGTATTTCTTAACTTGCTTTTTTATGACCTGTATTTCGTTATAATTGGGTTCAATATATCGAGGTATGAGTGTACCAGTTTGGTACAGCAGCACTCTGTGAACTGTCAACAAAAGCGAACTTGTCGAAGTGTACATTGCTTCCTAGTCAGCATTATTGTATACATTAGGAACATAAAGCTGAAAAACTATACGACAAATTATATATGTTGATTTGCTTCATCTGTTTGTTTCTTTACATTAACATAGCTAAAGGGCACACCGTGCCCTTTAACCATGTCAATGTGCCTTTTAGCGTATAATCCTCACAATCTTCCTGTCCTTTGGCGCTGTATTGCCAGCCACCATATGGTCTTACATGCAACACCTAGCCCACACTGTAATATTCTCACACCTGTGACGAACGCCTGTCACAGTCACGACTTGCGTGTTCACTGGTTTGTTGAGGAACGTATACTAGACTGACAACTCTACATATACCATTACAGAGCATCTATATTACAATGGCACAAACTTTACAGTGAGCGTAGCCGCTTCCATCCAACAAAAAGTGTCAAAACGCACCACGGCAGGAAAAGTTGTCCTGGCTGGAAAAAAAGAATACTGTGGTTTTGTTGTGCGCTTGTATTTTTTGTGTGTGTGTTGTAAAAGTGTTGAGGAAACGTGTGTTAGCTGGTCACCAACACATCTTAGGAAATACTTGTACAGTTGAACCCCTTTACGAAAGGCATGCTACGGGCGGCAGTTTTTGTCTATTGTTGAGACGTTTCTTATAAGCAGGGTACCACGTATGAATTCCCTCATCAACCTATATTTTACTCTAGGCGCACTGGTTTCTTTTATATCCATTAGTCTCTTATGTCGGTGTCCTTTACAAAGGGGTTCAACTGTACTACCTGCCAAGATCTGTCGCACTGTGACATCTATCAGCTTAAATTGGCACATCATCAAAACAATCATATGTAGTACTTTTGTTCTTGTTTATTAAACGTTATGAAAAGTTTTTTCTAAACATTCCCTGTTAAATGACGCTTGGTGCTTGCTTTTGAACTACTTTTGTGATTTATATCTGTTGTTACGAAAGAGTTTCCAGAAGTTGTGCTACGTATCACTTGATAAATTAGTGGTAATACTTTTTAAACTAGGCTTGTGCAAATAGTGAAATTTAGGTTCGAACTGAACCTAAATTCGAAGTTAATAGCAATTTTGGTGGAATAATTTAGAATTGAATACGTAGTATATATCACATATAAAGGAAAATGGGCATATCTGTCATGACCAAACTAACCTGCACAATATATTTCAAATATTGAAACAAGGCCTGTGCAAATGCCATTTTTTTTATTCAAAGGAACAGGAAACAATTTTGGATAGTAGCAGGATTTGCCTTCGAGTAGAATGCATGTGATAACTTATAAGATATCTTACATTTTAAAATTTTCTGTACTTGAAGTATATAAGCCAGTAAAGCAAGTTTGTTCTTTTTTACGTAAATTATAAATCAATGTGAGAATAACATATTCATTTAACCTTGATTGATTGATTGATATGTGGGGTTTAACGTCCCAAAACCACTATATGATTATGAGAGACGCCGTAGTGGAGGGCTCCAGAAATTTAGACCACCTGGGGTTCTTTAACGTGCACCCAAATCTGAGCACACGGGCCTACAACATTTTATTCATTTAACCTTGAAGCAAGGCTTTGCGGCAGTGCAAATTTTCCCTGGATGTGTTATGCGGACTAATTTACACTTGCATAGTTGCTTTCGCGATTTAGCACCCCTTCACTGCAGTGAACCCACCTTTACAGGGAGTTACATGCGGCTTGGTATACATTTTCTCGTTTATTGCAAATACTTTGAAATTTTCAACGATTTAAATTTGAATCAAAGCAAATTCAAGTACAGTAATATTCGTTCAAATATTTGAAGCGTTCGAGTATTAACACGAGTGCACAATAAACAGTTCACTGCATGTTTTACCATGCTGGTTCAGCTTTTCAAAGTGGACTGTTTCAATAGCAATCACAGCTGTGCTGGCAACCAACAATATGTCGAATTTTACAGGACGTTTTGGAAAATTCCAATGGCCTCAAAGTGGGTGAAAGAATGCCGCAGGCGGCTAGCATTGAACAACCAAAAGAGAATGACGAGTAACTCACTCGGTAATCCTGGCTCAATATTTCACTTAGTTACAGCTGTGCTTGTGTGAGCGTGTGCTATTTAAAGTGAGAATTGAATAGTGTTGCATGTCAGCAAGATTTGAAGTAAAGAATACTTGTGACAAGCTTCTGTCACGAGTTTTGTACTAACAAGCGTGTTTTCGTCACGTTTGCTCGCACATGCCTTGTGCGCAGTGCGTAAGAAGCCTTGTATGCATGAGCGGGTGATTTAATTGTACAGATTGAAAGTGCTCATTGCGAGAGCCAGTGAAGGCTTAATAAAATGTACTTCCACATGCTTGTTTTATTTTCAGTACGTGCGTTGTCACAATCTGTGCGATTTGCGAGCGCTGCATTGTCATGACTTGGGTTTAATGCGCAAGTTTTCAGTCCGAGTCTTGTGCGCGCAACTGCTTTAACTGTGCTTACGCTTCCATGAAATGGATATCATGTTCGCCTTTTCTGCTGTTGTTACGACTGCCGTTTTTAACTTCATTATCAATCGGAAGAGCGGTGAACGCTGCAGCACGCAATGCAAAATGCCTTTTTTTTGCATTTTGTTGAATGCAAAAAGAAAAAAGAAGTCGTTTATGAGGTTCTTTCTCTACCGATAGAAGTGTCACTGGTCTGCAAACATCCATGACGTTGACTAATGTTCGTGTTCTTGTTCCAATTCATGGAGCCTGTGAGGAGTTTGGGAGCTTTCACAATGAAAGAGGCTCTGGTAGACACTAGCTCCGAAGCTGCATCTAGTAAAAGTTTGCTTGAGGCTTCCATGGTGCACGAGCCTCCAACGAAGTGAGCACGAGGTGCACAGTTGTTGCACACAGTTCATTAATTGGTAAGAACGAAAGAAGGGGAATATCAAGGGTTTGTTTTCTTTCCTAGATATGTTACTGAGAAATAACCGACATTAATGCCAAGAGAAGTATAGGGAATGTTATTAAAGTACAGTAAAACCTCAGTAATTCAAACTCGGTTATTTTGAAATCCCGCTTAATTCAAAGGACTTCTGAAGTCCCGTATTTGGCAAGCAAGTTAGAATAGATAATTTGGAGCAGCAATTAGTGCCAACCTGGTTAATGTCACAAATAGTACGCTGGTGAGGTGTTCACCAAGTTGGCAACCTTAGCCACCACAAACATCAGGCACACGAGTTTACACCAAAGGTTCTTTATTTGCAGACCAGACATCTGAACATGACTATATGATAAGTGACTAAACTGTGGCGAAAGTTAGCACCACAGACAGTGATGACACATTGCCTTCAAGCACGTTCTTTTTTTTTTTTACACTGCACGCAAGTTTGACGCACACTTCACAAGCCACGGGAGGGGACGTGTTTAATCGAGATCCTTCTAACACTAGATCACTGTGATTACAACTCAAAATCGCAAAACTTTTTTTTTGTCCCCGTTTTGCTGGCCAGCACTCAGCGCTCATTTCAGACACGACTGTCTTGCACTTATAAACAAGAGTTACTAAAGCTTAAAGCTGCCACATAGGCATGTAGATATAATGACAGTAAAGACAAAAATGCTGGTCCCAAAATGGGTCTACTGGATGGCAGAATGTTTGACGCACTTGCGTAGCAAGTCAGCATGCAATTAAGGCATGGCGATACAAGAGGGCAACAATTGCTGGCACGATTTCCGCAATGGCACAGTCTGCCAAAAGTTTAAGTACCACTAAGTACAAGAAAAAAGAATATTCCCATGCTTCAGCTGGCAGCCTTGAATAAATAATATAGATGGAAGCTCCAACAACATGTACTGTGCAGTTCACCAGAGTACAGTCTCAAATTGCTGGGAAATAGAAAGCTATCTCGGACCTACTGGTCTCTTAAACTTCTGAAGCCTCCTGTACATTCGAGCAAGCTGCCTTTATTGTACACAAAAAAAAATCACTCATGCACAATGCTCAGTGTTATGCTAGACGAGTGCCTACTTGTTTATACTATGTGTCAGCAGTTGCTTACTGATCGTATCAGGTTTTTAGAGGGCGACATTTGAAGCATTGCTTATATTCAGCCATGTTTTGCAGTTTCATCGACTTTGATTGGCTGCCAGTCATGCTGGCATTATTGGTGGTGCTGACATAAGGGCAAGGAGGTACACCGCGATTGTCTTACCAATCGGCTCAAGATGACGCGACACAATTCGATAGTGTCCTATAACTCGACACATAGTGCCCTGATAGTAAGGCTAGCTACTTGAGCAACAAAATGTACTGTGTGTTTCAGAAGGACCAGAGAGACCGCATAACCGATACGTCTTCGGTTTATTGTTGACAGAACAAAAAAAAAATGTGCAGAGCGTGACCCTGGCTGCTTCTTCTTCCTCGCCTCCGAGCTCCATCTTCAAATCTGTTTTCTACACTGTGGATTGGCATTTGAGCAGCCTAAGCTTGGCGAGAAACATGCAGTGTGTTATTCGATAAGCCAGAATTTCAGCAGCCAGTTGGAGAGTGTGCCTTCCTCCTCCGTGGCGGAGAATCTCTTTATTTAATGGGCAGTCTAAGAGCGCAGCTGCATTTCTGAGTGCTATTTGCAGATCACACCACTCCTCAGTGAACTGCGGTATCCTTGCTTGTCCCATGTCTGAACTGCTGCCCAATGTTTACCAGAGAAACCTATCATCCCGTCCAATCTGCTAAGTCTTCTTCTGCGGTCTCACTTTATTATCAATCCATGAAACTGACCAGAAGGTCGCACGACTGGTGTAAGCACTACGCGACAGCTTCTACAGCGAATCAACCCATAACATCCGTTTCTCGTGCAGAAAATTTGAATTTACAAGATACGTGGGCAACACCAGTGTTTCCCAGAAACTCAAATAATGAAAAGCCCACTCGCAGCTTTCAGACAGAGCGACAGTGGCATCAGGTGCAAGGATGTTGAACGCACTGTAAAAGGAACAGCGCTTGAAAGATTTCTTTCGGCAGCAGTGTTAGGAAAGAGCATAGTTTGCTGTACTGCAGAGTACGCAAGCTACTTCAGTTAAAAAAGTTAACTTTGCACACATTAGCATTACGGTTGAAGTTATTATAACAAGTGCTTTTCTCTATATTCTTTAGCTAATCAATTTCAAAATCTAACCCCTTTACCTGATCCTTTCCTGACCTTGGTATGCCTCCCTTCTGCTCCGTATAAAACCAAAAGGCAGCTTTTAGTCTTTCGTGCACCAAGTTCTGTTGAACTCGCAAAAATGGCATGAAAAAAATCTTTAGATGACCGTAATGTTCAATTCAACTATCTTCAATAGTGCCTGCTCATAACTTGTGGTCAACTCTTGGTTCCCTTGGGCAGATGTCGTAGCAAAGAGACCCTGTTGAAAGAGACCCTGTTGACACATACAACAGACCAGTCATATTGATGGCACATACCTACTACAAGGACATTCTGCTCTTTCAATTAACTCGTTCAATTTATTTAGGTGTGCTGCCTAAGCGGATAGCGAATGCCATTTACAAAAGAAAAAAAAAAAATCGTGGTTTAGATCTGCTTCGTCAAGTGCCACAATGATCCCAACTGTTTGCATGAAAAGTCTGGTCTCCCATTGAACTCAACCAATTAGTTTTAATTAATTATTTCAAGAGATAATTTATCCTCAACTAAACTTATCCTTCGATATCATGCGTGTACCCTACAACTTCTAACTTGAGCCATAACTTTTTTTTTTTTTAACAAGCTGGGGGTTTCGTAACATTTGGGCCACCACTCTACTTTCAGTTGACTGGTGGGGAATTATAGTGTGCTCCTTGAATGAGCACAATGCCACTAGGTGCTGGTGTAATTATAAAAAAAAAATAAAGGTTAGGCTACTCCACAATTCCCTTCTTTTCAGCACAAAAATGAGTCACATTAGCTCAGAAGTGGCAGATATAAAGCTCAACAGAATTGGTACGGGCATGACGACCGTACTTTTGGTCATTTTAGCGAGAGCAGCGAGCACTGTGGAATTGGACATAAGGCATCATAGTTAAAGCCACTAACTGAAAACGAGAATGTCTTTAAGATATTCATTGTTGAATGGGCCAAGCCAACTGAAGCCCCCCAAATCACGAAAAGCTGCACGTGCTGTCAAGAGCTAAACAAGGGACAGGCTCGCAAACCATTTTGCAAGATGTGTCCTGTTATCCCGTTGAGCCTTGCTGTGCTACACATTGGTGAAAGAATCTCCAAAAGTGGCCACTCGAGATTGTGTGGAGTCTCTGAACCTTGCCAAGCGAAGCAGACTGCGCGAGTCCAACTCATCCCTCTGATGACTGACCAATTTTCAGCCATGCACTGTATGTTGCGTGTGAAGCTGACAACGGGAAGCTATAATGCAAATATTCAAGTAAAATCAATTCGTCTTGTGAAGCATAAAAGTAAGGCTAATGAGACTAAAAAAAAGTAGGTTTACTCAAATTTGTATAATGTTTCAGAGTCTTTTCGACTTGTCCATGTGGACTCACTCGTGGAAGTAGCAGCAGACTTTACCGATTCACCTTATAGTCCATTGGTTAAGTATAATTTATTAGTTATAGTACTTCCTTGATTAAGCCTATATATTACCAAAGTTAAAGCTACTTGACTGACATCTGTTCAAACAATTTAATAGGTGCCCTGAACATGGCTGCAATGTGTTTTCCAGCTCTTGCAGTCGCATCCGACCCTTTCCATGCAAAAAGACCTCATCTGAGATAGGTTAACTTTACACTGAGAGAGCCGCTGCTAAAGCTAGCAATGCAGACATGATCCATTTCATAGCACAAAGCGGCTCCCTGTATTCAAGAGGCTGAAGCACGTCCATTTGCTCACGTTCCAGCCAGTTGGTCGATCTCATGTGCTTGGTCTACCATTGGTCGTTCACATGACACAAAATGAGGGCAGTTCTCGTGTGGATGTCTCAATATATGGGTGCAAGCAGAAGCGATCAAAATGGCACAGTGTTCCATACTGTTGGTATGCCTCCCTTCTGCTCCTTGTAAAATCAAAAGGTAGCCTTCAGTCTGTTTTAAGCACCAAGTTCTGTTAAATTATGTGACTAAGACCACAGCAAAAAGAGAATAGCCTTTCACACTTCTGCACACTTGGCTTTTGTAAATGACTCAATAAACCAGTGTTCAGTGATAATAAATTGCAAACAACATGGCCAAGTCAAGAACACGGAACTCTCTAACTATATTTTATACTTCCACAAGCAGCGCATTTGCTTTTCAGAGACTGGAATAGTAAACTTACAAATAAACGGAAATTTGCAACAAAAACAGCACGTCAAAAAATATCACCAGCCTCTTCAATGATGATAAAACATCAGATCTACACAAGTAGTTTGCCAATAGCCTATTGTATGTTGTCTACATGCACTCAGAAGACGGCAATGATGTACATAAAGTCACCGGGCCTGTGTGTGACTCCACACGTAGCAGACCAGTTTTCACTGCTGCAGCATTTTCTTGCATTGAGCTTGATGCCTCTAGTCTCCATTTCATTTTTGTTCCTAGTATTGGAGATTCACAAATACGGGCTCTCTTTGTCCGAGAACTTGAAAAGCCATCGCACAGCATGATGCAAAAATTAATCATTCGGCTCCAACAAGTAATGCGCCACGTTACTCTAGTGGAACAAACAAGCCAGCACTTTCGATGCAGCCTACTTCAATATTAGCAGCATGCACATATGCTTTCACCTGTGCAAGTACTCTTAGTTGTCAGTCAAAAGTCAGTGACCCCATGCACAAGCTTGTTAGTTGGAATGCTGTTGCGTTAGCGCAGCCCCTAAAGAAATGTTCACTTTGACCCCACGACCAATGGGCACTTAGTTAATCAACCAATCAATCAATCAAGCAAGCATGATGAGCAAAGGTGTACAGCTGCTTACTCAACAAGACAGTTTGTGCACCACATGACAAGAGCGCCGTCTCCAAAGCCAGCTGCGAAACCTGCATTACAGTATTGAACAAAGAAACAGCCTGTTTTCACCAAGAGATTTAAGAAATGAATCAAATATCCTCTCCATCCCCACTTCCTTTTTACTTACCTGTTACTGATGTCGTAATTTCTAGTATTAATGGAAGCAATCTAGGATGGCGCCGTTGGGCATGTGCTATTTGGCTTTTTTTTTTATCGATGTTGGGAAACAGCATTGCTCATTCGTTTGCTATAGCACCATGATTAGTGATGTGGTGCCGACCACTTAAAAAACACGTAAGTGTGATGAGTTGGGTGGGGTAAAATAAGCGCCGGATTTGGGCTTCCAGAGCATGGCAACATCAACGCTGGATCTACGCAGCGTAACCTGCGCTTTTGTGCATCTCAATACTGAACGGGGATTTGGCTGTTCAAGCCCATTTAGCAGACAATAACAAGTACAGAGTGTGTCAATAAGCTGTCCCTTTGCAATAGCACGATGTGTTTGGGGCCAGCTCTTGGGCAATCATCGGATGTCCGTGGGACTGAAATCGTGAAACATTCACGGCTTCAATACTGTTGACAAGCAAGAAACAAAATGTCATGGACGCCTTGCACAAAACAAGGACCTGCTGCGTTACATTTTGGGCATTGCTAAGGGTGATTAGCCGTAGGGCCGTCTTCCGGCACTAAAAAAAAAAGAGGATGCAAATGACACACGAACCGGACAAACAAGTTACAAAAACAAGCATGGGAGATAAGGGTGAGGCGGCTTTGTCATTTTCAAATGCGAATGGCACGTAATATCATAACACACAGGTATGAGAGTTCGTGTGTGTGTGTGTTTGTGTGTGGAATGCCACACTCACAGAGATCAAAAGGAACTCCCTGGCTACAAGCTTCGTCACAGGCGTGCCCCTCTGAGACGAGAGGCCAGATCAGTAACTGACTGAGATAGTTGGTCATTCATACTGAAGATAAACAGCACAAAAAAACATGGCCACGAAAAGCTTATGCACTGGACAAGAGATAACTTCCAACTGAATTTTTTTTCCACGAACGCATCATAAATATCTGTGGGAACAGTTACATCAAAGAAGGATAACAGGAAAAATGCTTTTGCACAAAATCAGCAAAAACCATACTAAAAATCACAGTGGCCTATTGCAAACCCCTGCATGTGACAGGAAAATTTGTTTCTTGAAATGCTGGGGTCTGCACAGCAAACCACCGCAGCTGTTCCAGCTGCTTTCGTGTTCGGCACACTCATTTGTGTCTACAAAATTCAGCTGGAAGTTGGCACTTGTCCAGTAAGTACGTTTCTCACGGTCGTGTTTTTTCGCGCTCTTTATTTTCAGTTAGATCAGACGGCCACAGGCCCGCGCTTCGCAGTCGTACTCAGTCTATGTACCACTGCTGGTTGAGATAGACAAAGCGCAGCAGCAGCCTGTAGAGGGTACTGCGGGCGGTGACCTCCACGTACATGGCCACAAAGAAGGCCAAGAAGAAGAGCACTCCGCAAACGAGTGTCACCATTTCCGAGTGGGTCAGGTCGCTTCGGCGGCCCGTTGTCATCGTTGAAGAGGAGGACGACGACGGAGGGTCCTGGCGGAAGCAGACAATGGTGACGGTGGCACAGGCCACCATAACGACCACTGACAGCAGGAAGATGCAGTGGAGGACCTTGTCACGTGGTGAGCAAGGCGGGAGGCGCCAGGAACCGCCTGCGCGGAACTTCTTGTGCCACTGGTACTGGTACTGGCAGAGCTCGCAACTTGGCGGTTTGCGGGACTTCTTGCTCAGTATCTCCAGCCAGCGCTGCACGCAACAAACAACGAGCGTCTGACGATAAGGTTGCATGCGTTGCTATGTTAACCAGCCTCACTCGTATCAATCTATTGAATCCTCAACTTCAGGTCGGCAAAATTTGATGACTATCATTTAAGAGTCACAGGACCCCATCGGAGCCTGCACATTGCAATTTTTTGTTTTCCTGGCAGTAGACTTAAGATCTGGATTAGTTGATACATATTATTCAATATCTGAACCAGTCAAAAGCCGAGCCATTGACGAGTAATGTCGCAAAAAAAAAAAAAATGCTTCTAATACATCCGAGTGATACCGACGCCGCACGAGAGGGGGCGCCACCACCTCGGCAAGCGCGTGATTGCCACGATGTCGGGTGGCAAATGCGATGCATTTCTTCAGGTTTCACAGCTGTGGAGCTGCACTAAGCGCGAGATTCACAACTGCATAAAAACCTACACAAGAACATACGCGCAGGAATAAACGCTGAATTTTTTTTTTCCTCGTGCAAAACATGCTAGCAGTGACCGCGATTGCCTCTCTCCGTGCTTTCGGGGGTCGGTTTCATCTACGCAGCGCGTACGCGCGAAAGCACTCATGCAAGGCAGGCAATTCAAATTCATTCGCGTATCTCTCTGCCCGTTGGGTTCGTACCGCGCTAAATTCCGCACATCCGGACCGGATTCGAGGGTGCGGAATAGACACCATTCGGGGGTGACGAAGAGTCGCTAGGCAGCGCGGGAGCAATAACCTCCCTCGGCACCAACGCCCGAACGGGACGTACGGCGGCGCGTCATTTTATTTCGTTCACGCTTATCACAGGGCCACACTAATTAAAGACACCAACGAATCGCACAAACGGCACCGGTTAACGCAGTAATTCCGAAGCCGGAGGGTCACGAGAGAATGAACCCGCACTCTGCTTTTAAAACGTGCACACATTGCGAATTCAGCTGCTGCGTTTAGAACAAAAGGAAAGAACACTCTGCATATCGCTGGCTTCGCTCGCGGTACACATAAACGCGGAACTGCTAATTTTCTAAGAAGCCGTCCTTTAATATTGCTCTTTCCGCAGAACGTCGCGATGTGTGCATACGTGCTACATGAAATGTAAACGGCATATGCGGCACCGCGATCGCTTTTTCGAGGCGACCACATAAACGTTTTTAAAGCACTCTGCAGCAAGCATTAGGTATTGCGGGGGAGGAGTGCGAAATACGGTGGAGGAGACCGATAGGCGTGTATAACCCTCATTCTGGTAAGCGCAATGTTTGACGCGCGCACACGCAAACCAAGGCCCGCGCGCGGTCAGCTGGCGATCAGCTGTGGGCTCCGCTCACCGTGAGGCAGCCGCAGTGGATGTATTGCACGGTGCCGGAACACCGGCAGGGCGATATGAGCGGGTCATCGTCTCGAGCCGGCATGTGACAGATCTTGCAGAAGGGCCCGCAATCCTCGACAGGCAAGAGAACCTCGTCGACTGCAGCGGAGGATTCGACGAGCTGCTGCTCGCACGATGCGTCCGCGGTCACCGCCTTCGCCCAGACGTGGTGCACCTCGGGCTCGCCCGCTTGGTCCATGGCCCGCGGGGCAAACCATAGCGAGTCGCGGCGTCCTCCTCGCGTTCGTCGGGAGCCACGGAACTGCCCCCAACTCGGTAACGCAGCCGAGCAGTACGCGCGCGCCCAGGGGAAAACGCCGTCTGATCGGTCCCTTTGTTTACCTCGACCGCTCGTACTGCACCGCCACGCGACGGCGGCACAGAACACGGGCACATATGATGCGGTGGTGGTGGTAGTGGTTACAATGAAGAGGAAAAAGGCACCTAATTTCTGTCTGCCTTCAGGCGACACGGCGCAGTGCCTTATAGGGGTGGGGTGAAGGAGGGATAAAAAGGATAGAAGGAAAGTAGAAGCAGAAGAAGACAGCCAACGAGAGGAAAAAGAAGGAGATAGGAAAGTGGGGATCCGGTCGAAGCAGTCCAAGGGCGGGGTGCCACAATGCGAGAGCTACACGGCGTCAGGAGACCGCGGAGGGCGAACCAGTCGGCGGGAGCTACGCTGAAGTCGGAGATCGCGAGGGCACAACCGTCCAGCTTGAAATCCTGCGAGCGAATCCTCACATATGATGCGACGGCGCGCTAGACAACAATCCGCGCTCACACCGCACGGCGAGCCAGCCAATGGGAGGCGGGAGCGCATGCGGCCGCAAGGGGATCGAGCGAATGGAAGAGCGAAGTCAGGAAGGCTGCTAGCCACGGACAGCTGAGAGCGTGAAACGCGCTTTAGCGTAAAGACAATAAATCATCATAAAAACTTCTTTCTGGTGGTAGTCTCCACTTAGCATGGACATGGCGCGCAGGTGTCTGGCGCTTGTTGTCCGCGCTCAGTCGCCTCCCTCATCACGATGTGTGCTGGTGCGAACGGGTTTCGATTTCCCGCGGAGTACGAGTCCCACGCCGCGCTCTAAATCGTCGTCGGGGTTTCTTCTCCTAGGCAAGCTGCCCCGTCGGTCGCTGTCGTGCCCGACTGCGCCGTCTAGGAGAGGGAGAATCACGCCGGCACCACCCAAACAGGACCGCCGCGATCGGCAGCTGCAATGGGGCACCTCCTCGCCCGTAGCGGCCCATCGGATGCACCTGGACCTCTCACCGCCACCGAGGGGACTGTTACCAGCGCGGCTTTTTATTCGAGCTGTGCCATGTGTGCTTCCCGAAAGCGACGTCGCCGACGCGACCGGCGTTGAACGCATCCGCTGCATAGCGTCATCGTGCGCGTCTTGACTACTGTGCGGGCCGGAGTACGAAGCGCGCTCTTCAAAGCGAAGTTCGTCCAGGCGACGGTCGTGGTAAGCAGCTGCGTCTCCTCGTCCGCTGTGGATGCGACATGGCAGCTCAAGCGGTTGCTGGTACCCTCTTCGACTAGACCGGCGCTAGCCTTTGGACATGCATCGCGAGGCGTCATCGGCCGATCATGATCGACCCCAAGGTGTTCGTCGCACTGCTCGTGCTCTCCACGGCGTTCATCGTCGCTGCCATCGTTGGCGCAGTTTGTTTTCTGTGAGTTGAGAGACATTTGTTCAACACTTTATTCGAGCAGGCCTACGCACGCGAGCGCGCAATTGCCTAATTCATATGCGCTGCATCCTTTTATTTATTTCTTGTTTTTTTTCGCGGCGGTGGAAGAAAGAACAAGAAAAGTTCCGGGCAGAGATGCGATCCGCGCGCTTCCTCGAAACCCGTTCCCGGTTTCATCCTCTGGACGCCGGCCAAAGTTGTGGCGCGGTTGGCGTGTCATTTGTCGTCGAGTCTTGCATGGGGGGCACGTGCTTTCACAGCGATGAGACGATACGGAAAACTTCGGAGAAATGTGGTGCAACGCGATTGCCTAGAGCAAGCGACGCGATCGATCGTACCTTCACTAGAAATTCGAGTTCTGAAAGCAAAAGAGTGTTAATGTTTCGCAAAAAGAACGTACTGCGAAACGTCGACGATTTCGACGTCTCCCTTCTAACCTGTTAATCTGCTTTTTGCGGTTGTACTAAAACCACGAGGTCACGTTATAATAAGGGGTCCCACGTTACTTACTATTCAGCAGTCAGAAAACGCTGATTGTCAACTAGACGAGGCCCTCTAGAACGCATGCCTAACACCATACAGCAGCACGCGCTCTGTAATTAACTGTTTCTCAAAAGTAGGATAAAAGCCGTTCCCTCTTCTCTTCGCATATGATGACATAAACCCAAATGAGCGCGTCATTAACACAAAGTCTACGGCGATTGGCTGATTTGAGCGTCGTGAACTGCATAGTCGCTGCAGCCGCCACGTGCCTACGACTACATTGAAAGAAAACTGCGCGTTCGAAGGGGAAAAAAACAAACGAAAAAGTGCTTGAGGTCATAAACCTTCTTAGGGACGCATCGATTTTCCCCTGGTAATCACCTTCCCTGCATAGCTTTCAAAGCGCTCGCTATCGCGAAATGTCTTAAAGCGTGCAACAAACCCTTGCAGCTCCACTCGTACCCGACACAGATTCTAAAAAATTTTTGTGGCAGTTGCATGATATATGAAGCAATAAGCTGCTTAAAAAAATTCATTTCATGATTACTTGGAAAGGTGTTGCAGAACTCCTTCAAGTGATCCCAGTCCATACCTGCACCAGTGCACATGGATTGCGAAAGAAATTCGATATGGCTGCAATACTGAAAAACCACAGCGTGTTTGCAACTGTGATTTTCAGGATTGTAGCCTCAACAAATTTTTGTCGCAACTTTATTGCATACAGGCTCGTCGTTTGTCTCGACATGATGCAGCTACAATATGTAACTGGGCTTTAGACATTTCATGGCGCATACAGCTTGCTGATGTAAAGGTAAAAAAATATAGCCACACCATTGAATACCTGTGTTGTTTCTTTCAGGTGTCATGTCCTCAAGAAGGATTCCCGCAGACGGCTCAAGGACGACTATGTCATCGTACTTGATGTGAGCGATAACATTAATTCTCTGTTCATATATGTAATGTCCACTATACTGCGCATTCGGAAACACACCACAGTGCACGTCACACACACGCACTCATTAAAAAAGTAATCAGCTGATGTGCCTCCAAACAATGCTATGCAATAGCACACTTATAATTAGTAGGCAACAGTATAAAGGCTTTTGCTACTTGCATTAGCAACCAAAATAGTACCAACCAAGATACACGGGAAAGCTGCAGGAACCAATCCTATGTAAATTGACCCACACCTTAATCTTTCAGCAAATAGCTAGATACCAAATGGCAGTCTGAAAGGCACTTTGTTAAATTGGGCAATCAAGTCTCGTAAGACAGATGCTGAAGGCAAATGCGAGTCTGGTCATGATGGTAAGTTGAAACCATATTACGGCTTAAGTAACTCCGAAAGTGAAGGCATGCGCAATTGTGCAAGCGGCGCAAATGAAAATGTATTGTACGGTGCACAGTCGTAGAATAACGCTTAACAGCGATGTTGCCACCAGCATTGCCACAAATGGTACAGCCACACCATTATCACGACTACTCAAATCGCTACCTCTTCTGGTGTTCTATAAACCATTATTTACGCTTATGTACAAGCTGAAATTCTCCATTAGTATTATGCTGAAAGCATCTTGCGATTGGTTATGCACTGATAATTGACTCTATCTTTGTAAAAGATATTCGGTACGTGGCCCAGAATTAAGCGTTACACCTCATAGAAAAACTTTCATGAAGCTGTAATAAGGCTGGAAGATATGAACAAAAATCACATGCAAGTTCTCAGAGGCCAAAAATGCAAGTTCTGACTAGCCACGTGGAATGCATCTATTGCCAAGAGTGTACAATTTAATTGAGATGACAAGATGCCAACTAGCAGAGCTGGTGTTCACATTTCCGTAGTGCTCAGTAACAGGATTCACCAGTCTTTTGTGTCAATATACTCTTTATGACATTAAAAAACTACATGATGACCGTGAAATGAGTGTAAATGAAGTGCGCTGAAGGTGTCACACAGGCAGAGACAATGCCGTCACCTCGTGTCTCTCGTATTACACCAGATGGTCGAAGAGGCACAGTGCATATTTGACTCAATGTGTTATGTGTAAGCCCCAGTTCTTTTTTTTCATCACCAACATTAGGATACTATCCTCACACTAATATCTTTCTCATTAAAAAAAAAGCTAAAAAAGGAGTACAGCACCAGAGTTGATGGTGGAACCACCGCTTTCACAACAGCTATTCCATTGTTGCTGTTCATCGATGTGCTCCACAAAACTGTGTTACGCTTTTTTCTCCATGTCAGGGCACGGAACCACCACCTCCGTATACCTGGAGGAGCGTGCGTTCGGATGGATGTCGTCAATAAATAGTCTTCTTCTATTCTCCGCCGAGAGCTTAAAAACATGCAAGTCACTGAGATCATCGGGAGCTGCTTGCACATTCAGGAGGCACCACTGCTTCAACAGCGGAACCGCACCCACTTCACTGCCAGCCCACTCTGTCTCAACACGGCACACCTTGCAAGTTGATGGACGTGGCCCCTCGTCAACAGCAGCACTCTTTTCAATAGTTCCCTCACAACCACATTTCATGCATGTATCTGCCTGTACATTCGTGAACAGTAAAACTGTCTGTGAAGCGAACGAACAGACCATCTTCATTCCTTCAACGTGAGTGGGACTGCCTATTCAATGCAGTGCACTAGCATCGGGTTCGCCCGTCTGGGGCAAACCCAATGCCCTTAAACTAGGCAAAGTTAATAGGTCAGCACCTTGGAAATCTCCCAAAAAAGGTTTTTCCCAAGGGTATCGGAAGCAAAAACTGTGTAGTACCAGCTTAGGGAATGCTCGCAAAACTGTGCACAAAGTATTTTCAACGGTTGCAAGTTCAATACTGTTCAACATCGGAGTAAAAATACGGTGGATCTTAGACTTTTCAGAACATATCAAATGTACAACTACTAAAAACATTGGTCATAATTAGAGTACTTTCACATCACAACTGTCTTCACCGTAATATGGTTCAAGAGCTTTGAGCTGTAGCTCTCGTGACCGCTCAGCTGTATAAAAAACGGAAAAAAAAATGTCACTGGGAATTCGACACCAGGCATGCATGGTTTTACATCTCTTTGAAGATGTGGCTTTTTTCAGAAGTACTAATTCCACTCACATCCTTCTTGCGGTTTTCGCAGGCCCGACAGCTCAAGGCCAAGTCCATTTTGACATTTACGAGTTACCATTTTGCATTACAACTTGAGTTCAACATTTAAATTTGCAAAGTGAACAGCGAAGTTTTTCACGTTTCATGCAACGCTTACATTTACCAAGTCAGTTGAATCTGAATAACTTGGCAATTGCCAACAGGGAAGATCCCTCAACGATTCCCCTATAAAAAGAGTGGTACAGATATATTGTCTTCTTAAGCTATGCGACACACTACAATGTGTTTGGGGAGGGGGGAGGGTGCTGGCTGGCCTGAGAAATGGCACATTGGGTCGAAACTGCGTATACATGCACTTTCTGAATGCAAATCGTGCAACAGCATTCACTTATGCTGACACTGCCCAACACGGGAAAGGCACCACTCACAGTGTACCGCTTAAGGCATAAAAATCTTGTTGCTTTTTTTCTCAGTTGGCATACGCCCGACCGCTGGGCACGCAATCGCTGGCCACTGCATATTTCACGAACTGGGTGCACACTACCCCGATTCAGCGAGGACGTAGTCGAGTCTTGTAGCGTATAGTGTAGCGGGTGATATGTCATGACAGACAGTGGTGAATGAATGCGATTTGGCCGGCAGGCATTAACCGGAGAGCAGGTGTACCACAACGGTGTCCCAGAAGTTACTCCGCACCGATGCGGCACCAGTGGTAGCGGATCGAAGGGCAGCCAGTGTGAGGAAAGAATCAAGAATGTCCACACTGCTTTCCGAGCATCTCTCGGTTGCGGCTACCACTGAAGAGGACCAGCAGACTCGGCGGTGCTCTCCGAGAATGTGCACGATCCGTCTGACTAGGGTTCGATCCGGACAGAGTTGAGGCATCAGCCCTCTTCACTGTTGTGTGTCGAGTCACCGGAAGTGGCAACGGTGGACTGTGGCTGGCCGCGTTCAAGCATTTCAAGGCGTTCGGGATTGGCCATGCTTCTTCGAATGGCCACCGGGTCCTTGCGGCTCCACTTCAAAAGCTCGTCGTGCATCTTGGCCGCCCTGGCTGGATTCAGTGTCCATAGGCAGCCCTTGCGCTGCTGTGCGCCAGGCTTTTCGATCTTCTCGAAGCACTTGTTGAGGGACAGGTTATGGCGTACAGAATTCTTCCACCCGCTTGGTGCCGTCCGGAAGTACGGGAAGTTCTCCCTGCGTCATACACCCACCACCGAAAAAATCGTATTAAAAGAGTCATTACTGCAGCAATCCTAGAATTGCCACAGGTCCAGTTTTAGACCGGCTCAGCCGGTTTTTTAGACCGCAGGCCGGTTGTCAGTCTGTACCTACAGTTATTAGTCCTATTTTTTTTTTTTTCAGAGCAGTAAACCTAATTAATCACGGGTATTTTTATGCCAGCAATTAGACTAGTAGGTTAACTCAGTGTGCTGTTTGTTTGTACATGAGGCTTATTTCACTAAAGAATGCAATGCTACATTAAATGACACTGCATGCCAAATACCTAATAATTTAATCTCATGATAACTCATCCCCCCTCCCTCCTCTCCATCAAAGGACCGGTGTTTTGTTCGAGAAAGGCATCAACCTTAAGCAATGCTGTCCAGTACACTCACTACCTCAGCACAAAGGATGGCTTGGTAAAGGAAAGGCACAACAACACGCCAGGACCGTACGACAGAAGTAGGGTTGCAATTAAGGCAGCAGCAAAAGGGCAACAAAAGCCATCTTTTCTTGCCTATCTTTTAGGCGTTACAACGTCTACTGGGTCCTGCATTCCTTCTAATCGATAATATTCCAGTATATTGTCATTGCTGGGTGCCATAGACTTAGCATACAACTTTCAGGAATTTTTATCAAGCCAACATTGTGAAAATACGAAAAATACATTGCGGAAGTTCTTACATCACACACGGAGATTACAGTGCAACATTTAAAATGAAACATCAGCCTTGATTTGCTTTGTTAATAATGAACTTATGACATTAGATTTCTCAGAGTGCAGTTTATTAATCTAAAAAAAAAAAACGATTGTTTCTCTTGAGTGTCCTTTTAAAAATTGCAGTTAATATATCCTGGAACACACCAGACATGAAGTAAAGTCTCGCAACAGCACTCACGTCATGAAGCTGTAGATCTCATTGACGGGAAGGCTGCCTGTGCTGCTATTTCGTAATGCCATGGCGATGAGACAGGAGTACGAGTACGCCGGCTTTGGGTAGGAACCAGAGGCCAGGGTGTCGTCGGCTGTTGCTACGTCTTGTAGCGTTGTCACCACTCCCGCCTCGTCGTCGGGTGAGGACGGGGACGACATGGGTTGCACGCTCAGCTGGTCTAAGGACGTCGCTGATGATGTAGTTTGCACAGTGGGCGCTGCAACCAAAGCCAGACCATTTGTTAAGTTCACACACACCAGTAGACCGGCCATCTTCAAGCGCTGTAAAATGAGACTTGAGTTGCGAATTCTTTAAAAAGTTTGTGTTGCACTATAATAATCTCCATGATCTGAATGTTCATTGTTTATTATGAATCAATTCTGCAACGATGCATTAAAGCGACAAATTCATCAGTCGTGCAGAATCCCAGTGGCCTTTTTCTGATAGTTATATGTGCAGGTGGCGCAGCTCCAGATTGCTCCCTACAATTCAAGCTCTAAGGACTTGTCTGAGACTTTTATCTGGATTCCTTAGACGTCATTGCTGCCTAAATTGGTATCTGAATGAACTGGGACTACTACAAAATTATAAAATGTATAATGAGTAGGGAATGTTACAATTAACCATAAAAGTTGACACACATGAGGCTTCACATTAGTCAATGACAAGAATCTTGACAAAAAGACACCTTTAACTAAGAGAAGCTTTGTACTCGAGGAGTAAATTCTGACATCAGGTATTACTCTAAAAGTAAACAGTTCTTTTTGATTAGATGTTTAAGGTACGTATGTACTTTTTTCAAACTATGAACAAAAGAAGGTCACTTTTTTGATGTAACAGACTGTCGATCCAACACAAAGTCGCCAAGCACACGGAAATGCTCAGCACGATTGCTACATCTAACATCAACACACCTGTTGCTGCAGCCGTGGTGACAGCCGCGAGCGTGACATTCAGTTGCAGCGTGCTCGGAGCCGTTGGAGGACCGGTGGTGAGAAGGCAGTCCGGTTTGCGGATCAACGAGGAGACCCTCGAGACCGTCCAGCTCCGAGATGAGCGAGATGCCGGTGGACCAGACGGAGGGCGGCTCGAAGGCGTCCAGCGAGTCGTCCATGCCACAGCGCAGGTCGCCCCCCGATGGCGACAGTTCGGCACGCATGTCTGACTCGATCATTTCCTGTAGCTTGAACGCCTCTTCGTAAAGCTCCATGGCAGAAGCTGGATTAACCGGAGATTAACCTCTATTGAGCCAGCATCAATCTGCGATAAAAGCTCCACAGCTACAAAACTTTACATTTATTTGGCTTGACAATAGACGATTGCCACAATAAAGGCGAATTTAAGGGCCATCCCCACAGGCACGACAATTTATGTTTGTCACATTGAGGTATTAACAAGAAAACCAATATTACAGTAACATTTGGTAGTAGCTACGAAGCTGACTCAAACAGCCTGGTCTTAGATCGGGCAGTTACGGAACTGTATTTGCTGCTAAAACACAACTGAGAACAAAGCTATTAAAACTACTAACTTTGTTGAAATTGCTACACTGGCATATACTGCACACTCATTGTGCATTAAGTCAAACTTGAACTTGTGCAGTCACCTCTTAAATGACCTCTTAATTTAAAAGTGAGGGGGAGAGAAAGATAGCAAGTTTTAATTTAATGCACACCTGGGCCTTCATGCTCAATGCACAATGAACTTGGTTGTTCAAACCAATTATTATATAACACGAGCTTCTGCATATCTTTCTCAAGCAGCTATGGAACAATAATTCATTGCATAATACCTGTCCATATACAGGGTGTCCAAATTATCACGCAGAACGATTTTAAAAAAATAAGAAAAGCGCTATGCAAACCAAGCCTAGTGCATATTGTTCCTGGTAGTGTAGTAACCACTACTAATTTTTTGGTAATGACAAATAATTAATTAATCATATTTATATTTGCAACTCGAAAATACTCACCCATTTATCTAAAATGTCAACTGTGTGCACTAATTTTAACATTGTATTAATTGTGTACTCAATTTTTCATGCAGATAAAGAAAGGCCGAGAATTATGAAAAATAATACGTCACTAGACTGCTGAGTGCATCTGTAAGCAGCGCCCTCAAACAAGCTCACTTTGAGGTGGCTGATATCAAGGAAAGAAATGCAGCAAGAAAAAATACGGATCGCGTTATCTGCCACTTCGCACCACAGACAGTCGGGCTGTGATCAGAAAAATGTTGCAGCCGCTTTAGCAACAAAAACAGTCCGCCATCAGATATGGAAAATGATAGTGACGCACAATCAAGTGAAAGGCATCCCTGCAAGATTCCGGCCCATGTTGACCCTTGCAATGGGCGGAACGCTGTCTCGGGAAACAGAAAAGCGGTTGCTTGTAGTAAGCTTATTTGAGGGCGCTGCTTTCTTTTGCGGGTGGTAGCATAGTCACGTGTTATTTTTCATATTTCGCTGGCTTTCTTAAAAGGAAAAAAATGAGCGTGCAATTGGTACGTTGTTATAAGCAACACAGACAGATATCGTTTGGACATGCACACATCAGCCTTGTTGACATTTAGATAAATAGGTGAGTGTTGGCTGTTACTAGACCATGCTGGGAACAATATGCACTAGGTGTGGTTTGCGTAATGCCATTCCTATTTTTTGAAATCATGCTGCATTAAAATTGGACACAGTTACTTCTAATGGAATATAATGTGCATGATATTCTGTTAATGCTTGTCGGTGGGCTAGTTGCTTTGCTATAATTGTAACAAAGAAACTGCACAAGAAAATGCATAGAAAAGGGGTGCACAAGTGGGCACAGTGCTTGTATGCCTGCCCCTTGCATTCTACTCTTCCTGTGCTCTTTTTTTTGTAACAATGCATGATATTCAATCTTTTCCCTTGATTGCAAACGATCCAGCTGCATCATTCTTGTACGATACACAAGTTCCTGGCTTACAGTATATCATGTCTCCTGTGAAGGTGTGACTTCCTGTTCTGTGCAACGAAAGATTTAGTGAAGACATAGGCTTGTGCATTTCATGTCAACTTGTAGGTTTAAAGACATACCCTAATACTGTCACTTCGAATTGTGCATGTATTCAGTGGATTCTATGATACTAAATTCCTCATTACTAGGGCTAACTCGTGTCTTCGGAAACTTAGTCCCCATAAAGAACATATTCTAGAAATAGAAAGCTTAAATAATATATTTAGACATTTGACATACACCTATCAAAGTCTTCTTGCAATGTGCATTTGCCCTGTGCTTACACTCTGGCTTAGACAGAAATGCCATACAAAATTAATAATGCATCCTGAATAAAGCTTCTTCACCACAACACAGCAGATCAGTCATAGCGGCATTGCTTTAGCATAGTCACACACAACTGCTCACAGTACACATTTATCAATTTATTAACACATAGCCTGGAACGCCAGCGGCCGAAAAGCGGCGCCACCACGGGTTTGACGCGAGTAGGTTGCTGCTCCGGGACGTCCGAGCACGCTAGTGTCTCGCTTTAATCCCCTTACCCCTTTCTGCCGGATCGTCAATAAAGTTGTCTCACTCACTTAACACATAGCAGAAACAGCAATGGTGCTTGATGAACAGCTGCTTTGCATTAGACTAAATTCTCACTAAGGAATAAATGTGCTATTTATTAGTGATAATTTACATTTAAACAGTAACCCCCCCCCCCCACACACACACTCAATATGGCGGGTAATGTAAACTACAAAGACATATATCATCCAGTTCTTCTCAATACCCATTCTTTCTTCTTGTTGGTCCATTGCAATGCTCTGTTATAGCTGCAATTATGTTAGCTTTCAAGGCAAGCAATTTCAGTGACTGAAACATAGGTTAAGCTCAGCCTCATCCTGTGTGCTTTCATGATTTGCAATACCTACTGCGATGAATTGACACCGACTTGCACAATTGTCAATGAATTTATATTGACCAGGAAAGCGTTATTGGGACATCGCAGCAACATTTCTTTGACAACCACAGTAAATGTGATTTCACCTACCGTGGGAACTTGTGTGAACCAAGCGCCTATCCTTTCACAGGCAAGCATAAGGAATATATATATATTTTTTGTGGACAAAAAAAAAAAAATGTTGAAACTTTGAAGCAGAATTGTACACGTCTCAAATTTGCAAACTCAGAAAGTTGTTCGCAAATTTTGAGGGTATGTTAAACGTAACTACTTTGATTATGATTTAGGCTGTTCTGCTCGTGCAATAAAAAAAAATAGTTGCCAATTTCTTTGAATGACAAAGTAATCCCAGCAGTTACTATACTTTCGCGGTAGAAAAAAATATATATATCATGTCTTGTTTATATTATACGCATCTGTGCAGTGCGACGAATATTTTAAGTTTGTGTCGCAAAAATGAAACGTCTGTATAACAGAGTTGAAGGAAGAGCTCGAGCAGAGACCAAGAGCAGCGTTATCTTTAGCTGAAGGCGAGATAATGCTGGTCTCTTTTCCCGTTCTGCTTCCTTTCTGCGCGCACACCGAGTAGCCGGACATTCGACCCCATCCGCTGTTACGAAGTGATAAGAGGTCCTTGAACACATCCGACATTCCAAACATCGCAGCCGCCCGGTACAACTTTACGATATGTTTGGAGATTCCGGTAGTTTTATGTCACATTTGACGACCACTTCTGCTAGGAGCCCGTTCGGCGACTTCGCGCGCGATGCACTCGCGGGTCGAATTCAAATTGTGCGCCATCGAAGCGCGGCGGCGTAAACAGGCTAGAAAATGACACTTTCGCACAGCTTAACGGACACGACAACCTTACCGCGCGTACTAAGCCAAGAGCTGGCTCTCGTACGAGTCCGCAGGAGCCGCTTAGAAAACGAGCGCGCGGTTGCCTGTTCCCGCCAGCAGTTTTCGCGCGCCGACTTGTATCGGAGCCACCCTCAATGCAGATTTAGGTGTTTAGGGATGCTGCTACGCGTCGACGTGCGCGATAACGAAATAAGGAGTGCACGTCAAACGCGAAAGCGCGTCGGCCGCCGTTTATTTCAAACTCGGCGCCTTGTCTTGGCAACAGAACAGCGCGCGGAAGAGGGGGCTTCTCCAAATATCCAACCGCGCGCGGTTCCGATTACCTCGGCGCATCGCGGCTTACTTTTCGAACACGAAATTTCCTCGGCCAATTAATATTTTCGCTGTCTGAGACACCGTCACCTATATCTAGCCCTGCCACCTGCAGCGTCTACGAATCGTCGCGAGCGGACGTTTCACGTAGCTATGACGCCCCGGAAGAGGGCTTTGTTTCGGTGGGAGCGCGCGAGATCGGTGGCGCTCGCGCTGAACCACTCACCTTGCTTGTCGCAGTGCTTTTGACGCAAACGGTGTTCCCTGAAGGTCAAAAAACGATCACATTAGTTCCGGGGTTCGATTTTCCGCAGGACAACGCAATGCAAAGGCAAAACCAGCGGCCGCGCGCAAGTCCGCTCCAAATTTTCGTTGCACGGACCCAGGACAAAGAGGAACCAAATTTGAAAACGACGCCCGCCGATTGGTCCGCTTCAGTCACGTGGTATGCCGAGATCTGGCGCTCATTGGCCTGAGTGCCCACAGCGCCAGAAGGTGTGGCGAAAAGCACATGGAGTTGTATTTGTGGTGCGAGGGGGATCGGTGGGGCAAGTTAGCACGTCGAAACAAAAGGCATAAAAAGCAGTGCGTACAACGCAGAACGGTCAGCTGAGCGCCCCGTTTGTTGGTTTGTTTGATCGGGCTACGTTCAGCTGCAGCGCTTTCCTCTCACCCGCGCCGTGCGTCCGGCTCCTTCTCGTCGAAGAAGCGGCAGCTGTTGAAATGTAAACGCACATACGCGCGGTCAACGTTTATTACGTCATTGCGGACACGTCTCGTGTTACGCCTACGTAAACAATATTCGTCAATCCGTACGCCATATACAAACCATCGCAACATAAAGAATTCGACAGTGGTGTTCAAAAGTTTGCAGGCCAAGCTTCCCTTGAAATACACGGGACTGTGGACACTTTCAACCACCCCTGTACATTAATTTGTTTTAATGATGCGATATTATCTGCATAAAACGACAATCCGGTTGTGAGATGCACCAGGTGTCTTGGTGGATCTCACAAACGGATTTATGCAACTACAGCGGGTCTTAGTATCGGGTGTGTGGAATATCTGACATGGCACAGCATTCGAATTCTAGGGCCCCCCTTCGGTACTTGGAACAGTCTACGAAAATTAATGAAAAAACTACACAACACAAGAATCTTAGTTTAATGAATTTCAGCAGGAATTGTTTGGTCAATGAAACAATCTGCATGATGTCAACTAAGGTTTTGAAGACAGCATCTTTACCAGCAGAACTGCAATATTTTTTCGAGTGCAGCTTTTTTTCTTTTCAGGCTCCTAGATGTGTTGAGCGGATGGCATAAGCCTTGTCTACCAATATGTTCCATGACAAATGCAGCACAACCGTATCCTACGCATGTTCGTGCCCTGCGACACCAGTTGGCCTAGCTTTTCGTTTTTGTCCGCACACTTTGCGAAAAAAAATTTTCCACGAGAAATGTGGTCAGGTGAGAGAGTTGCTGCTGAACAAGTGGCGATGACATGACAAAGGAGCACCAGGCCAGCACAGGTGTCAGACTGGAGGGGGGACAACCCCACCATGCTGAGACCTTCTGTTGTGCTGTCACAGGTGACAAATTGGCCTTGCAAGGTGGTCACAATGCAGGTGGATTGTACAATCTCAAAAAAACAAAAAAGTGTCGCAGCAGTGCAGATATATCGCACAGGTAACAATAGCTCTCCATCTCCAGATAACTTTTACTAAGTAACACTACTATGAGCGACAGCTTGAGTGTAACACAATGCACGCAACTAACAAGATGTGCTGCATGTTCTCTGAACAATAGAGGGAACTGCTCAGAGTGAATTGTTGAAGGAAGGGTGCAAGTAACACACTTCTAATTCGATGCACTGCATTCCTATTCTGTACGGTTCCTGGCACCATTCTTTGACAACTTTTATTGAGCACCTCTAGCGGCACTACTGTCAATATACTAGTGTACTACTAGCATGTGTCACATCTTGAATTTACTCATGAAACTGCAATGAGATATTATGAAAAAATGGAAGCAGTTTTGAGAATGTTTAGGTTTGCTACGATTGTGCCCCCTGGGTTACAAAACGGTCTAGCTTTGTGATGACATCTAGTGTATCTGGGCAACTAATCAGTCCAAATATTTGCAGAATGCAGCTCATTCAGGGACACAATAATGTTTTAACGCTCAGTGTACAGACTCTCAGCAGCACCTCATATGTGCTGCCAAAATTGGACATGTCGGCAGCCGCTTCTCAGAAACTAATCTCAGAGACCACACTTTCAGCTTATGAGAAAGTGTCAGCATTTGAAACGCACCACGTTTCATAGACCACTTGATAGAAGGGAGTTTATTTGAGCGTCTCGCAGGAATTGTGCAGGAACCATTTTCTACCCAGTGCAGCAACATGCAGTGGTGATACATAGTTTCATTAAAGCTCACATTAACAGTTCTGGTAACATATGGTGCACAATACCAGCTTATCTGAGCCACAGCGGTTTCGATGATCACGTTGAAAAATTTCACATAAAGGTTTTATCAGGAGGCAGAAGATTGTATTGCTCTTTTGCTTGCTTGGATATTTATACATGCCAAGGTGCAGTGACACGCCAGACACACACAACAGGCCTGCCGCCCCTCGAACGCTAAGCAGGACACGCAGTCTGTCGCAGTAGTTCAAGGTTGCCAGACTGTTAATCAAGGTGGTTGCTTGACTAGGCTGCCTATGTTAAGCCTTTTGGAGACACTCAAATCAGCCCAGTACTGGCAGCAAGCCTGCTGTAACTGGTTTAGGTCCCATTCAGTGATATTATCAAAACTTATAATTATTTGCAATGAATTTGTTTAGCAGTCACGCTTGCAAGATGGGTGCACGGGACACACAAGACGGTTTGTGTGTGCCAAGCCTCTCTTGCTGCCTCATCTGGCAGCGTTAAAAGGGGTTCACTGTTCTCGAATCGCCATGCGCACTGCATTTTTGCAACTGGCCATTCTTACGCCTATCGTAATTGGCGGCTACTTAAACAGTGGCCACAGTTAAACATGGCAAGTTCCACTCAGATGAACGTAAGAAAGGACGCACCTCAGTATGCAACCAAAGTCAACATTTTGAACTTTACATAGATTAGTGTGCCACTGGCATTTCAAAGCCCCTAATGTTTGCCACCAGCTTAGCAGCCTCCCAAAGTGCAAGACAGCCAAACATGCGGCGACTGCCACAGGAACCCAAAGTACAAGACAACTCAATCTAAAAAAAAAAAAGGCTAGTAAGCATTCAATAGTTGAGTCTACAGCTTCATATGCGACTCTCTCAGATGACTCACTGATTCTGCAGGGGAAAAAAATGAATTCATATGTCCCACTGCCTTAATTTCGAAGTTTTGAAAAGATGCCTTTCTCGTCGATTTGGCATCTCTACAATGCAAAATCAACTCCAGCCATCATCATTCAAACAGTGCTTGTTGAAACTATACATTCCATGCGTTATATACATCAAATGCTTCAACATTATTTCATTAAGTGTACAATCAAGTGCAGTGTGCTAAATTCAGGCAGCTATCTAGGACGGCTAGTTGCACTTTGCCACAATGCCCACTTGTCATACATGAACCTTCGTTCCAGAATAAATAGCGTGTAAATATTCTAAGTATATGAGCGCTTTCACCCAGCATACAATCTCTACAGGAACTTGCTCTCATCCAAAAAAAGTTTCTACAAAACGGTACTAAAAGATGCCGAGGACACTTCTTTGTCAAGCACAATCAGTCCTCGCTTACGTCAACACGATTCACAAAAACATTCGCATTTCTAAAAGAAACAATGCCTCTTGTAGTTTCCATATAGCACATGGAACAGATGCGCAGCGTCATGTGTAAACTCCTCAAAAACAAAAAAAGACAGGGCGTCTAGCAAGTAGCCGTCGTTAGGCTGACAGGATCGGCAATGAATAGCAATGCCCGACTGTCGCGTATATACATAAAAGTAATATTGCCATGTGACCTCCGTGCTGATTTCATGCAAGATAGCGGCTATTTAGGAAGTGTAAATGGCTTTGGTTGATTAGCTTGTGCTTTTGGGAAGCGCAGTGAGGCTCATTCATTGCAGTCTGTGAAGAACACAGTCTCTTTGTGCATTTGCTCGCTGTCCTCCATCGAATGGGATGAGACGGGTCACATGGTGATAAGTATGAGTGGCAGTTGTTTTTCCACAGAGCCTGGAAATGCTAGTAAATCCGACAAGACACACCTAGCCGAGTCAGTTCAGTCACATGAAAGGCAACAGTGTGGCAAAATTGCACTGGCACTGCCAAAGAGCACATCGCTTAACCTTCACTGAGACATGCCTTTGGAAGAGCGTAGGATGCTGCAGGGAGTACAACCAGAGAAGAACTGGCACACCTCTCACTGCGCTGCACTATCCGCTCCAACAGACCACCGCACCAGGCCGAGTCTAACATCCAGGACACTGCACCACACCCAAATGCGCACGCACAGATGCCCAACTTCTATGCCAAGCGTGAGCAACGGCACATGTCCAAACGTGCACGCCGTGAACGGTCTGGGTTCACACCTAGGCATGGACGCAGAACATCCACCGCGGCACGTGCCACACTCCGACAGAGTGCACCAAGACACGACACCACACAAGGTCATCCCCGAGAGTGCGCACATACACACTGAACACATCCGTTGGAGCAGCACTAAGAAGCAGCGGAGGGCGAGGCCGTCGCGGCAGGACGCTGTAAAGGCGGACTGCTGAGGCGAGCGGCCAGTTCGCTGCTCGCACCCGCCTGAGGTGGCGCCACGACAAACACGTGCACGACCTGCTCCTGTGTCCGGCTGGCAGTAGAACACCAGCTGGCCGGCCTGCAGCCGCAGCGGAGGCGTCGGTCCGCCCACCACGGGGGCAACACCACCGGACACGCACGGTCCCATTGTCACAGCAGAACTCCCTCCCACAGTGGCAGGCCCTGTCGTCTCGTCTGTGGTCTGTTCGGTTTCCGGCTCCTTCCGGCAGAATGATTTCTTCGTGCACCACCTCCTCTTCGACCACTTCTTCCCGAACGCCGCCATCTTCGGTGGGCGGAGCCTTGCGCTTGCGGCCCCTCCCACGCTTGGGGGCAGGCTGTGCCCTCTCGGGCTCGTCAGGGTCGTCGGACTCTAGCTTCAGGTCATCGATGTAATACTGGGTAGGGTCGTCTGCAAAATGATGGGCTATTTTCGTAAACCGACCAGCACTGCTTATCCACCACAGGTCAGAATAAAAGGTGGAGCTCACTCAGACTACCTCAAAAAATATAATTTTGTCTTGGGGACCAGTCGGACTCGCAAAAGTTTTTCTCAGGCAGACTAGCTCAGAAACTCCAGCAAATTTTTTTCAATTTCACTCACTCGGACTTAGACCTTGCCAAAATATTACTAAGGCGGACTCACTCAGACTTGAGGTTGAATCTGAGTGTGAGCGAGTTCGCCGACCTGTGTTACCGACTATATTCAATGCTTCCAACTGACTCATTAAGATGGCTGTAGTTAGGTACAAACAAAGTTTTCACAACAACACAGTTCGGCTGTAGACGCTCCAACAGATGAACGCTTGCTATGGAGGTGCATGTCAGCACTTCTTTTTACCAGCGATAATAAAAAACGCACAGTGTGGAAGGACAACCAGACAAAACAAGTGCTAGACTCGCAGCCAAATGTTTACCGAAGGAGGCCCACATCAAACATTCAGTTGTAAGTACAGAACTCTGTCCAGTTGTTTTCCATTTCTGTCTGCATTTCACAAGCACTATTTCCTTCTTTGAACCTAAGGAAGCAACTCGACCATCAAGCTGCATTACTGAACTTCTTTTACTCACTTTAAGAACATGGCCGCTGTAGAAGAAAAAAAATGCCCAGGCCGGCACAGAATGCACAGTCCCAGCTGTAGCTGGAAGAGAGGCCTTCGAGAAGAACTGTTGAGGCACCTAATAATAGTATACTTGCAAGGTGACCACTATGCCATTAATCAATTTTGTAAAGGAATCACCCACTGAACCGTTATGCAAATATTCTGCGTACAAGCGCGGTACCCACGACGTATCTGTAAAGCATTGTGTGCACCCTGTGCTGTAGCTGATGACAATAAAGAATTATGGCTGAGCCCTGCGTAACAGGTTGAAAGCACTTAGCGACACACTAATTGCGCAATTTGCAATTGTATGACGCCACATTGTTATTTCGTCCTTATGCCCCACTATGTTACCTATGGTAATGCAATGAGCAGTAACAGGGTGCCCAGGCATTCCATATTAAATATATAGTGCTTTCACTTTATGCTTGTGACACATTGCAGGGTACGGGGGGAAAAAACAAAACAACAAGAGACAACACAAGCGCAGCGCAACTGAAAAATACTTGACTTTGATGGTAAACAGTCTTACGTACAAGATAAAATGGGAGGTGAATTCAGTGATAAAGAACAGACTACGAAAAAGAAAGATATCTGGGGATCAAACAATTTTACTGCAGTGATACGGTTTCCTTCAAAAAGCTACCGTAATTACTTGAATCTAACGCACACCTTTTTTCCGGTTAAGCGAGTTCATAAATCGCATGCACGTTAAAACCGAGTGCGAAAAAAAATGAATACAGTCATTCTATTGCCATCGGCATTTTCAAAATGGCCGCCCCCTACGTGCTTCGGCATGGCGCGTCGGCCATTTCTGCCAATGTGCTTCCCATGTGCGGCGATTCGTACGTATGCTGAGGAGTTCGTCATCTTGTAGTTCATTAGCATCGACTGCATGGAAGGGCCGACTCCAGAAACTTGACGAGTGTACAACGATGCCGCTTTTAAAAGAAAAGTCATCGCATGTGCCGAAACAGACAGAAATCGGGCCGCATCGCGGTCGTTCGGAGTTCCCGAAACGTGTGTGTGGGACTGGCGGAAACAAAAGCAGAAGATTGTCAAAGATTCATTCAAAAGCTTCAGTGGACCACAGCAGGGTCGGTTTCCGCAAAGTGAAGAGCTGCTCGCCGAGTATGTGCTTGAGCAGCGAGCGGCACAGCGGCCCGTGACGACAGAACTGTTCTAAGTGCGGGCTATGCAGTTAGCTTTAGAAAAAAGGCTAACGCGGAGCCAGTTCAAAGCGAGCAGGTGCTGGCTAACTAACTTTATGAAGAGGAAAGGCTTTTCCCTCCGAAAGTGAACGGGCATGCGCCAAAACTTGCAGGGAGGAGTACGAAGAAAAGCTTCACAGTTTTCAGAGGTCCGTCCTAAACTTGCGGCACAACAACGGCTACCTGCTTGGGCAAATCGGGAATGCCGATCAGACGCCTCTTTACTTCGACATGACTGGCACCACAACCGTCGAGAAGAAGGGGGCAAAGCAAGTTCGCATGCTGACATCGGGCCACGGTAAAAAGAGTGATGGCAATGCTCCATTTCACGTCAGATAGGCACAAGCTTCCCCCGTACCTCATATTTAAACGGAAGACGCTCCCAAAAGGAGTCGTTTTCCCGAATAGTGTGATCGTGCGGGCCAACGAGAAAAATGGGTGCACGTTGCAATCGATGTCTTACTTTTTTTTTTCGTTGTGAAAGCCGAGTGCGTGTTACAATCGAGGGCGCGGTAGAATCGAGTAAATACAATGTAGTGGGGAAGAGGGAGAGAGACGGTATCTAGCTGGAGCACCTGAAAGACGACTACGACGAAGAGCTGAGCTCGTGACAGTGACTGATGCTTCTTGAACCAGGCAGTTGGTTTTATTCAATAAACCCCCTTATAATCTGGTGGAAGTGCTCGGTAGTCTTCGAAGCTGGAACTACGAAGTCGTACCTTACCTGCAGTGCCAGCAATGCCGGAAGAACCCTCCACCCAAGGTACCTCGCAAGTTCCCGCCTCTACATGTCCCGGCGTGTGGCCACTGCATCGGCCACCGATCTTCAGCGGCACTGACGGCCAAGACGTTGAGGAGTGGCTGGCTACTTACCACAAGGTGAGCGCAGCGAGCAAGTGGGACGATGCGGCTAAGCTGACCTATGTAAGCTTTTACTTGTCCGGCATCGCTAGTCTCTGGTTGCGCAATCACGAAGCCGACATTGCCAGCTGGGATTCATTCAAGGCCTCCTTTTCGCAAGTCTTCAACCGCCCTGCTGTGCGAAAATTCCGCGCAGAACAACGACTTCGTGAGCGCGCTCAACAGCCAGGAGAGACCTTTACCAGCTACATTGAAGACGTTGTTGACTTGTGCAAGCGGGTAAACCCAGCGATGCTCGAAGCCGACAAAATCAAACAAATCCTCAAGGGCATATGCGATGACGCATTTCAAATGTTGTTAGCCAAGGACCCACAAACCATTGCCGAACTCGTCAGCTTGTGCCAGAGTTTTGACGAATTGCGAAAGCAACGCGCCCAAACACGGCACTCTCTGGAACAACGTGATTCGATCACGGCCTTGACTCTCGGAGACCAGAACGACATGTTGGCTCGCATAAAGCAGTTCGTGCGTAAGGAGGTCGCTCGGCAGCTCTCCATTTTATCGAGCACGCCCGAGCCAGCACAAACGCATCCTTTGGCCCCAGATCATCTGGCCCCGGCCATAAGGCACGTCATACAAGATGAGGTAGCGGACGCTTTGCCTTTACCAGCTCTGGAGGCCGCACCCTTGACGTATGCGCAAGTCGTTGCAGCCAGAGCACCTCGACAGCCCACTTATGCTACCTCACCGGCCTCTGTTCGGTCATCACCAGTTCCGTCCAGCCGGCTGATTGCAGCGTTTCCGAATCAGTGGCACACCGCAGACAACCGCCCGATTTGCTATTCTTGCGGTTACGCAGGACATGTGGCTTGCTTGTGCCGCCGCCGCCCTCTCGTTCAGAGCGACAACATGCAAAGATCGTCGCAGGGCTCTCGGCGCTTTAACAACACGGCACGTCAACAAGGATCCTCTTCACCCGACCGCCCTCCCTCAGTCAGCCACCGATCTCCATCTCCCCGACGTCGCTCCCTGTCGCCCATGCGCCGTCGACCCTGCCCTTCAGACGCGGAAAACTAGATGCCGCAGTTCCAGAGGCACGAACTGCGTCGTCGTCGAAAGAATCAAGTCCTCGCATTTCTCCGACAAACCTCATCGACGTTTTTGTGGATGGTTACCGTACCCTTGCGCTTGTGGACACTGGTGCTACCGTTTCAGTAATTGATTTAAAACTTTGCCACCTGCTTCGGAAGGTTACCACGACGCCAAAGGGGTTGTCCCTCCGTACTGCCAGTGCTCACCATATTCGACCATCAGCTGCCTGTACCGCCCGCGTTCTCATCCAAGATGTTTTGTATACCGTTGAGTTTCTTGTGCTACAGGCGTGCTCTCATGATGTGATCTTCGGCTGGGATTTTCTGTCTTGTAATCATGCGGTTATCGACTGTGCTCGTGCTGAAGTGGCCTTCTCTGCGTTATGTGCCTCGTCTCCGAAATTTCCGTTGAACAAGCTGTTTGTCGCGGAAGACATCGACATACCACCGACTAGCGCATCCTTTGTTCCCGTATCTTGTGCCGATGTGTCTAAGTCTGCAGTGTTGTTTACGCCTTCCCGAACATTCCAAAGTCGCAAGAGCCTAGCGTTGCCGTTTGCAGTTCTAGATATTTTAGGCGGGCGCTATCAATTTGTTTGTCACAAATCCCTTGCGTCGCGGAGAATGTATTGGAACATTCCAAGACTTAGACGTTTCCTCCATCTTCGACCTTGACGGTGAAAGTGATTTGCAGCTTAATGCATTGACGCCATCTGCCCATTCAATTGTCCAGGAAAATAATAATTTGTTTGGCCCCTCAATTGATGGCGAACTTGAAGAACCACACCGCGAAAAACTTCTAGAACTTCTTCACCAGTTTCGCGGCTCGTTCGATTGCCAGCAGACGTCCTTAGGCCGAACGCACACCGTTGTGCATCAGATTAACACCGGCTCCCACGCGCCTATGCGACAGCGTCCCTACCGTGTATCTCCTGTGGAGCGTCGTGTAATCACCGAGCAAGTGGCCGACATGCTTCAACGTGGCGTCATTCGGCCGTCCAGCAGTCCCTGGTCTTCACCTGTGGTACTTGTGAAGAAAAAAGACGGCTCGATTCGCTTTTGCGTCGATTACCGCCGTTTAAACAAAGTCACGATTAAAGACGTATACCCTTTGCCGCGCATCGATGATGCCCTGGACTGCTTGCAAGGCGCTGAATTCTTCTCATCACTAGACCTACGGTCCGGTTATTGGCAAGTCCTCATGGCACCATCAGATCGTCCCAAAACTGCTTTTGTGACGCCCGATGGGCTATACGAATTTAATTCAATGCTCTTCGGCCTTTGTAATGCGCCAGCCACATTCGAAAGGATGATGGATAGCGTCTTGCGTGGGCTAAAATGGAAGACATGCCTATGCTACTTGGATGATGTCGTTGTTTTCTCCCCTGATTTCGACAGCTATCTCCAACGTCTCAGCGAAGTCCTTGAGCTGCCTCACGAGCGCAGGCCTTCAACTAAACATCAAGAACTGCCACTTTGGTGCTCGGAAGCTCACAATACTAGGTCACGTCTCAAAACAGGGTGTCCTCCCAGACCCAGAGAAGCTTCGTGCTGTCGCCGAGTTCCCGAAGCCTACGACTGTGAAAGCGCTTCGCAGCTTTGTCGGACTATGCTCTTACTTTCACCGCTCTGTGAAGAACTTTGCTTCGATAATCCCACCACTGACACAGCTGATCTCTGGCGATGGACACCTCTCTGATTGGTCGCCAGCATGCGATGATGCTTTTGCAACATTACGCCATCTTCTTACTTCACCACCTATTTTACGCCACTTCGACCCTACTGCTCCAACCGAGGTGCGCACGGATGCCAGTGGCATAGGACTTAGCGCTGTCTTTGCTCAACGCAAACCTGGCTTCTCAGAGTATGTAGTTGCGTATGCCAGTCGCACCCTAACCAAGGCAGAGCACAAGTACTCGGTTTCCGAAAAGGAATGTTTGGCCATTGTTTGGGCATTACAGAAATTTCGTCCTTACTTATATGGACGCCCATTCGATGTAGTTACAGATCACCACTCTGTTGGCTCACTTCATTGAAGGATCCTTCGGGCCGGCTTGGATGTTGGGCGCTACGTTTACAGGAATTTGATATTCACGTCATTTACCGCTCATGCCGCAAGCACACCGGCGCAGATGCTCTTTCTCGTTCGCCTTTTCCATCAGCCGTTGCACCTGTTTCCTTTGCCGAAGCTACCATCGGCAGCATCGATACCGCTGACATGCCTTCGGAACAACGCAAGGACCCTTAGATAGCCTCGCTCATCGACGTTCTCTCCTCGTCTTCGGTGACACCACGCCAGCGTCTACCTCGTGCACTTGGTCGGCAAATTCCCCATTATGCAATACGGGATGCCATGTTGTACCGTAGCAACTATCAGCCGGATGGTAGGAAATGGCTTCTTGTTATACCTCGCCATTTGCGCTCCAACATGTGTGCGTACTTCCACGCAGACCCTCAAAACGCGCACGCTGGCGTTTTGAAAACATACGATTGCCTTCGTCAGCGATTTTTCTGGCGTGGAATGCACTCGTACGTTCGCAAGTACATACGCTTCTGCACTGAGTGTCAGCGACGGAAAACTTGTCATGCCTCTGGCGAATTACAACCATTGCCGTGTCCAGCTCGGCCGTTTGATAGAATCGGCATCGACCTCTACGGCCCACCACCTTGTACTCCTGCGGGAAATCGCTGGATTATTGTGGCCGTTACGCTGAAACCGCCGCTTTGCCAGCCGCTGCTGCTCGTGATGTCGAGTTGTTTATCTTGCGTAACTTTGTCCTTCGCCATGGCGCGCCACGTGAGCTGCTTAGCGACCATGGGCGTGCGTTTCTATCGCAAGTCGTCCAGGAGCTTCTCAGTGAGTGCATTATTATTCATCGCACCACTGCAAGCTATCACCCACAGACAGTTTGACAGAGCGCTTTAACTGCACGCTCGGTGATATGTTTTCTATGTACATATCCTCCAACCATTCTAATTGGGACTTGGTGCTCCCTTTCGTGACGTATGCATATAATACGGCCACCCAAGCAACTACTGGGTTTTCACCTTTTTTTCTACTGTACGGACGTGAGCCCTCTTCTACGCTTGACACGATACTTACTTACCGCCCAGATGCTTCAGAATACCGCCCAGCCTCCGAACTTGTTCAGTGTGCCGAAGAGTGCCGCCAATTAGCGCGCTCCTTTATGTCCGTCGCACAAGGTCTCCAAAAAGAATGACTCGACCAAGACAAGCCTGCTCACAGCTTCCCCGTAGGCTCATTTGTATGGCTTTCGGTTCCATTCCAGTCCCCCGGCCTCTCCCGAAAGTTTGCACCCAAGTACAATGGTCCGTACCGCATCGTTCAATGCACGTCACCGGTCAACTACGTCGTCGAACCTGTGACACCTGCCGAGGACAGACGATGCTGTGGTCATGAGACAGTCCACATCAGCCGCTTAAAACCTTACTATGATCCCCTTGTGCTTGCTTCGCCGTGAGTCGCCAGGATGGCTTCTCTTCAACACAGGGGCAAATGTAGTGGGGAAGTGGGAGAGAGACGGTATCTAGTTGGAGCACCTGAAAGACGACTACGACGAAGAGCTGAGCTCGTGACAGTGACTGACGCCTCTTGAACCAAGCAGTTGGTTTTATTCAATAAGCCCCCTTATAACGGTAATTTCTTTGTGAGAGAAGGTGCAATCGAAGGAGTGCTAACACACCCTTCACTGATATGCATCTAAAAAACTTTTGTAATTTTTCTCTCAGTCCGATCGAAAGATCGCGTCAAAACTTTATTGTCGGGTAACGTTGCTGTGAACTTGCATTCTCCGTAGTGAAAAGCCAAATGACCAGTATGGATCAGAAGTGACACAGCATAATTGCTGCGCCGCGGTGGCTAAGGTACTCGACTGCTGACCCGCAGGTTGCGGGATAAAGTCCCGGCTGCGACCCCTGCATTTTCGATGGAGGCGAAAGTGCTGTAGGCCCATGTGCTCAGATTTGGGTGCACGTTAAAGATCCAGGTGGTCGAAATTTCTGGAACCCTCCACCACGACGTCGCTTATAACGAAACGGTGGTTTGGGGAAGTGAAGCTTCACATATCAATCAAATCAATTACAGTTGAATCTCAATAATTCGAACTCGAAGGGGCCCGAAAATTTGTTCGAATAAAAGAAGTTTGAATTAATGAAAGCTAAATAAACGGAGGGCTCTCCATGCAGTGGCGCATGTGCATTTGAGCTAACAACACACGAGGGGGAAATGTCAGAAGACCTACATTTATTCACAAATCACAGGACATCCGTTAGTAATTGAATTAATTGGTGATGCGCATCTACACACGTTTGCCTTGCAGAGGGTCAATCGATTTCGCACGCAGCTTGCAAAGCATTTCTACTTCGGCTTCAGCATCCTCCTAGCAAGAGAAGTTGCGTGCGGAAATATCCAGCGCTGACACTTCTAAAGATGACAACGACTGCGTAACGGAGCGTCCCGCTCTCCACTACGCAGCCGCAGCATGGCCAGCACGTGACGAGAAAGGAGGAGCGTCTCCATGCGGAGAGAAGCAGATTTGCACTTGAGAGAAAACCAACACTCCTTGACAGCTTTCTTTTTTTTTTTTTGCTCTCTTCGTGCGCGTCGTTGAGAGGAGAAGGGTTATGTGGCAGGGACGGGAAAGGGGAACCATGGCATCGGTGCGTTTGAGAACCCCCTCTCCCTCAAGGCGCAGAGCCGTGCTCCCGCAAGGGGCAAGGGCTGCAGAAAGTAGTGCCTTTTTGCTTTCCTGCAACAACACATTCATTCAACCCAGTGACAGCTTTCTATTTTATTTCCTCTCTATCTTCATGCCCGGAGTTCGAAGAAGGGTCTTTATGTGGCAGGAACGGAAAAGGGAAAAGTGTGACACGGGCGCGTCGCAGATCGGCATTTGAGAGAGAGCAAACATTTCACCGCAGCCTTTTCTTTTCCTTCACGCGCAGCGTTGAGGTGTCGCAGGTGCCGCCGTGGGATTGAACAGGGTGTTGAGAGCATTTTCGGAGCGCGGTACGTTCGAATTAACCGCCAGAAGTGTTTAGGCGTTCGAATTACCGGGCGTTTTCGCCCATTGGAATACACATAGCTTTGACAGGACCTCATTGTGAGTTCGAATTAACCGGAAGTTTGAATTAATGAGATTTGACTGTATTTATGCTCTTATTAATTAGTCTCATTATTGCACCTCCCGGTCTGGTCTATACCCTTCCCATTACAGGGGAGAGGAACTCTCACCTCTTCTTTTTTTTTCTGTAGCCTGGAGTGCATCGCAAGCACGAAGACGTACCAACTAGCCACCATTACTGCCTTATTAGCTGGCACTTTGTTCTGGTATTTCACGATTTATGGACGTGATCAAGATCGAATGATCTACACCCGTCACTTGCTTGTTTGCCATATCCAAACTGCTGTTTCAGCTAGACAGTCAGTAGACAATGCCATGGTATTTGGGTAACACGGACAGACACGATCGAAGCTCCACTTACTGATGGTGCGGTCAATAAGCTCTCGGTTGCGGCGTTCCTCTCGCTTGAACTTGTTCTGCAAGGAACACACAGAGAAGTGAGCACTCAGAGAACACACAGAACACTCAGGAACACACAGAGAAGTGAGCACTTTGTAGACAATACGTCAGATGAACACAACACACACATGCATGCAAACAACTTTCCCAACCAGCACCACGCCTCGGACTACTACCGCCTTGCCATGCAGGACCACTAGAGCCAGTGGCTCAAAAAGTGAGGGGGAATCGTCACTAGGGGTGTGCGAAAATTCGAACTCTCAGAAAATAAGTATAACCGTATAATTTCCTGAAAGTCAAATTATTGATTGATTGAGTTGTGGGGTTTAACGTCCCAAAACCACCATATGATTATGAGGGACGCCGTAGTGGAGAGCTCCGGAAATTTCGGCCACTTGTGAAAGTCAAATTAAAGCAGTTCCATATGGTGGGCATAAATCAAACTCTTCAGGAAAACGTTGGTAAATCAGAAAGATTACTAATAATATCTGAAGTTTTATGTCCCAAAACTGCAGTATGATTAAGATGGATGTCGTATGAAGGGCTAAGAAAATTTCAACCATGCAGTTTTTTAAGACTAGTTAGTTTCAAACGTTGCCTATATGCTGCCTTACACTGATTTTGCTTTTTGATTTCTGGGGTTTAACGTCCCAAAACCACCATATGATTATGAGAGACGCCGTAGTGGAGGGCTCCGGAAATTTCGACCACCTGAGGTTCTTTAACAGGCACCCAAATCTGAGCACACTGGCCTACAACATTTCCGCCTCCATCGGAAATGCAGCCGCCACAGCCGGGACTCGATCCCGCAACCTGCGGGTCAGCAGCCGAGTACCTCAGCCACTAGACCACTGCGGCGGGGCGTTTTTGCTTTTTTTATAGCCCACTATAACCCATTTGTTAAACTAGTTTCAGTTGATGTGAAGTGTCTGTAGTGCCCTTACTTTTTGTTTTCGTTTTTCTCGTACATGAAAAGTTGTCACTTGTTTCTGCACTCACTTTGAGCATACCACAGCGTGAAACATTGTGTATGTGCTTCGTCTCTAGTCTTCAGGAACATTCTTTCTTTTTTCTCGTTCTTGCAGATTTGTGCGACAGGATGGTTGCATCTTGTTCACTTAGTTTTGCACTTGTTACTTCCACTCCTGCTTGGAACCTCATCTAGAGGCTAGCAGTACTGTATAGACAATATATATAAAAAAAATAGGAACAGGAGGACGGGCTGCATACCTCAGGCAGGAGGCGCGTGCTTTGACCAAACAGGCATTGTCACCCGTGGTCTTGTTCGCAGCCTGTTTCAGGGGGGATTAGCACGACACTCATCTTTTTGTAAGGACCGTGCTCTCGTTGCAAAAGTGTGCGTTAAAGCCACAGACAGCACGAAAGTCACTTGACTCACTTTCGTAACGGAGCAAGTGGCCACCCTTACTTTCAACAAGTCTACAATGGTGGATCAGTGGTTAAGGAGCTTGGCTGCTGACCTGAAGATGGCGGGTTCAACCCCCGGCCACCACAGTCGCATCTCGGTGTAGGCAAAATAGCGGAGCTCCGCGTGATATCAGTGCACACAAAGAACACCAGATGGTAGAATTTCCCAAATCACTACACTATGGTGTCCTCCATAGTGGGATATCAAACCCAAAACATCAATAATACTTTGTATGAAGTTCCACTTTGTCGCTACAGCATTCATGGTCTCAACTCAGCAGCAAAACTGACTTTTTCGACAAGTGGACTTGCGTTCATTATTTCAGTCTATGAAATTTGAATACTGTTATCAATATGTTCAACAGCGTTACCCTAAAAGCAGTTTTCCTGTAGTGCGCAGCTGCGAAACTGCATGTACAAGTAAAAAAAAAAAAACATTTTTGGTGCAGCATAACAGCACGAAGACACTGTCGGTCGATAAACGTGGCAACGAGGTCTTCCGCTGCGACATGTCTAAGGTTTCGTGGTTGGCCATGCCAAAGCACAGTCTCCTCACCTTGAGCTCCTGGCGCGTGCGCTTCGGGAAGAAGTTGGCCATGAGCGTGAAGTCGGTCCCGCAGGCACTCAGCGCCTTGTAGAATTGTGCAGTCTGCTTCGCCGTCCACGTGCTCCGTCCCTTGGGGTTCTTGCGGAAGGAAGCGTAGTTGGTCTCGCCGCCGGTCTCGTAGACGATGGCGCGCATAGAGGGCTGCACAGCGGGCCGACGTATTACCAAGCTTTCCTCGTCCAGGGTGATCTCGCCGTTGGGACCGAGTCGAACTCGTGGACCCACGTCTGCGGAATCCTCCTCCTGTTCAACCACGTCATCGACCCGCTGTTCCTCCGCCTCGGCAACTGACTCGGTCTCCACAGGTGCCTTATCCTTGCTCGTCTTAGATGGCTTCTCCCTGCAAGAAGTAACATGCACCTTTCACAAATGATTGAACGACATGAAATAGATACAGATATACACCCAAATCTCATTATACTAAGCTGCATAAGTTTGTTATATGCAAAAATTTGCTGAAGATATATTCCTAGCAATAGGTTGATTGCAAGAGTACTCTTGCTTCGTTATAAGTGATATTTTGTTGTATACGGGTTCATTATATCGATGTTTGAGTGTATACGCAACTGCCACAAGCATACACTCTCGCTTACTAGCACCTTCGGTGTCAGATTTGTAATCGTTTTCAAGCAATATTTAAACATGCAAGTCAAGAAGCCCAACAAAAGTATTCCTAACATCCAGCAGAGCTGGTGCAGTCAAAATGCTTTGCCCTCATGAACAATATGGTCAGAGTTGTCGTGGCGACTCCTGTTCGACTGTGCACAAGTCGCGCTTTGAGGTTACAAAAGACGCTTATTTCTGTGAATAAGCAAGCACAGCTCTGCGGCTTTGGGGGAAGGAGATATGAAAAATGTGAGGCCACCTCCTTGAGAAATGAATACCCAAAACATCGAGCACAAGGCCCGCTTGCCCCTTTTTCCACGAGAAAAACGAGCGGACACCAATGGCACTGAGAATGAAACCCACTACCTCCCGCATTGAAAGCAGATACTCTATTTGCTTGGCCACCGCTATCATGCACTTCCCTGTCAGTCCCTGCGAAACGGTACCAAAGGGAAGTGGGTTGAAGAACAGTGAGCCCAACTGAAGACGATGGAAGTTGGAAACTGCCGTCCAGGAAGCATTTAAATAAATTTTCAAGTCATGTCGTTAGGAGAAGATGGAGGAGGAAAAAGAAACGCTACAAGGATGTGAAAGCCACTAGCAACAGAAGTAGCACTTCATCTTTATGCTTTTTATCTTTTTTGTTCTAATGATATTTAATGCTTACACGCAGCTTTCCTACTCCGCCTGAGTGACAAACTTAGTTTCCATTTTAAGCCTCGGGTCTCTACATATCAAAGCCACATTGTGCGGTACAGAAAATTAAAAAATGCGCGAGGTACAAAAAAATGTGGATTTGTATGTGTTTTTTTTAATAATCGATGCTTTCTGTGTCGCAAGCTTCTCGGTGATGAGCAGTTTCCGATATGAAAATCTGATCCTCTATCGAGTTCACTTATAATTTTACATTGCTACTTTTCATTGTTATCGGGATATAATGCGTGACCATCGTCGTAGCAACGCATATGTTGTGCTGCTAAGCACGTGAATGAAGGTCCAATTCCTGCCATGGAGAAAGGAAAAGGTCGGGAGGGAGCATTGTGCAATGCGATAAAAACTTAAAAAAAAAAACACTAGTATATCACGCATGCACAAATCAAATTTTTCTGACAGAGTAACCCCTCCGGAATTTTTTATGTTTTGGAATTTTGTAGGCAACACGTACGTGTCCCATCAGTGGTGTTCATGCGGTGCATGGTTTAACGAATGTTGCTAGAAAGGACTTCATCGTTCAGAAGTTAGAAGTGTTTGGGTCAATGACAGTGGCGAATAGAGAGATTCACAGAGGAACGTACGGCATGGGTTTCCCGGGCGGGTTGTAGTAGATCAGGTCCTGCATGGTCATGGCGCTGCGGTCTGTGGGCGGCTTCCGGGGAGGGGGGCGCCTGCTGCGACGCCGCACCTGCACAGAGCAGAATGCCAAGGAGCACTGAGTTGGTGCTTCGCGACATCTGGTGGCACACGGCCATAACAATTTTTGAAAGGAAGTCAGGCCAGAAGAGAGAACAATGGGAAAATAAATGAAAATAACGTGACATCAAGCACAGCTACAGATGAGAAAGTGCACTTACCAAATAAAAATGAAAAACCAACTCTTGTGAAGAGTCTTTTTCCAATTAGTAATCCCAAAGACACTAATATTGCAAGGAATTATTTTTTAATAATTCTTTTAGGCATATTAGTCAATTGTTTTTTCCAAAATGGCAACAATTACACTGCTGTTCTAAAACAAATGGCAAAGGCTAAAAGACATATAAACGAAACACAGGTGGCATTGCTGCCTATAAATTCCTGCGTAGGCCTGTGATTAAACAGATTCCAACACTGCCTGCGAAGAGCTACCGTTGATAACCTAACAAAAAAATACAAGCCTTGCCCAACAAACGGCGGTGTCCCTTACAAAGAGGATTTACACATGCAATCCATCCAGTCATGTTCACTAATTTCCATGACGTCAATGCATTTCCGTGTATTTAAGATTTTGCCATACCAATATACATTTGCGCTGCCGCTTTCGCTTGAAAACTTAAATGTCCCAGCCATATTTTTATTAGATTCTGGCATCAACAAGCAGCCAAACGTGACATTTCAAACAAGGACAACAAAGCTATATGTTTTCCAACAGGCTCTAGTGCGTACGTTAGCAGAAGAGAAGCACTTTGCACTTTGAGAGCCAGATGGAATGAATCTCTCACAGAGTTTGAAAGTTGCATCGAATTTCCGCGGGTGGAGCTTATCCCTTTCGGGCGCCAGTTATGATGTACTATCTACAAACACGCCACGTTCGCACAGGGTGATTTCAAGACACTCAATATTAGGTCCCCCCCCAAAAAAGGAGAAATGTGTTGTTTTTATTTGTTTTTGTAAATAATGTTAATTAGCATGCAATGAAATATCTTATACTAGAGTAAATCAGCTTCAATTCGAGCACAAAAAGAATTCAACATTTGCCCCTAAATGCATGTCCATTTTGTTTTTTGGCTGTATTCGTTTTGGGTGAAGAAAAATAATACTCTTGACGGTGGCCCTGGAGTGCAATACGTCAAATGATCGTCGAACATGGTGGTGTTACCAGCAAAGTGATATACTGCAGTAATACACAGCTCAGTCAAGTTAAATTAGCGCTGGTTGTCCACTCAAGAACGCTTTACAAATATGCACACTGTGTTTGAAGAGAATTGAAAAGCATGCAGTGCGTGACTAGCCCGCAAAGTTGAGTACAACTGTACACATCACCACTGAAGGGGTAATAAAGCATCAATCTGCGACAGTGCGCAGCTGCATTGGCTTTCAACTTTCATCGTGCAATCTAAACAATGAGACCCCGATCTTCAGGATTGCGTTCCAAAAGAAGTTTTTTTATATAATCACGGTTGATCAAGCCTGTAGAACAGCACATTTACGAATCTAATGGAGGCAATCATAATCTAATAATCCACTGACTGGATGTGCCATTGTCTTTGATCCCTCTAAAAAAATCCCCGTCACTAGTGCAGACATGCCCCAAGAGAAATGTGACTTTGCTTTGACCTTACCCTGACCTCGCCTGCAGAGGTCAATGGCAAGCTGCACAAGTGTTGCTAAGGCATTTTTAAGCGTGTAGTAGACTTAAGCAAGCAAAATTTTACTTGGCACTACACACATAGCCAAAAAAAGAAGCCACAGCATGTCACTCACTCATCATTGCACAATGTCAAACTAGTTTGTTACTGTACTGAACATGCCCCAAATATTTAGAATTGAATGCAAGTCTATGCTTGCACAAAAGCACCCCGTAAGGTAATACCACTGGTGGAAGGAGGTTTTAATGGTGACTACGAGTTTATCGCCTGCCTGCTAAAAGGTGGTTCTTGGACTAAATCGGCTCAAGCATGCATCTGCTGTGTCCACCACCCATTAACATCTACACAACACCTTTTCTGAAAGCATGCATGTGCACTCCATATGTCAGAGAAATGTACAAGCTAAACAGTAACGAAGTCGCCTTGCATCACCGCTTAAGCTGCTCGCACGAACAAACCTGACAAACATCATCTCACCTGCTTTTCCCCTTTGCGAGTCTGCGGCTCCGACGGTGTACTTGGTGTAGCTGCCGGCTCCTGGGGGGTTAGTGGCTCCGATGTTTCAGATGGCCTGGCCACCCTGCAAGCGTACGTTTCAATACAATTCGGACTAATGAACTGCACCATTTCCGTCCGACACAAGGCCACACCCAACACAAATCGCTATACCCTTTGAGACACTCCACGTGAAGATGTTTCCATTTCGAACATGTAACCTGAAACTTCTAGTGGTTTCCTTCACACTGTATCCCAAAACCTTTGGCTTGTGACAACCACCTCTGAACAGAGCAGCGCATTCAACAACGGTAGAGACGTGCACAAGCAGAACAAACTTGGTGAGCTAAACATGTTTGTGACGAATCAGCATGATATATACATAAGGCCATGAAAGAAGACACACAAGGATTGCATCTACATAAACCACTGCAGGATCAAACAAACCTGGATTATAAAATCAGTTTAAGGCACCTCTTTTTGCTGGTGTGTTGTATCTCTGCATCAATTTATTTGTTTTCATAAAGTTAGTTGACTAACTCACCTCCTTAGCAATTAGAAGTAATTTCGTCTATTAAACAAGAACGAGCACTTCAATTTGCACTTCTTTCCTTCACCTTCTTTCATTAAAACATTGGCTGATATTGCAATTCTCAATTGAAGATTGTATATCATGTTTTACACAATTTATTTTATAATGAAGTGTGATGATAAAATTTGATTTTATGTTATGATAAAAACCGTTGTGTTGTTATTACTAGTCATATTCCTTACAAACATTCGCAGTGAGATTATAGTTTGCTTCTCCTACGTTATTTTTTTTAAACATTAATCTACCCAGTTCGAGGCCAGCACTTCAAAGTCGGTGTAAAGCGAACAGGCGAGCCTTCGTGCACTATTCGTGCGGACTGTTCACACACGATTAGAAACATTTCCGAAAGAGTAGATGGCCAAACGTCGATGGCCCGAGTCACGTAATATTGCATCACCTTGAGCACTTCCGCGATTCATCGAATAGCGCAACGAAGCGCTTCGGGACAGAGCGGCTTTCCGTCCAGTAAAGTACTGGTGTTGAAGGACCACGAGAGCACTTACTTTTCGGGAGACGCGCAAGCGGGAATGACGGGCGCCGGCCGCTTGATTGGCGACTTGGTGACCGCGGGTTCGGCCCGCGTTGGCTCCGCGACGTGAGGAGTTTCAGCTGGCGTCTCCGCGACGGCATCCGAGGCGCAAGGTGCCTCTTCTGGTGGAGCCGCCGCGGTCGGAGTGGACTCCTCAACCACCGGCACCGTTGCCGGCTGCTCCGGAACACTCGCGACGTCTGGTTGGTCCGCCGCGCTGGGTTCGTGAGGCGCTGCCGCGGCAGCGATCGTCGTTGTGCCGACGGCTGCACTGTCACCGGCACCCGAGGTCGCCGCCGCTGAGGCAGCCGGTGTCGGCTTCCGCTGTCCCGACCCCGCGGGGCCGTCGCTCTTGCGTCCCAAGTTTGGTTTGATCTGGATCCGGGAGCGTCTCGTCGACATGATTGCGGAAGATTATCGCCACTACCACGTGTAAATCGTAAGACGGCGCCGCGCTCCCGTAAAATGCTTTACCGAAAACGAGACGCACGCCTCTAAAAGGAGTCGACTGCGCACGGTGACGCTTGGACGCGTGGGGACGACGACATGTCCGGTCAAGTGGCTGCGACCGCGGCCTCAGGGGCGAGTTCACCGGTCAGGTGCACGCCGTCGCGTAGCTCAGCGATGCGCGGCCAGTCGCGTTGAACGTACAACGCAAAGCAGTACCGCAGTTGAAATAACGAAACTGCGAAAACTCTGCCCAGCGCGACTACGAGCTTGTAAAAAAGAGCAAGAAATTCGGAAGTCCCCGACCCGAGCCTGCCGAGGCGGCGACACTCAAGGAAGGTTGGCGTTGGCACGCGTTGGCCCGCATTTCCAAGTCGCTGTGCTGGTTACAAGCCACACCAGAACCAAGTCAAGTTCAGTCAAATTCCAAAAGTCAGTTCACTAGCCGGCCGTAGCCAACTGGCTTCGTCTACCGGTCCAGTCCATATGTGCTGGGATGTGTGCGGTGAAGTTGTTGACAACGGCACGAAATAGCGAGATTCCGTAAAAACATTCGCACTAAGATTATAGTCTGCATCACCCACGTTGATCCTCTTAAAGAGCAGCCACCAAAGGCACTTCTGATTTCCAGGTGCTGCGCAAGCGCAAGTTAGTACGTTGGTTTATGACCGGCACTTGGCTTACTTGAAATTGATCTCGCGAATATTTTTCTTCAACGACAACCCGGAAATGTTCATAAAACCGTTCAAAATCAAGTCGAACGTCCGGCTCAGGAACACTGATCGGTGAGTCCTTCATTGTTTATTGTTGTGTTCTGTTGGTAGTTTCTGTACTGACGTTTGCAAACGGGATGCATGTCTGTTCGATTCACCTTGACCACTGTCAACTGGTGTAGCAGGGCACGAGAATTTGACGAAATGCTGCATACTCCTAAAGTTGTATTCAATTATAGGCAAGCCAAACGGCGCATTTAGTGATCCACGTCTCATCGATGCGTGTCTTGGGCCACCGTCACATCCTAACATCCCTGCTTCTCTCCTTTGATGCAGCAAGCGCCTTCGTTCTCAGCTGGAGTCCCAGTACCCCCACCTGAGTGCTAGTCAGCTGGACGAGCTCTGCCCTGTCGGGCGAGGTGGCGAACTCTTCCAGCTGCGTCTGCTGTGCCACGGAGGCGAATCTGTGGTGGCCTACAGCCTGGACTCGGAGCCCCTGTTCTTCGAGCACGACGGGGGCCGCCTGGTGCCCAGCCTGTACACTCTGTGGCGCCTGCCCTCCATGCTGCCTTATGTCTGCACCTGGAAGCCAGTCGTGGAGCGGCTAGCAGGTGAGCATGCAGGCATGCGTGCAAGCACTTTCACTGCTGCTTTGAACAGCTGATTCAGCTGTCTACATCATGCGCATTCATGAGCGAAAATACTCAGACCAGTGCTGTCGTTTACATTTGCTATTTGCGCTGTCTAGTGGTGAGTCGTCTCCTGTCAAGAGCATTTCTCTGACAAATTTCATTGAAGTAATGCTTTCGACAGAAGACAGCTCATAACCAGACGGCGCATATAGCGACTTAAGCTTATGCTCCCATGGCCTGTAGTTTTGCTCATGGGTGTACAATCGGCGTCATATGAATCACTAATGGTGGAGGGCATGCCGCAGTCATTACAGAAGGTGCAGTGTGCAGACTCCAGCCATCACCGTAAGCAGGTCCGCTCCGCACATCTGGTCTGGTGGAGCTGCGTGATTTCCCTATGGTACAATATTTTTGCCTATGTTCTAGTTCAGATATTCGAAACAAAGGCAATGGAAATAAAAGTGAAACGCCCAAAAGTGCCCGACATGCCAGCGCCTGTCATCACAACCTCAGAATTAGAACACAAGCAAAAATATTGCATTATAAGGGGATCACCGAGCACTGCCAAACCAGATGTGCCCACCTGTCAATACTAATAACTGGACAGAGCGCTTATGCTAGTACTTGGGCCGCCCACTCAGCTGTTCATGTTTCATTTGGTGCTGACAGTATGTGCGCAGTAGCGTTGGCCGTTTCAGCTGTGAGTGGAAAAACTCGGGACATACTCTGGTATGCCTGACACTGAGTGACCGTAGCGTGACAACTGAATAGCAATGGTAGAGGCAGATTATGGTGCAATTAATGACCCACTAACAAACATGTAAGTTGAAGAGGTGTGCTTGACTGTGGTGCGAAATGCATTTCGTGGAAAGGGAGACAGGAAGGAGAAAAAAGCAAAGCACTGAGTTCCAGTTTTTTTTCCATCGACCCCTAGAGCCTTTCACTACGGCATCTCTTGTAATCATGTGGTGTTTCTGAGACGTTAAGCCCCACATATGTATCCACCCATGGTCCGGTTTCATTTGTAGCCCTAATTAACAGCCTCGTTTTGTTCTAGGCAGGTAGTGCACTGCTGGAACTTACGATCTGGAAACAAACTTCAATATGTTGATCTCAGCAGTCACAGATTTAAGCCAAGTTATTCTACTTCAACAGCACAGGGAAGGACGGGACAAAGGACGAGAATATACACAAGCGCTGAACCATGAACAAAATAATTTCTTTTTTTGTTACAGCGAGAAATATAAGTCAGAAAGCACAAAAAAAACTATACAGCCGTGCATTTTTCCAATTGGCAATTGAATAGTAAATACAAAAAAAGATTGAGTTGATGGTTTCAAAGCTTGTCCTGTAGCTACTCTCTTGCTGTCCAGTTTGTTCTTGCACTGTTCAAATTAACATTTAGCAATGAGCTCACATCATGACACTTCTGCAGTTGTGTACCTCACTTAATGAGAACCAACAGGCAATCAAGCCAAATAATTATGAGAGGACGTTATTCACAGTAACTATAATACAAATGGGAAGAAAGCAAAGTGCATGGAAGGACAACTTGCCACTAGAAGGTATCAGACCTGCGACCTTCGAATAACGTATTGATGTCCTGCAATTGAGCTACGGTGGCAGTCGCCTTCCTGCCCACTTTGTTCAGCATAGCTAACACGCCCGGGCTTAAATGCATGCTTAGTCATACCTGCCAGCTCTTCCAATTTTTCTGAATCTTGCCTGAAAACATATTCAAATTTTTTGTTTATTTCTGAAAAGCTGGGGGTTGATAGGAAAAATTAAAGTGGCACTGCAGTGCCTTACACCAGCTTGAGAGGGCAGTACATACCCTTGTTATCATCAGTAGCTGTAATGCGTAGTGACCCCTGTCGGCAGAGAACATTCTCTAGTATGCAAAGTCTGCTAGAGCAGAGTCAAAGCAGCTATTAATTGTTGCCCAATAGAGATTTTACTGACTAATCTCTGGCGAATTATAGTTGCAAAAATGTGAGCAAGCTTTTTGCCAAAGGTAAATTGCTTAGAGTTAGGAAAAAAGAAAAGCATGTTGGCCAACACGCCCTGTCCCTCGTCTAACTTCGAGAGTTTATTGATTTCTATGTTGCCGGGTTGTCAGCTTCTTAGATGAAAATAAGTCTGTTAGATTCAAAAACTTGTTATAAAGGTATATTCCTAGCACTATATCTATTGCAAGATCATTTTTTATTTACTTCGTTATAACCAATATTTTGTTTCATCTGGGTTCGTTATATTGAGGTATGAGTGCATTTGCCTTGAATTCAGCTGAAAACATTGGAATCTCCTTCATCTATGGCAGGTGGTGCAGACTTCATGGCACCAGGGCTGGCTGGCTACAGCGAGAACCTTTCCGAGGCTCGTCTGGGTGACTCAGTGGCGGTTCGAGTGGCCGGAGAAGGCAGGGCCGCCGTGGCTGTCGGGTGCCTTCTGCAGAGCCCCAAGGCATTAGTGGCTGAGCAGCGATCTGGTAAGGCCGTTGCCATCGCGCACGTTTTGGGTGACCAACTGTGGGCACACGGTGGCAAGCGGCCGCTGCCCCAGATCGACGGCGACAGTTGTGGCGAAGAAGAGGACGAGGAAAATCAACAGCCAGAGGTGGGCGCCTCCCGCCGGTTGAGGAATGCACGCTACTCATACCCAACCTCCTCCCCTTTTGCTGAATTGCACAGATTTTTCATGTGCGCAGCCACCCAAATCATTGAATAGTGTGTGCAAGCAATGAATTTGCTGTGCATCAGCGTCTACACTAATGAAAAGCCATGTTTGCGCAGTTAGTAGTTTTGATCTCCCATGTCATTTCTTTGAAGCTGCGTGTGCAATATCTTCGTGTTACAAACTGTGTGCTTGTTGTATGTGCTTCATATTGTTCTTGAGATGTAAACATCGAGCCTGGAGTTGAAAACAAGTTTCAGCACAAGCTGCATCCAGTTGTCATTTGAATACAAGATATTCTAAATATGTTATACACATTTTTTTTATGGTGAATCGGTGCACGATGGGTAACTACGGGACATAAAAAAAGACCTCTTCGAATTCTTACACTTTCAGTCCCCAGAAACGGACAAACCGGCAGCACTACTTGAAGAAAACTCTTTAGCAGTCGACGAAGAGCAATGCACACCTCCTGAGAAGCCAGCAATGGCGGAAGTGCAGCCGGAGCCATCAGAGGATGCCAAGGAAGAGCAGCGGGTTGAAGAAACGGTATGTTCAGATCCTCCTGCTTTGTCCTGTGGCTTTTTTTTGTGAACTAAAGGAGCAGATAAAGAGCATGCTCCTGCAGCATTTTTTTACTGCTTTGTATATTGTGGCTGCATCACAAATTTTCTTTGAGTGGTTTCAACGGATGCTTAATGCATCTATTGCGCATTTTACGTTCTGAACGTCGGGCAGAATAGAGGACAAAGCAGTATCAGAGTGTCTTCGTTCCTTTCCGCGCACTATTATTAATGTGCAGTAGAATCTTAATGAAGGGAAATCACTGAAACAGAATTGCCTCTAACTTTGTTGGTGCTACATTGGGATGCTGTGCCTCTGCACATCTCTCAATAAACGAAATTCCTGTTAGGTGGAAAATATTGACTTGTTTCCTGCAGATTCCATTTAAAGATATTATATAGTACATGGTTTCGAAATTGAATAGACGAAACACAGATGTGGTATTCAAGTGGCATTTCATATCTTTCGAACATTCGCACATCGTTACGTTGTGCAAGAATTTGTTGCCAAATATCATCGCTGGTTCAAAAATTAACTTCGATATTCTTGTACAGTCGAATCTCATTAATTAGAACATGCTTAATTTGAACTTCCAGTTAATTCAAACGAATGCTGGAATCCCGTCAAAGCTATGTGTATTCCGATAGGTGAAAATGCCCTGTAACTCAAACGTGCAAGCACTTGCGACGGTCAATTCGAACATACCGTGCTCCGAAAACGCTCTCAGCACCACACCCAATCTCCCGCTGTGGCACCTCTGACATCTCAATGCTGTGCGCGAAGAAGGAAAAGAAGAAAAGGAAAGAAAAGACTGCGGTGGAATGTTTGCTCTTTCTCTAATGCTGATCTGGGACACCCCGGTGCCACGCTTCCCCCTTTCTCATCTCTGCGATGTAGAGACCCTTCTCCTTTCAATGCTGCGTGCAAAGAGAGCAAAAAAAAAAAAAAAATCTGCCCCGGAGTGTTGGTTCTCTCTTAAATGCCGATCTGCTTCTCTCCGCGTGGAGATGCTCCTCTTTTCTGGTCATGTGCTGGCCACGCCCTGGCTGTGGCGCAGAGGGTAGCAGCGGAGACGCAGTTCTTGTTACGTCTTCAGAGTGTCGGCACTGGAGATTGCCACATGCGGCTTCTCTTGCCAAGGTAGAAGTGGTTTGCAAGCTGTGTGCGAAATCGATTGACTCGCTGCAAGGCAAACGTGTGCAGATGCACATCAACGATGGCTTCAATTAATCACGGATGTCCTGTGATTTGTAAATAAATGTAAGTCTTCTGAAACTGCCCCCTCATGTGTTAGCTCAATGCACATGCGCCACTGCATGGTGTGCCCTCTGTTCATTTAGCTTTCATTAATTTGAACTTCTTTTTAATTCGAACAAACTTTCTGGCCCCTTTGATTACAAATTATCGAAATTTGACTGTAGTTTCCTATTGATTCCCACAGCATAAGAACTTTTTGGTGAATTTTAAAAATTGCAATATCTTGGAAAAACAAAGCTCACATTATTGTGCTTACATTTCGCATAGGCCTTTCAGCACAAGTTATGATGCAGCATGTGCAAATGTGTCAAATTCACACATCATAATTCTAAAGCACTCGATAACATGTTTCAAAAAAAAAAAATGCATAGGTGGACTTGTGTGTGCTTCATTAATATATCCTAAGTATCCTAATAGATCCACTCTGCAGTAGGCCGAATTCCGTTTTCACATTACAAGAAGTGACTGTTTTGAAATGAGAGCGCCCACCAACTCGCCCAATCAACCATATTCACAAGAGGTGAATTGTAGGCTCAAAAAGTATGTGTGATTTGTTTGATATTGTATTTGTTTCAGGCAAAGAAAAATAATGCAGACTTTGAATTAAAGGGAACCTGAAGGTACGGCTAAAATAGGCTACGTTTACGAAGGGATTGAGAGAGATGCAAAGTACAAGTATGAAACCAATCATATCAAAGGCAGTTCTGTTGAAGCAGTAGTTTCGTTTAACAGATATTCGTTTATCGAGAGTCTGCTGTACCTTTTCATGTTGGTACAGGAATGAAGCAAGTCAAGCACTGTAGTGTCTTCACCGAAGTGTTCACTACAGTCCTACCTGGCGGGTCAAGGTTAGGTTGAGGCATAGTGACTTTCCAGGAGGGTCAAGTTGGCTTCTCCACATTGTGTCTTGCTTCTCCTTCGCTATCAGTTGAAAAAACTGGCAAAAAAAAAAAAAGTTTCGTCCGCATATGTGAACTGTGCGCTTTTTTGTGTTGTTCGCGGTGTTGCTGAGCTCGTCTCTTGAATTAGTTTAGCTGTTTGTTTCCAAAAATTTGCAAATCCAAATTACTCTTCTTGTCGTTCCTAGACGGACACCATGGATGCCCTGCTGGAGAGCTGCGTGCTGTCGGCACTGCGATCTAAGCTTCCCTTGCCGTTGCTTGCAAGCAGCCTGTACAGCGGTCACGTCCTTCCACGCTGTCCTCCGGGTCGGCAGATCGACATCCGGCGTACTTCGTACAAGAAGCTGTCCACCTACCTGGCACATTTGCAGTCGGTGAGCAGTTTCGAACATCCCTTATTCACTAAACGCCTTCCGCTTTTCGCCGCCATCGATATCGCACACCCCTAAACCACCTTTGGTATATTTTTTAACACTTCAAGTAAGCACGCACTCCTGCGCCTATGTCGAGGGTGGCTTGTCTCGGCGTTGTTACTCTCTCAATACACGAGCCAAGCCAAGTCATCGGATATGTCACTATGCACTTGCACGGCCACGTTGAGTAGCAGTGCCCAACATTTCGAGGCGAAATGTAGGCAGCAAAACTATGTCGCTCCAAAATATTAGTGATCTGGAAGCTGCGTGCATAGTTGCATGAGCACGCTGAAAAGTTGCTCAAGACATTCTGACAAGAAAGGGATCATTACATCACACAGAGGTTGTGCCGATTTAATGCATACCACTAAAGCAGGCCTATATGTACATTTATATAAAGTAATATTGATTATAAAGAAATAAACAATAATTCAATTCTAAAAAAATAGCCAGCCACATATAGCAATCAACAGTCACGTGGCTGAGTACAACGAATCGTTCATATTTTTGCTGCCAGAGGAGCCACAGGTCAGTTTTCACATTTTTTAATGAAGAAATAAAAATATTTAATGCCTTTGGGCCCTGAGGGTAAAATAAATACATAAATAAATGTCTACGTCTCACGGAAGAAATAGGGTTGGTTTAAGTCTATGCAACGGACGATCCTTCCATCGTTGGAGTCATGTCATTTCGTGTTCTTGGCAGTTGTCGGTCCCTTTAACTGACATTTAGTTTGAAACACTACTTCATTGTAAGAACTGTATTGGAAGTTCCCTGAGCCCCTGCACTCGTAGCAGGAATATAACAGTGTGACCAGTAGCGACTGGGCTATTCGTCTCTCAGTGGAGAAATGGGAAGCAACTTTCGTGGCCCTTACTCCTCCCAGGAAGGTCTACTGGCACTGAAGGAGACCAGTCCGGGCGTCCAGAGCATTGTGTCGGTTCGCAGGGAACACCCTCGCCTGCGCGGCTTTGCTCAGATGGAACTGCCACCGGCCGAGCCACCCAAGAGGGACGGCTACCGCTTCCCCACCATCCGGGAGCTGCGCTCCATCACGGCCGCCGTGCTGCCCCTCTTCCCTGGTCGCAGGTGAGTGCCGTACTCGAGTGGCTACGGCATTCTGCTTGGACAGGTTCGATTTGTGGCTGCTGTGGCTTTAGGCTAGCTATCATGCACCTGCAATCTTCTTTTATGGCAATTATATGGACACTAGAGGCATACTTTTGCTGTCGTCGTTGCGTTCCGTATAAAGCCCCAATTGATAAGCCTGGGGGAACCCTCAGTAACCACCCTCGGCTTTGTCCACACTGGCAGTGATATTACCCGGCAGTGAGGATTCTTGCACATGCGTCCAGTAGGGGCAACCGGGGGAGAGGAGGGTAGATGAAAGTTCGCGGAGTTTGTTCGTATGAGCGCCTTGCTGTCCACCCAGACCAGGGTTTGCCAGCATGACGCGGAGGTCATGCTTGGAAATTTGTCTTATGTGTTGCCCTTGTGGCTGTAACTTTCTAAAGTTTTCGTCGTATTAATAAATGGTGTTTAGTTGATCCTGACGAACACTCTTTTCTTTGGGGTAGAGCCAACCGAACATACCGTAATTACTCGAATCTAATGCGCACCTTTTTTCCGGTTAAGCGAGTTCATAAATCGCATGCGCGTTAGAATCGAGTACGAACAAAAAAATTACGGTCAATCTATTGCCATCGGCAAATCCAAAATGGCCGCCCCTTACGTGCATCGGCATGGCGCGTTGGCCATTTCTGCCTATGTGTTTCCCGTGTGCGGCACTTCGTACGTGTGCTGAGGAGTTCGTCATCTAGTAGTGCATTAGCATCGACGGCGTGGAAGGGCCGACTCCAAAAACTCGAATGCACCAGGATGCCGCTTTTAAAAGAAAAGTCATCGCGTGTGCAGAAACGGACGGAAATCGGGCCGCATCGCGGTCGTTCGGAGTTCCCGAAACGTGCGTGCGGGACCGGCGGAAACAAAAGCAGAAGATTGTCGACAGCAAAGCTTCACGCAAAGGCTTCAGCGGACCACAGCAGGGTCGGTTTCCGCAAATTAAAGAGCTGCTCAGCGAGTATGTGCTTGAGCAGCGAGCGGCCCGTGACGACAGAACTGCTCCAAGTGCTGGCTATGCAATTAGTCTTAGAAAAAGGTCTAATGCGGAGCCAGTTTAAAGCGAGCAGGTGCTGGCTAACTAACTTTATGAAGAGGAAAGGCTTTTCCCTCCGAAGGGGAACATGCATATGCGAAAAGTTTTGCGGAGGAGTACGATGAAAAGCTTCACAGTTTTCAGAGGTTCGTCCTAAACTTGCGCCGCAACAACGGCTACCTGCTTGCGCAAATCGGGAATGGCGATCAGACGCCTCTTTACTTCGACATGCCTGGCACCACAACCGTCGAGAAGAAGTGGGCGAAGCAAGTTCGCGTGCTGACATCGGTCCACGGTGAAACTACGGTGACGGCAATGCTCTGTTACACGTCAGATGGGCACAAGCTTCGCCCGTACCTCATATTTAAATGGAAGACGCTCCCGAAAGGAGTTGTTTTTTCGAGTGGTGTGATCGTGCGGGCCAGCGAGAAAAATGGGTGCGCGTTGCAATCGATGTCTTACATTTTTTTTTTTTTTTCGCGGTGGAAATCGGGTGCGCGTTACAATCGAGGGCGCGGTAGAATCGAGTAAATACGGTACCTCACTCGTCATATGTGTCATAAGCTTACGAAGGCTGCAGATGGACATGGCTCAAGCCGACGCTCCCCCCACTGGCAACCTTTCACGCTATTTGGCCTACTCCAGTGGGCGAAGGAGCATGAAAGGCTGCCGGTGGGGAGAGGGAGGCTGCATAGCTCAGGGATCAACCACAAAGTTCGATCGAAAAATTGCGGATGCAATCTCGTCTGACATAACTAGACTGCTCTTACTTTGTACGTGCTCTGCCCTCACCTCTTATCTCACATTATGGTGCCAGACAGCACGAAAAAGCCATATCCTCGCATGTCAGCATTTTGTAGTTATGCCACTTCAGAACCTGATAGAGTTGAGTCCTAGCCTCAATTCATTTAATGTTGCTATTTGTCCCTAAGGCACTCATTGATTCACCCTTGTGATCAAACTGTGATTTTTTTCTCTGCTTAGTCTTGTGGCATGGCATCATCTTTTCATGTCCAGAGCTTTTCAGTCATATCAGTTGTGGGACTTCTCATAGGCTCCGCGTGTCTGAGTCCGCATGCAGCATTGCCCTAAATCACCGAGGCCAATCGTTGCGTTACCTGTTTGCTGAGAAAGATGTGGTGGCAAGGTGCACATGTTGTCATTGCACCCTGGTGCCTGGTGGCATGTTCGTTTGCCTACCTTCACAACTCCTCGGTCCTGGTTAACCTCCCTGTCGTTCGCTTTATTCTTTCTCCCCCTCTTCACAAGTTTGCACATAAGCACGTTCAGATTTCGCAATGAAATTTTGGAACTACTTTGATTGGGGAGCTCTGGTTACATCATATTGCATTTGTGTACCATTTGACACATCATAGGACACAGCTTCATGTCCGTGTCCTATGATGTATGCGCTTCAACTATTCCATTGTGTTCTCTCTTTTGGCAGCAAAGGACACGCACTGGGACTCGATGAAGTGAGGGCCGTCATCAGGAGCTACGTGAAGGAAAATGAACTTCAAGATCCAGATGACAGAAGGTCAGTACAGCATATCATACCTCGTCCAAACTACGAAGTATGTTGTGGTTTGGATGTACACACTACCGATATTTATTTAATTTTAAACCTGAGCGAACGAGCGATGGCCATGAAATAATACGCGCCTTTTGATAGAGAGCAGTGACAAAATCAGCGAGAATACACACATGCGCACAGTGAAAAGTTTAGAGCAGCTATTTTCTGTCATGCTATCATGCGAAACGGATCCAACTCCGCGTGCTTTACTCCCCTGTTTTTGGCTTGCGGGGGCAGATTTATTTTTTGCGTCAGTAAAGTGCTGCAAGGACCACAGCATACAAAAATAATTAATTCTGAGTCGCATGTTGTAATATCAGCGGGTGTATATCACATCCTGTCCGGCTCGAGTGTGACTACATGGTCTTTTCTTCATAACTACTTCAATGCTGTGTTCAGAACAGAAAAAACGATGGGGATAATGGTACTCAAAAAAAGTGGGGTGGTGTCCAGTTCCTGGAACAGCCTAACAGAAGACAGTTGCACAGGACTACTCATGGCATGCGTGCATGTGTTATCTTTCACTTCACCCACTGCACTCAGTTGTATGGCACTTATCATCTCCGCAGTCAATGCTTGCGCGTTCAGGTTAAAAGTTAAGAGGGTAGACCATGTAATGAGAAAGGTAAATTCTTCACTGCAGTCTGATTATAATGTTTCAACTGCCAGCATAGTGCACATAGAGCGGAAAGCACTGAGCCTTTTAATGCCTGCACGTTGCAGCTTGGTGAAAATGGACCCACGCCTGAGTGACGCGGCAGCGTGCTCGTCGGAGAAGCTCAGCTGGGAGGAACTCTTTAACCGGGTGCTGTCGCGGATGCAGCCCGCGCACGAAGTGACGCCCGCAGACGGCGGGCGATCCACCATCCACCGCGGTGCCCTGCCCCCGATTTCGTTCACGGTGGCTCAAAGAACGGGCAACAAGAAGGTGACCCTCGTCGAGGGTCTCGAGTCGTACGGCATCGACATTGCACACCTGGCACATGAGGTGAGCCCCTCTACTTTTCCCCAAGTACAGTGCACTCTCAAAACTTCAAGCTTGAGGAAACCTCAGGATTTGGTTCAATTGCAAAAAGTTCAAAATATCTATACTTATTGTGGTTACCTCGCTACTCACCGTAGCGGATGATCACCGCGTGTTCACGCTTAGCGAGCCACAGGGCCGCAACTCCGTCACCTACTCGCGTGTAGTGCACCACTCCGTGCGCGCTCAATTAACAAGGCGTTTAACACGGCGCGGCAAGACAGACAGTGTTCGAATAACAGAAATACACCAACACTTTATTGCCTTTGGCAGCACCCCGGGCAACAGTACAATGTCCGCTCCCGGGACGCGGAGAGCAAAGGCTCGTGCACGCGGACGTTCATGATAAGGGGAAACCGCGAGCACGTCGCAGCTGGTAATGGCCAGCTTTGACATGCCGTTCGGGAAAAGGTCTCTTGGGGCTATGCTTCCCACTCTCACGATGGCCACTGGGCCTGGTCGCGAGAGTTAGGGCAAACCTCGTACGCATAGGCCTACGGCAGGTGCGGCTTGGTGTGGTGCAACCACTTTTAGCACTACGCACCGCTGTTGGCTTAGCGTACAGTGCCGAAGCCAGCACTCAACTAAACACACCTGCCAGGATGTCAAGGCCCCCAGGCAGGCTACAGTCCGGCGATTCCCAAAGGGGACGCGGACGAAGGAAACACATGCTTACCCGGCGCCGACCACGGAGGAGGGACCTTTCCGGCGCGCACGTGACTCGGCCTCCCGATTCTTGTAGCCTCTGAGAACACGTGCCGCGCCCATGTGTGGCGCCATCTATCGCCACGCGCTGTTGCCAGAGCACGGGAAAAGGAAAAGGAGCAGCCGTTTGGCGGAATGCCCGCGAAATGGTTGCGGGCACGCCTAAGATCCCCACATTTTCAAAAATGTGGCTTGGGGCAGCATACAGATTAGCATTTGCATGTTTATTGTTTGTCAGTGCTTCAGCAACATCATAGACAGCTCTGCATGATTGCCAGTATTGTTTTTAGACATTAGTGATCATACTGGTGCTTAATAATATACATCACCTGCACGCATATTCAATTGAAAGATGAAGTGCATGGTGTCTCATGTCAGCTGATAGCCCTTTCTCATTCTTAGAATGCTTTTTTGCATGACACTTGTGTGCTGCGGGGAAAGTGAGTTTAGAAAGGGTTTGGCACATGATAGATCATTGCCTCCTTTACTAGATGCCTGAGGAGCGGTTTCAAACAGGTGGCGCGTAACCGACACTATCATCACGTCATCTGCTTGGCGTCCCCCCTGCCTCCCCGCATCTCATGGGGGCATGCTAATCGAGATTTCTTTGAGGTCATCTATGGTGCACGATCATTTTGGAGGCAATGCAATATGCCAAATGATTGCATGTAGCACTAGAGACCAACATTAATCGAAAGAAAAAGAGAGGAAGGGTTTGCCAGCTGATTTGTTCTTCCTGTAGCAGGCATCTGGTAGCAGGCAATAGATAAATCCTGTAGCAGGCAATAAATGAATCAAGGCTTCACTGTGTGTGGAAATTCTTTGTTTGTTTTTGTTCTCTCTCTCTCTCTCTGCAAGTCAGCATGTGATCGTGGATGCTTCTGGTTTGGCTTGCTTGACCACATTTATTTATTTATATGCAACATAAAAAATGCCAATGCTTACATAGAAGGGCCAAACCTGCAGACATGAATAAGCAAAAAGTTTGAATTTACCGAACTTGTGCAGTGGGGCATTTCGACTCGAAAACATAGTGATGCATCAACCAGAAATGTGAGATTTGTTTGAAACAAACGAAAGTTTGAGTTATCAAGAGTCTAGTGTACTTCTGTAGAGTTTGGGTATGGGTGAGCTTGATAGCATTGCATAACCTTGAGTGTGATTGCGCACAAGCTAGAAGTTCATCTAGGCTTCCATCTTTGTCCTCTACCTTTTTCCCGGATATACCCTCTATTCTTGGAAAGTCACATTTTGTTGATTTGTGGTTGCTTCATATAAAAGTTCTGGTAACCTTGAATTGATGTTGTGGTTCCACAGTGCATCAGATTTTGTGAAAGAAAACTTGGTGATTTAACTCACATATGGTGCCTTGAAAATGCATATCCTATGCACATACCACGCTATCTCATCATGTATACACCCTCGTGGCTGTAGTGGTTCTTTGCATAAAAAAATCAGTTATCCAAGCCTTTTGGAATTACATGAGCTTTTGCTCAGATTTTTGTTATAATTTTTTTTCTTCTAATATGTATAAGACACTTTCATTTGATGTTGCTGTGCATTCCGCATTGCACCCTCATCATGGCTTTGCACTGTTCATTACAACAGACGACTCATTTAGACTGGCTTCAATATATGGTGAAATCTCGATACAACAAATCTCAAAGAACCACTCAAAATAATTCGTTATTTTGAAAAGTCATTGTAGTGAAAATATTGTTACGTGGAAAATAACAGTTGTCAGTCCGCAGCAACAATGCAGCTCACCAACAACGTCCACTTCTTTACTATCAGTCTGAGGCACCTTTCTTGGGTATGCCCCACTATGCCCTCTTTCAGTCAGACGAAATCACGTAACATGACCCCCGGCGGCAAAAGCGCCGACCTGGCGAGTTCACGGGGCCACAGCAGGAGCAGTGTGGTAACGCTTGAGCCTTGATACGTAGACGATGTCCCTTGACAGCAGAGCGGAAGAGGCTGATGGATTATCAGGGACAATTTCATATGTAGTGTCGGTCACTCGTCTAAGCATGTGGTATGGGCCCGTGAAACGAAAGAGAAGTTTTTCTGAAAGGCCTGCATGTCGCGTAGGGAACCAAAGAAGAACGAGGGAGCCTGTTGGAAAGTGTTCGTCGCGATGCCGCTCGTCGTAACGATGCTTCTGCGAGTCTTGGGACGCCATTAATCTGCTGCAGGCAAGCTGACGAGCGTGGTCAGCTCGGGTAATAGCGTCGCGGGCATATTCAGAAGTAGGCTGCGCAGCGGCTGGCGGGAAGGTATCCAACGGCAATGTTGGTTCGCGTCCAAACAGAAGGTAAAATGGCGAGTACCCAGCAGTGTCATGCCGTGAGGAATTGTATGCGAACGTCATGTAGGGTAGTGCAAGGTCCCAATCACGATGGTCGGCCGAGACGTATTTCGATAGCATGTCTGTCAGGGTGCGGTTTAAACGTTCTGTAAGCCCATTTGTCTGGGGGTGGTACGATGTCGTGAGCTTATGCTGGGTAGAGCAGGAACGCAGGATATCGTCAACCACTTTCGAAAGGAACGTACGGCCTCGGTCTGTCAGCAGTTGACGAGGGGCTCCATGCACTAAAATGAGATCGCGTAGTAGAAAATCAGCGACGTCTGTAGCGCAGCTTGTTGGCATGGCTCGCGTAACTGCATAACGGGTCACGTAATCCGTAGCCACCGCGACCCGCTTGTTTCCGGAGGCGGATGTTGGGAAGGGACCGAGAAGGTCCAAACCAACACGGAAGAATGGCTCCAATGGGATGTCGATGGGCTGAAGATATTCGGAAGGGAGTCCCGACGGTTTTTTGCGACGCTGGCAAATTTTACAAGCGTTGACATAGCGACGTACAGAGCGTGAAAGACAAGGCCAGTAGAAACGGCGGCGGACACGGTCATATGTGCGAGAGACACCAAGGTGACCCGCGGTTGGCGCGTCATGGAGCTCGCATAGGACTGTGGAACGCAGGTGCTTTGGTATGACCAGAAGTAGGTCGTGATCGTTGGGCGATAAATTACGCCGATATAAGGTGCGGTCCTTTAAAGTAAACATGCGAACAGAAGCGTCTTGCGGTGAAGATTCGAGCTGTTGTATTAGGCGGTTGATATCCGGATCGCGACGCTGCTCGTCCCTGAGATGAAGCAGCTGGGAGATGGAAAGGATGCAGCCCACAGAATCAGTGCTTGTAGGATCGCAGTCGGCCACAGGGTAGCGTGACAGACAATCCACATCTTTGTGCAGTTTTCCTGATTTATACACCACGGTGTAAAAGTACTCCTGGAGGCGGAGTGCCCAGCGGGCGAGACGACCTGTGGGATCTTTGAGGGAGGCGAGCCAGCAGAGAGCGTGGTGGTCGGTGAGAACTATAAATGGTCGGCCGTATACGTAAAGGCGAAACTTCGCGACTGCCCACACCAGCGCTAGGCATTTGCGCTTTGTGATGGAATAATTATGCTCCGAGGTGGACAGCAGCCTGATGGCATAAGCTATCACGCGATGCTGCCCACGTTGTCGCTGAGCCAACACAGCGCCTATTCCGTAACCGCTGGCATCGGTGCGCACTTCGGTCGGTGCCGTAGGGTCGAAGTGAGCCAGCACAGGAGAAGAAGTGAGCAAAGTGGTCAGGTTGGAACATGCTGCTGCTTGCAAGGGACCCCAGGTAAACGTCTCATCTGGTTTGAGTAAATCTGTTAGGGGCCGAGCGATTTCCGCGAAGTTCTTAATGAACCGCCGAAAATAGGAGCAGAGCCCCACAAAGCTGCGGACATCTTTGGCGTTTTTTGGCACAGGAAAGTCCTTCACAGCTCGAACTTTTTCTGGGTCAGGCTGTACGCCGTAAGCGTCAACAATATGTCCAAGTATTGTAATGCGACGGCGACCAAACCGGCACTTGGATGAATTCAGCTGAAGGCCAGCGAGACGGAATACACTAAGAATTTTCTACAGTCTCTCAAGGTGCGCTTCAAAAGTGGGAGCAAACACAATCCCGTCACCCAGATAACAAAGACACGTTGACCACTTGAATCGATGGAGCGGGGAGTCCATCATTCGTTCAAAGGTGGCAGGGGCATTACATAAGCCGAAAGGCACGACTTTGAATTGGTAGAGGCCATCGGGTGTTACAAAAGCCGTCTTCTCTCGATCCATGGGGTCCACGGCAATCTGCCAATAACCAGAACGAAGATCGATGGAAGAAAAGTAGGCGGCACCATGGAGACAATCAAGAGCGTCGTCAATGCTGGGCAGAGGGTATGCGTCTTTCTTGGTGATGTTGTTAAGGTGGCGATAGTCCACACAAAATCGCCACGATCCGTCCTTCTTTTTAACTAATACCACCGGGGATGCCCAGGGACTGGAGGATAATTCAATAATGTCCTTCGCTAGCATCTTGTTCACCTCCTTCTGAATTATGCTGTGCTCAAAAGCAGACACTCTGCAGGGACGGCGGTGAACAGGGTTGGCATCACCTGTGTGTATGCGATGCTGGACAAAGGACGTCTGCCCTAGAGGTCAATCGCCAAAATCGAAAATATCCTGGTAGGCCTCGAGAAGATGTTGTAGTGCTTCAACTTGCGGAGGCGGAAGATCAGTGGCGATCATGTCTACAATTTTACGGCTGCCCGAATGTGTTGCGAGCGATGTGCGCTGCGGTGAAACAAGTGTGTCTAAGGCAAGCACGTCAATTTGTGAATCGAGCATAGGACACAGGTGGGCCACAGAAATGCCTTGTGGAGGCACATGATTCATGTAGCCGAAATTGACAAGAGGTAGAGAAGTTTTGTTATCTGTGATGCTTAGCACCGTATAGGGCACTGCAACATTGTGCGCAAGGAGTACGTCAGTGAGAGGCGTAGCGTAATAGTCACCGTCGGGCACAGCTGGTGAGCACAGAAAATCGACGTACGTCACAGTTTTGGAGGGCAGGGGAACAAAGTCGCTGCATTGTAATCGGCATGTAGGTTGGTACGGGTACAGGATACCAAGGTTAGCAAATTCCTGGCGGACAACAGCCTGGATCAAGGCGACAGCTGGGGTTGAGGCGTTGGGCAACGTCGGTTTGTTGGCAGCCGGGTAAGCGGCCTCGAGTTCACGTCTTCAGTTGTAGACGGATGACAAGGAGTGGCTTCGCAAGATGACGCCGCGATGTTGGGTAGGCGCTGAAACTGCTGCAAAATGCGTCGACTCTTCGCCTGCTCGAGACGGCAGCACTCTTTGATCACGGCGTCGATGGTCGTTACGTTGGTAAATACAAGCAGGCTGAACGCACCGTCGGCGATTCCTTTTAAAACGTGCGAAATCTTGTCGGCCTCAGTCATGTTGGAATCGGCCCTTTGACACAACGCTAAGACGCCTTGAATATAAGTCAAGCAGGGCTCAGTGGACATCTGTGTACGTACAGCCAATTGCTTTTGGGCATCAAGCTGTTGACCAAACGGGTTGCCACTGAGGTCGCGGAGCTGTTGTTTAAACATTTCCCAGCTTGTGATTTCGTGCTCGTGGGTCTCAAACCAGATGCGAGGGGTCTTGTCAAGATAGAAAATGACATTCGCAAGCATAACGGTTGGGTCCCAGCCATATTGCTTGCTCACGCGCTCGTACATGCTAAGCCACTTGTCCACATTCGCGTTGTCCTCTCCAGTAAAGGTACCGGGATCACGGGGTTGCGTTAGGACGACGTACTGGGTTACTGTCGTTGCTGAGGTAGGTAGCGAAGCCGTATCCTCACCCAAAGCCATGGTAGCAGACTTAAGGAGGCATCCACTGCGTAGCTCCATCGTCAGAAGAGTACCCAGCACCTCCACCAAAATGTTACGTGGAAGATAACAGTTGTCAGTCTGCAGCCACAACGCAGCTCACCGACAACGTCCACTTCTTCACTCTCAGTCTGAGGCGCCTTTCTTGGGTATGCCCCACTATGCCCTCTTTCATTCAGACGAAATCACGTAACGGTATTAAAGATTTTAGCGAAAATTGCAAATGCAAGCACATGAGTCGCCTACCTGTGCTGTGTATATATTCGTGATCGGGTTATTCTCTAATGAGCGAGAAAAAAAGAAACGCTAAAGTATTACGGAACCGGTGCATGTTAATTTGAAAAAGAGCACGATCTGTCCTTATGAGGACAGCTTGGCTGCTGAAAGAAGAACTCTCAAAACGTGTGCGTCCTTCTTGTGCACTGCGAAGCATCGGCTTAAATATTGATTCTTCACGTTGGTTCACAAAAGCTGTTTAACGGCGTCTTCGCTCTCGTCACCGTTTTCATACTTTTCGTGCACCCATACCTTTAGTCAATCACGACGAAGAGGACGATGACGGTTTCCTGGGCGCCCTTAGCTCATCTGACTTGAGCAGACGCCAGCGAGAAGATGAAGAGATTCGACCGCTCATCGACTATCTGGAGGGTCACCTCGCCATCTATCTCGCGTCGTGACGTCTTTCTGCCTTCGAGATAATGTCCTGTACAAAAAAAACGCCCATTCTACGAGCCGCGCTTACCTCCTCGTCGTTCCGAAGGACATGCGTGACGAAGTCCTCTCCGCGTGTCATGACGAGCCCACATCTGGTCATCTAGGTTACTCGCGAACGCTCGCCAGAGTCAGTGAGGCGTACTACTGGCCCGGACTATGGCAAGCGTGAAGCAGTACGTCAAAAGCTGTCGTGAATGCCAGCGTCGAAAGTCGCCATCAAGCAAGCCGGCTGGATTACTTCAGCCAATTGATCCACCCTACAAGCCATTTGACCAAGTCGGCATGGACATTCTCGGCCCGTTTCCTTTATCGTCCGACGACAACAAATGGTTCATTGTTGCAACTGACTATTTGACCCACTATGCTGAGACACAGGCGATACCACGAGCCACGGCTTCTGAAATAGCACAGTTCTTCATGTGCCACATTGTTCTGCGCCACAGTGCTCCATCTACAGTGATAACCGACAAAGGAACAGCGTTCACTGCACAGCTTATTGATGAAGTTTTTCGACTGAGTAACACTAGGCATCGAACGACGACTGCTTACCATCCGCAGAGCAACGGCTTAACCGAGCGACTAAATAAGACAGTCACAAACATGATCTCCATGTACATCGACGTCCAACACAAAACATGGGATCGCATTTTGCCTTATGTGACGTTTGCTTATAACACCGCCGTTCAAGAAACAACCCGATTTACACTGTTTCGCCTTCTCTACGGCCACGAAGTTCAGACGATGCTGGATGCGATGCTTCCTTGTGAAGGCGTCGATCAATTAACAACTGACGCAGAAGAACTTGCAGAGCGTGCCGAGGAAACTCGCCAGCTCGCTTGGCTACACATTGGTCAGCAGCAACAGGTCGATGCACGACGTTACAATATGCGTCACAATGATGTATCCTACAGTCCGGGAGACCAAGTTTGGGTTTGGACCCCTGTTCGACGCCGTGGCCTCTCCAAAAAGTTGCTGAGCAGATACTTCGGTCTGTATAAAGTATTACGTTGCATGAGCGACGTAAACTACAAAGTGGTTCCCGGCGCTACGTCGTCACGATGGGTACAACGAAAACAACCGACCTCTGACATAGTTCACGTGGTGCGCATGAAGCCTTATTTTGCGCGTTCCTAGAAGACCACTCTTCCTGTGTTTTTTTTTTTATTTGTGCTCCAACAATTGCCTCATCATTGGTGAACTTATCGCGTCTAACATTTGATTATTGGTGCCCTTTTTCATTGTTTAAGCTACCTTGTTTTGGTTTTTTTTTTTCAATAACTTTACAGCATCCGGATGATGCCCTTTCTTTTTTTGTTGAGGAGGAATATTGCCACCTACTTCTAGTAGTGGGTCGTATGCCAAGGTGAAGGCTCACACCTCAGAGAAGAAAGAAGTGCGCGTGGGCCCCCCCTGCTTTGGAAAATAAGCCCAACCGAGGCGCTTGGTTAGAGCCCTGTTGCTCAGACGTCAATAAACCTTGTCGACACCCCCTGGAGCGACGTGACAATATGTCGAAAACCTGTACCATTGCTATAGATATGTCGCGCTTGCATGCATGCGTGTTTGTGTGCGTGTGTGTGACAAAACATATTAATAAGTATGCACTTAGCGGTTGAAGGGTGCATAGGGGCTGAATTTCGCTATCGCGTTTAACTCTTAAAGGCGAAGCTTAAGGGTCCCCCAACTTTTTGACTGTCATAGCATTTTTTTTTTGTGCTGCTTTCAGAGCTCATCTTGGACATTCAACCACCAACGAAACGGCTAATTGATATGTGGGGTTTAACGTCCCGAAATCACCATATGATTATGAGAGACGCCGTAGTGGAGGGCACTGTAAATTTCGACCACCTGGGGTTCTTTAACGTGCACTCAAATCTGAGCACACTGGCCTCAGCATTTTCGCCTCCATCATAAATGCAGCCGCCGCAGCCAAGATTTGATCCTGCGACCTGTGGGTCAGCAGTTAAGTACTTTAGCCACTAGACCACCGTAACCAAACAGCTAAAAAACAGCCGTGTAATGAGCGCGCAGGTAAAGCTACTCGACGAAAACAGAGGCAACGGGGCGAACCACGATGCTAGAAACAAATACCAGGTGATGATAGTGCCGACAGGGCTGTCTCACATATGTATAGGCTGGGCAGAGAGACAAATGCGCGGGCTTTTTGGTGATGATGACGACAGTGGTAGGTACTGAGCTGGGCATTATTTTTACAGCCACGATAATGTTTTAACATTGTTACTTGGTATTTTGAAGTGTTGTCGGTAATATAAGGGGGAAAAAACTCGATAACTTATTCTGAAACATTCGGTGTGAGAGGGATTTTTAAAGAAGTCATTAATATGAAAAAATCATTAATCTGAAATTCGCTATAACGAGAATTGGCTGTAGTCACGTATCAAACATTACTTTGTTTAAATAGGCTTTGTCTCTGATTTGCACTCGCTCTAGAAGTCCTGACAGATTGTTGACTTGAGATCATCTGCCGTGTATAAGATAAGATGCCTGGTACATCTCCCCATGACTTTCATTTGCCTGTTGCACAGGTTCAAGTGGGCGTGGCGGCCAGCGTGTCCGTTACCCCTCTGGCCAATGGCAAGCAGCAGGTTCTCGTCCAGGGCAATCAGGTAATGCAAAGCACCGCCATTCAAGCAAGCAGCGCCCCTTTCCTTACTTCACGAAGACAAAAGACATGGGCAGTGTTGTGTCCAGTTTGTGCGCTTCTTCAGCTTTAGCCTGGCCTTTATTTCAACCTTTGCCCTTTTCTGACCTACGGTCACCTTAGCTTCTGGCAGTGTGGAGAAAACAGCGTGAGAAAGAAAACTGCGCACGACTAAAAAAATGGGCACTCAGAAGCCACATTGCTGACACGTACCATATTTACGCGATTGTAACAAGACCACGATCCTGAATCGAGGGGTGATTTTTCTTTGAGCCTCAGAAGAAAGCATAGTAATTTTGGTATCCGATAGTAGCGCATAGATCGACTTTAGATTACAAGAATCTATAAAAAAAAAAAAAGTTGCGTTACATTTGAGTAAATGCGGTATTGCAGAAGTTTTGAGCTGAAGAATTTTTAGGCTGTGCCTTGGAGTCACATGTGTAACTGAGAAAGGGGATATCAGAAGGAGAGGTTGAGCCCATCTCTCTTTCTTTCTTTCTCAAAATGAAATTGTGGCTGTTGTGTATTCTGTACAGCTTAGCCATTTTATAGATTCAGCTAGTTGCCATGTGTTTCGATTCTCATGATGTATCTCTCTAGCGATGTTTTCTGACCTCCTATTTCAGATGTATTTTCTATTCTCGCTCTTTGAAAATGCAGCACACATTCCAGCTTGTGCATTGTGCATGCCTGCAATGTGTGTTGGGAAGCTTCTTTATAGGTGAATAATAATTGTACTTGTTGCGGTTTAGTGTCCCGAACCCACAATATGGTTGCGAGGGAAGCCGTAGCGGAGGGCACCAGAAATTTTGACCACGTTGTCACCAGGCTGTCAAAAAGACAGCCATGTGGGTCTTGTGTCGAATTTGCTTTGCTTAACTTTGCATCATGTATGAATGTCAGCATTTATATACTATACAGTTAAGCCTAGATATAGCATCAAATCTGAAGGGATTCACATGCATGTGTGAAATTATATAGAATAAATATTATCTATATGAAAAATATATTCAAGGGGATTTCACAGCTGTTCACTGTACACAGTAATCTGTTATATGTGGGCTCAATATAATGCAGGTTTGACTGTACTATATGATACGCCAAGCTTTGTGGTTTAAAGTAGACTGTGCACATTGATCACAGCAAAAATGGATTTTCAGTACAGCAGTTCGGAAACTCTTTCATCCCTGCTCTGCACACGCGACTTGGCCTGTGCTCTACCCTCAAACTGACGGGAAATTCTGTCTTGCCGTGGCCGACACAGGTCGCTTTCATGGAGAGACTGCTGACCGGCTCATCGTATGGTGTGCCCCGCAAGTACCTCAAAGGCCTGGAACATGCGGCGGGAAAGAAGAAAGGAGGCACGCGAAAATGAACTTGACTGCCAACTTCACTTGTCAACAGACATTGGGGCAGCCCGACCAATCAGTCTGGAATTGGCCGCCTCCCGACCAATTGTGGGTCTGCGTTCTCTGGTCAGGAATACACATTCAATGCACACGGGTTGTGCGTGCGCAGCCGGACTATGGAGAAAAGGGAGCAGGTGTTCAACTGTGCCTGAACATGAACTGAACCTGGGTCACTTGTTCCGTGAGTGTCTAGAGTGGTAGATGCAGCTGGTGTCTCCCGGAACGCCGCCCACCTGACAAGAATAGCGGCAATGGTCTGTCCTTTCCTGAAGCTTTGGATGCAGGAGCCTTGCTCTTATTTGATGAATGAAATTTCATTTTCATTGTGTGCTAATTGACGGAGCCAATGAATGTTGATGTACAGGGAGGAATGGAATGCCTTCCCTTAATGCTTACCGCTCCACCGCAATATTGTAAAATCCATAAGTGTGATTGATTGATTGATTGATTGATTGGATTGATTGATTGATTGAACAAATAACTCTTGAAGAGGCATTAGGAGGCAAAATGTTATGTTTTGTGTATATACCATATTTACTGGCCTAATGAACGCACTTTTTAAAGTTGGGGGTGCGTTTAATACATGGGGTAAATTTTATGAAAACTTTTTTGGGAGAAGAAAAAAATGTGGTAATGCAAAAAAAAGTTAGGCCTCTTAGCCTTTCACAATTTACATATGCGTACACTGTTTGGAAACAGCTTCTTTGTTGCACTTTACTCATCTTTGGAGGTTGATAGTGCTATCTTCTGCAAGCTGTCCCTGGGCCACCTGCCCATGCCATAAAAGTGCTTTGTGACTATATTTTCTTGCAATCGTTTAATTGCAACTATGGTATCTGCTTGTGATCTCGAGGGGCACCCAAAAGCGTGCACTCATGGGTGAATGGGGAATGCAGGGACAGTGAAAGTGAATAAAAAAGAAAGTAGGCTAAGAAAGAAAAGGGGGGATTCTCAGGAAGCGAGTGGGGTTGGCCTTTGCTTGCTGCGATGTCTCTACACTGGCACAGCCCAACCCCCCCTGTGGCGCACAGATAAGATGGGGGACCTGCCACCCACAGATAGAAAGAAAAGCAATAGACAAGCAGCAACGTGCAGGGTGAGGGGGAAGGGAGCGGAGGTGTTTGGGGGGGTCGGCAAAGTAATAAAAAATGGAAGAGATCCAATGGGCAAGGAGGCACCATGTGTCGTTTAGCGGAACTGCAGCGGATGAATGTAGGGGGTGTGTTTATTACGAGGGGGGGGGGGAATCAAAATTTTGGTGACTGAAGCTGGGTGTGCATTTATTATGCGAATGCGTTCATTACGCGAGTAAATACGGTAAGTCATAAGAACATTAGACTTGACTGTCGAACCTGAGTGTAACGAATTATTGGTTCTAATGCGGTGATTGAGGAACATTGCGATTAAGACAGCATTAGCAGTGTATGCTCTTTGAGCTGTCACCTCTAATCTAGCTATTTTCATGCCAGATTTACTACAAGATTTGACTTTACCAAATGCCACCATCTTAGGCACAGCCAAATGCTACACTGGGCTTGGCCAAGGCACTTTGTAATCAAGGCATTTGGATTGTTAAGATTAGAGATGTGTTCTGTGCAGCTTCCCTTTGTCAGCAAAGGAAGCTGTTCTTCTTGAAAAAAAAAAGGTGCAGCAGTACTTTCATAGGTGCCTTTTTACTTCAAAAATATATTAATCTCTTTGTATCGAGACTGTGGCCGAGACACAGAATAATTTCTTTACATTTAATGTTCATAATGAGCATACGCATTACATGCTCACATTGGTGAGAAACATATTACTATGCTGTGCGATGTCTCGCTGGATCATTCACTATTTCTCAAGGAAACGGAACAGTGCAGGAGTAAGACCGCCGAAAAACAGAAAGTGCCTGTGTTGTTTCATCTTTAAGTGGTCCTCTTGTACCTTTCTTTATTAAAGAATTTTAGATTTATCTCACTATATTCATTCTCACCATTCATATCTCACCATACCAACACGGCCATCTGACAGTCATTCTACATATTCATTAGTTCGCCGGATCAAGTATTCTTATTGCATGATTCAAGTGTTCCCTTTTGGGTAGATCTCTAATATTCAGCTGCTTTTGGCAGTACAAAGGGTCCTTCGTTATGTGAACCAATGTATCGTCGAACAGTTTCAATATCAATGAGAGCTAACAGAATACCAAGGTAAGGGTTTCAGACACATTATTCGAAGGTTGCGTGTTTGAACTCCGCCGGCGGCAAGTTTTCTTTTTGTCCGCTTTTCTTTCCTCACACTTGCATTACAATTGCATTTATTAACATCATCCATACATTTCTTGGCTTAATTTTCTGTTATTTTTCATTAATGTTGTGCTTAATAAAGAAAACAGGCTCTTAAATTTGGAACAGGTTCAGTGACATAGCATCAACCTGGTGGCCTTGGAGAAGAGAGGCCCAGTGTCTGTAAATATCTGTGTAAAAGATCTCTGAGGCCACCGAATGACCGCAATGGTGTTCATGTTTTTGTAGCATTTGCGTGCACGAACTAGAGCTGCGTGAAATGTTGTCACGAGGTAGTTGAACATGAGGGATCATCTTTTTATGTAATCACCGTCTTGCCTTTGGCTGTGGAAACATTGTACATGCCTCACATGCTCTTCAGTATGACGAGCAGCCACATTATTGTTGAAATTGAGAGAAGCCGGCGGTTTTAGCGTCGCAATAAATGAGGTTGTTACAATTTTTGTCCGTGTCGTTGTTTTGTGTAGATTGTTGCTTCGAGTGGATGTGCTCCCATTGAACGACTCTGCGCTGCACACGGCGTTGTGGGTTCGTCTCAACTGAGCATTACTGCATCGAAAGTGATAAGAAGTTAGTTCTGAAAATGACTGTGCTATCTTTTATTGCATTATTGTAGCATGCTATGGGCATTGCAACGCACTGTGCCACGATGGCACATCTGTACACGCTGAAAACATTTAAGTCTTGCAGTACTCTCAGGCTAGAAATCGTGCGACAAAAATGTGAAGCGAAACATTTTGGTAATAACTTTTCTTTTGTTTATTTTTTGCTTATGCCAAGACACACTTTACATAGGAATTCATATCTTTGAATTCAACACTTCATAACATGTTCAAATATACATTTTAAAAACGGCACTAATATCAGAAACAAACATTATGGTAACAACACAACATACAAAATGGCTTAATGCGATGTATGCAGTATTTTGGTACTTGAAATTTTATTTGCTCAATGGAACAATAAAGACGCGTCTACTTTACATTATATTTTACTGCTGTTATGCTGTACGCCATAAATTATGCTGCTACATGGTAGTAAGCTTGGTATGCAAACAAAATAAGGGAAGAAAAAGATGTGTGGTGCCAGCTTGTAAGTCCCTGCATGATCTTATTGTGAGGTCGTGTGTTTTTATAGCATTGTACATTAAAGAGGCACTAAAAAGAGAGACTGTTTTTATCATATTAGTATATCACTCTCTCACGCAATACCAAAATCACCATGCTTGTCAGGCAAGAAAACGAGCTAAAAGAAGATTTTGGTGTCAATGCCACTTTGAAATTCCTGCGCCGAATGCCGCGATGTCCTGCATTTTGATAGCGTCTACTAGGGCAATGCCTGGTTGGTAAGAGCGAAGTGTATCTTATTTCGAGAGGGCCATAAACTGAGTGTACCCACTCTCAGCAAATGCCCTTGAGCCAATGTCACCAAAATAAGAAAAATACGCTTACCAACTTTCAGAAAATGTTATTGAGCCAATGTTGCCAAGAAAGATACACTTTGGATTTTTTTTATATCACGCGTGAGGGTGTAGGTGTGAAATTTAAAAATTGAACTCTGACCTTGTTTTTCTCCTCAATTAATAGGCCAATGATGGTGTAATTAACAAAGTTAGAATTGTACACTTTATCAATCTAAGCTGACTCATGGTTTTACTTTCATGTCCCTTTAAAGTAGAAACCGACTTGTGCAAGTTTAGAAATTGAAGCTTAAATCCTGAGGAGTTTTACTTATGTTCAGATAAATTTTGATCGCCTGAGGCTCGTTAACGTGCACCTAAACCTAGGCGCACGGGTCGCCATTTTTCCTGCCACAAAGTCAGCCATGCTGTCTTTGTGGCAGGGAATTGAACCCGCAACCTCGAGCTCAGCAGTGAGAAAATTGGTAAGCCATTAGCATGCCCCCTTGGAATTCTCCCATCTATTCTACAATATGCTGCGTACTGACATGATTTGGCCGCAAATAATACACACACAAAGTAAAGAAACACTCAACGACAAGCACAAGCGGCACTTCCAACCGCTTGTGCTTGTCGTTGAGTGTTTCTTTACTTTGTGTGTGTAATATTTGCGGCCAAATCATGTCAGTAAGCAAGTACCAACTAGGCCAACAATCAGTATTGTTACAATATACTGCACTTAGCTCACTATATGATTCATCAACTGCTTGGAATTGGCCATTAGATTGATTGCATTTTAAAGGAGCCAGAGACTTACCCTGGCCAATTTCAAGAGCATTTAATCACTAAGCGTGGTCAAAGACTAACACTTGTACTTAGAAATCGGTGACCTCACAGTGATGCACTGACGTTATGGTTTTGACGGGTCATTCAAAACTTAAAAAAAGTTTCAACTTGAATTTCTTTCCTGAAACCAGGCCCATGATTGCAATATCAAAGATGGTAGACTTATAAAAACAATTTCTTGAACAACTGATTTATTGTTTCTCATTGGCGTGTCTTGAAGAGGTTAAAAGGAACATGTAGAGGCTGGCCCTTGGGCCTGGTAATCCGGCACTGCCAATAAATGGCTGCCGATTAGGGCTTTTTGAACCCTCATGGAAGACGAAGGGATAACTAGGAGTTGTGGTAAGAGAATGCGTTGCTGGGCGAGTTAGTGCATTGTCAAAAAATAAAAGTAAAGTGCAGAAAAAAAGGGGAGTAGTCGGGGACGGGCACTCACTACCAACTGATTTAGTTATGAAGGAACTGTGGGAAACAAATGCAGACTGTACATCACAGACCAGGCTTCGCACAACACAAAGCTGCTCATACCAAAAACTAAAACATATCGCATCATAGAAATTGAAATTGGCGCTCCCGCAGACACGATGACGTCTGGCTGATGGCTTATGCAATCTTCATTCTTCAATTTTATGTAGAATGCCTCTAACACTTCACATACAACCGTTTTCTTGCCGCGTCCTAGCACCTTCAGTCTAGCAAACAAAGTCACACAGCCACACAGTGTGCAGAACGATGCACGCCCTTATCGTTTGAGAGCGTCAGCTTGTGCTCACGGGCCCGCTGGTTTACGCAGCTGCCCATTCGGCCAATGTACGATTTGCTACAGTTCAATGGCAGTTCATATACTACCTCCACAGCACGATCCATATAACGCTTAGTGTGCTTGGTTCCACAATTTGTCTTCTGT